CATTTGGTGGTGTTAGTGGTGTTAGTGGTGCGCCCAGGCGGCTTCGTCCCGCCAGGGCCAGGCTGCCTCGCTGCTGCGCCTCATCGTCGGGAGCGAAGGCAGGGGTCAAGCAGCCTCCTGCCTGGACTGAATGCATGCCGTGGATGCTGTGGCACGGCATGGCTGGAAGTCTTGCAGTGTGCCTGGGGGAAGGAAGGGGCACTCCGGGCCTGGCTGCCCATGCTCGTCTTGGGGTTGCCGTCTCCCGCCGCCCGCCGTGGAGGTTAATGTGAGGCGCAACGCTGAACCTTGGAAGGTGGAAAGGCCTCCCACTGCACCTTCCCCAGCTCCACCGCGCCCGACCCCTCTCCCGCCGTGTCCCACGAGAGGCCTCAGCCACAGTCTTGGACTCTTGGGTCGCTCGACCCGCCTCAGGTGCAATCTCACGGCGCGCCTCAAGTCAGATTCTCGCACTTCTTCTCATTGTTCCTCTCCCACCGTTTGTCTTACACGCCGACGGGCGACGGTCCGGTACATTCAGTCCTTGTTCCAGTCTCCAATTCGTCTTCATCCCCTGACCCCGCGGACGAGGTGTGGCGGCGATAACCACCTGGCGCCGTCGCCGCCCCGAGGCGCCAAATATTGGCAGCAGTCAGGACCAGCCTGCCAACAGACGCACAACGCTGCGCGACAGCGACCGCCCGCATCTCGCTAGGGTTACACAGGCCAGCCCTCGACCGTCTCATGACGATGACCGTGTGACGTCGCTCGCGCCGTAGCTGCAGGCCCCAGGTCCCACGGGCCACCACCCGAGCTCTAGCATGAACCAGTCTGTGGCACAACAGCTTTCCCGGCTTGAGCTATGGCCACTGGCCACAGCCCGCCACTGCCAGGACGCCAACGTTGCGGCATCACACGCTGAGGCGCCCGTGGAGCGGCAGTGCTGCGCCTCGTCAGCCACTGATCGCCAGGTACGAAGCCAAGCCTTCCACTCGGGTAGCAAAGCGGCGTCCCAACGGCCGTCCAGGAGTATCAACCTAATTGGTGGACTGGGACGTCGTAACAATGTCCCAAGATTGCCTCGGATCTCTTCTGTGTCTTTCCCCGCTGGGCGGCCGCTCAAGACACACTGAGCTAGCGTCACCTTTGCTTGCAGGAAGAGCTCTGGAAAGCCGTAGACCATGTGGGCCCATCACCGCGAGCCATCTCGTTCGTACCTGAAGAGTCTGCTCCCGCAGCTCCCGGTCCCGCCGGTCCCAGCGAGGTCTCCAAGTCATTGGCCCGCGCTGAGCCTCACTCTGCCTAGTCGCCAGCGCCGCCGGCCAGGCCAGCCAGGGCACTCCGCCGCAATCGTTCCATGTGCTGCTCCACTGTCGACCTGCCAAGTGTGAGCGATGTGATCGCTTCCAGAATCTGGAAGCATTGTCCTTGTCCGTGGTCTGTGGGACTCGGGAAGGCTTTGCGGCCCACCATCGGTCCCAAGAGCAGAACTCGAGCGGGCACGTTCACCAACGGAAGTGGCTCCGTAATGTTTTAGCGGACGGCGGACCCGTCTTCTCCATTCTTGCTCCACGGCCAAGGCGGACGGAGAATTGCTGCAATCGTCGGGGAACAAGCCGACCGGGTCCCAGCACGTTGTGGCGCCCGAGGCCGACCCACTGACAACACATCCACTTACACGATGGTTTGTTCGCTAGAACATGGCATCGCGCCTACACTCGGAACATCAGACGGACGACGTCGGTCACCACGACCCGCTGCCTCGACTCCGCCAAGGCGAGAGCTGGTGCGAAAACGAGGGCCTGCGAAAGCCCTCCCGTTCTCATGTCACGCCTACAATCGACTTTGGATGTTCATCATAAGTTGACATTAATGTTTATTGTCAAGGATCGTGACCTCATTTCCATATTCAGTCTCTTCATCCTCGGCTGCGCAGAGCGGCAGCAACCCGTTTCCCAAATGAACCTTTCTAATGTACTATTTACATCCGAACATTACGTTTCCTCGCGGAAAATAGGACACCGAATTACCGGAACATCGTGCTCCACTTACAGGAGGGCAACAAGACCAGCAACGGCGGCAACGAAGTTGACGCTGCCGACAACGTGGCCAGCGGCAGCGGTGACGACGGGGGGAGCGGTACCGGTGGCAGAGCCCGAGGGGGGAGGAACCACAGGGGGAGTGGTGGGCTGCTGAGTGGGCTTCTGAGAAGTCCACGTGGGGAAGTTGGTGGTGCCGGTCGGGTAGACGGTGGTGGTGACACTGCCAATGGGGCAGTTGGGGACCTCAGGCGGGCACGAGCTGATGGTGTAGGTCTGGGTGGTGAACTGAGTCGACGTCGAGTTGTTGCCCGGGGGGACAACAGTGCCGGTGGGAACAGGAGTCGACGTGACGGGGCAGACAGTGGTGGAGACGGGGATGGTCTCGGTGATGACAGTCGTGTGGCCGCCGGGGCAGTTGGTCACCTCAGGAGGGCACTTGGTGATGGTGTGCGTCTTGGTCGTGCAGATGGTCGAGGTGGTCCAGCTAGTAGGAGGAGGGGTGGAGGTGACGGGGCAGACCGTGGTAGAGATGGGGATGGTCTCGGTGACGACGGTGGTGTGGCCGCCAGGGCAGTTGGTCACCTCAGGGGGGCACTTGGTGATGGTGTGCGTCTTGGTCGTGCAGATGGTGGACGTGGTCCAGCTGGTGGTCTCCGGCTTGGAGGTGGTGGTAGGAGGCAGCTCCGTGGACGTGGTGTTAGCGGGAGGCGTGGTCGTCGTCTCCGGCTTGCTGGTGGAGGGGGTAGTCTCCGGCTTGCTGGTGGAGGGAGTAGTCTCCGGCTTGCTGGTGGAAGGAGTAGTCTCCGGCTTGCTGGTGGAAGGAGTGGTCTCCGGCTGGCTGGTGGTAGTGGGAGTGGTCTCAGGCTGGCTGGTGGTGGTGGGAGTGGTCTGAGGCTGGCTGGTGGTCGTCTCCGGGACGGACGAGGTGTGCGTGGCCGTGTAAGTGATGCACGAGCAGGCGGAGCTGACCCTCTTCACGTCCTGCTTGCAGTTGCTGAAATCGGTGGGGATGGCCTCGGGGGCGGTGGTGGTGCCGGCAAGGAACTCGAAGCAGAACTTCTTGCCCTCCTCGGCGAAGCGCTTGTCGACGAGGTTGTTGTAGCAGTTGTCATGCTCGCAGTCGGGGTACTTCCACGCGTTGGCGGCAGTGGCGGCGATGGCGCCGATGACGAAGGCGGCCTTCATGGTGAGTGGTCTCTTGTGAGTGGTTGGTTGAAACGAAAGTATTTGACGTTGAGAGAGGATTTATATGAAGACGTAACGACAGGTGGGACAGCGAGAGACTGGCAACGACTGTTGATATACAGGACGGTGGGAGAAAGGAGGGAGGGGACCAAGACGGTGGGCGGGCAGGACAAAGACTCCTTTATACCAGCGGTTCACGACCCAATACGGCCCGAGCTGGAGTTGGATGGGCGGCCATCGACGACTTGACAGACATGACAGACATGGTACAGGACAAGGCATCCATGCCGCCACGACCATCCGGTTCGATGACCCGGCCGAGCCCCCGGCAACCCGCCAGCAGTCGGTGCGGGACCAGCCCTCTCTAGCGGCGCGATACGAGCTGCCTGCGCCGGCGTCGTCGAATTCGAGCGGCTCCTGGGGCTGCATGACTGGAGGCCGACAGGGGGGGTGTGCGTCCTTTTCCCTTGGACCGCAGCAGCAGAGCCGCCGGCAGCGTGATCTGATGGGGAGACGGTCGGACATCCACCCAGCCCAGCCATGCGGCAGTGTCGTCCATCCCATCCGCCAGCGAGCTAGCCGACCGGCCAGCCAGCCAGCCCGCCATGCACCCACCGACAGAGACTGCTACACATCTTCAGCCATACGAGGAGGGACCGAGAGGATTTTGGCGCCAGCGCTCTCGTCCGGCGCGTCCAGCGAACCTGCAAACGAGGGTCCCCCCCCCCGGGTGGCCTCGCGAAATGAGGCCGGCGAACCAGTCGACGCCACGGCGCCGCGAAAATCGATGGACGAGCCGTGGCCCATGAGGGCCAGACACGACGGAGGGGCTTGCACCGTTGTCAACGACAAGCCACCGGGCCCCTGACTGCTACCCCATGCGGGCTAGCTCCGCCAAGGTCGCGTTTCCACCAACGCACCTCGAAGGGGCCTCCTGTGGCGGCGGCTGCTCGGTTCTTTTTGTCCCTGAGCTGAAGGCGGTTTCTTTGGCTGCTGGGCGCGCGTTCTTTTCCCCCAGGTGGTCAGCGAGCCGCGACTCGCCAATGGCTGGTGGACGTTGCTTCTCCGGTTTTCAGAGTTTTTGCACCTGCGTGGCGCCCAGCTGGTTCCTGGGCTGCCGTGCGTTGTGGAGGAGGGTGTTCCTGAGCGAGAGGGCCCTGGCCCTGGAGCGTCTCACTTTCAAGCACAGCCAACGACGACAACGGCGCGCGCCGTGCACGTTCGCTTTCAGGCTGTTAGGCAGGGGCTTGATTCATCAACGGGCTGACTGAATGACTGACTGACCGGTCAAACGAAGCGAAAGTGCAGACTGCAGGCAAGCCTTGTTCCAAACAGGAGCGCGCACCAGCAGCTCATCAGAGAGGGCTCCATGTCTTGCCCGCCATGCCCGTGCAGCCCCAGGCGCCATCAGGCCTCTGGGACTCTTAGTCTTGGGTTGCTGGCGGTGGCCATCCAGGCGCTGAGGACGGCCCCGTCCCGATTTAGAATGATATCATCCGGACGCACCGCTGGCCAACCACGGCGAGAACTAGCAGGGCCGTCGCTCGTACCGGGCGGAGCCGGCAACAGGCCAGCCCAGGAACCAAGGCAGCTGGAAGTCTAGGCGACAACAAAGGCAGCTTTCCATCGCCGGGCCTTCTACGAGTATACACTACTGCACAGTAATATTGGCCGGCTTTTTGCCCAGTGCCGTACGGCCACGGCACAGTACCGTATCCGAAGAGCGCCCAGGAGCTGGGATGCGACGACAGCTGGGGTGTCTTCACTGAATCAGGCGCCCTGTACTCCGCATGGCCCATACGTGTTTGGGGTGACTGCCGAGCGCCCGGCATGAGTTTCCATTGCCCGAGAGACACAGGTGCAACGAACCCAAAGGTCTCTTTGTTTGCGGCAGCAGCAAGGGGAGCAGCAAAGGCTTCTGGTCGCAACGCGGCACAACATGGAAAGGCGCAGCGCAACACCTTTGATGTCAGGGCAACGTCCCTTGTTGACCCTGACAGTGCGCGAACACGGTCTCGCAAAAGGGCCACCCCAAGACACACCACGTCCTCCCGGGCAAAATCAAGTCGGGTATAGCCATCTCCACGCCGCTGCAGCCGGCTCGGGTCCTGTTGGGGCGAGACGAGCCGCAGTCGTGCTCGGCCACGAGAGAGGGCTCGTGTTGCTCACACCCAGGCATGCAGGAGCAGGGCACATCGCTGCAAGCTAGCGCTGTGAGTGCTGTCCTGTACGAGGAGCGGGTTGGATACACGGTGGTCCCTGTGCTGCGACTACTGACGTTGTGCGACGGGCTTGTCGTGCATGGACAGAGGCCTGTCGCGACGCGGACGCAGCTGGATGTGGAGGGCCGTGGGCGTTCCCGCTTGGTCGTTCTGCGACGAGTTGACAGCCATCTTTGGGTCAAGTTCCGCCCCATTGCCCCCAGCGACACCTGTCCAACGCATAGACGCAGGACGCAAGGCGACGGCACACAACATGTCGGTGATGAGCAACTCGTGCGCCGGTGGGCCGAGCAACCCCCCAGAGCCGACTGGGGCCTGTTTCTGTTTCTCACGACGGAGTGATCACAGTCAGCAACGACGAGGACCGAAACCTGGCTGGGCATGACGTGGTTGATGATGCCGGCAACTGGGCCGCCGACCAGGATCACAGCCTTCGATGGGGGTGGCCTTCCACAACCTTCCCCGTCATCCGATTATTCCGGACGGAAGACGGCCGACGGCCGCCATCGTGATGGGCGATGATGGTGGCCAAGAGCATGGCCTTTGGCTAGTTTCGCGATGGTCGTGAAAAGAAGTGGCACCCACAGAAGGACGCAGAAGCAATACGGAGCAGCAAAGTGGGATGTCTCTCTGCGCCCTTGCCCGACCGATAACCAGAGCAAGCCTGCCAGAGCCTGCAGAGCTTTTTTTGGGTGCACGGTGCCGGCGATTCTAGCGCGTCTCTCGGTTTTGCCACCCGGGCAGGCAGGGCAGGGATCATGGGGCTGCAGAAGACAGGGGTCGGGTCACCCTGTGATTGGCGACGGGCCGGGTCTGTCAAGAAGAGCCTTTTCCGGGCCACTCAGGCGAGGTGGACAAGACGATTGTGACGCTGACGGGGATCGCGATGGCAGAAGCAGACACGACGCAACGGCGCATGGCTACCCGCTCCGCCATGACCGTGCCCTGGCCCGGCCCCGACATGCTGCCTCTCCACTCCGACACCTTGGGGCCATTGGCGAGGACGCCAAGGATCGATGTTGATGAGTGATCTGAGCGAGATGCGAGGCAGGGCAGGGCCCGACGTGGAACACCAGAGCGAGGTTGGCATCATCAGAGACACGATTCGCCGAGTGCTTCGCCCGCTTCTGTCGGGCCTTCTGGGCCTGTGTTCCTTGTCTCGCTGTTTGGCCGGCCCTCCCTCATCAGCCCCGTTTTGCCTTTTGTCTGCATGTTGTTGGACTGAGATGAAACATTCGAGACATCGTCATCGGCCGGGGGAGGAGAGTTGAAGCTCGGTGTTTCGGTAGAAACAGGCCCTGGGGCACACGGGCCGCCTACAACAGCCCGCTCCGACCGCAACGTGCCCCCGACGAGCAACGGGACGGGAGACACGGTCGTCCCCCGTTGCTTCGGGCATACCGCAACTTTTGACACTCACATGCTCTTGGCTGTCTGTCGCTGGCGCTGATATGCCTGGTGCTGCTATACCTGCACCCCTGCGTCGCCCACTCGTGCACGGTGTCCCATGGGATGCTTCGAAACGCCGAGTTGCTCCAGCTTAAGGCCAAAAAGCATATATCTAAACATGCTGCAATAAAGCCGCCGCGAAACAAAGCAATGCAGCTCGAAACAGCGTGGGAACAGTGCATGGAGCCCATCGGACTGTGGCTAACATGAGCGGAAACGAGTGAGAGAACGCCGGATCCCGCCTTGCCCGCCAGTGGGAAAGAAAAAAAAAAGACAAGCAAATGCAGGGCAGACTCAGGAACCCATAAGACTCAGCTGACATGCAGGTGCAGCGGGCTCGGCCATGAGGCGTCAACACACAATTCATTGTTCCTGCGGGAGCGGCACGACCAAGGTTCGCCGCAGGGATGACAAAAAGAAAGAACACCCACGGAGAAAAAAGCAATAAACTGCAACGATGCAGGAAAAGAAGGTAATCTGGAAAAGACTGACTGTGCCTGTCCCAAAGGGCGCGCGCCCGGACGGCAGAGGCAGTAGTGCAAAAGCACGCCGCTGCGTGGCTTCGTGGGAATACGAGGCTGACTTACTGCATCGCGCATCGCGCACCGCGCATGGCCTCCACGTCATGCGAGGTTGGCCTGCGTAAGGCTGCCATTGGCGGGGAAGCCGGCGATGCCGCTGTCAGTCTTGGTGACTGGCTGCCCATCCAGGCTCTTGGATTTGCTTGCAGGCCGTCCGGATCGGTGGTTTTCGACTTTTCGCGGTCTGAGGGCGGCGGCGGACCCGCGGCTGGCGCGAACCTTTTCCCTGCTTGCTGCCTCTCCCGTCACACAAAGGTCAAGAGGCTTTTTGGCCGGATTGTCATGCGCGATGAGTCGCGATGTGGAAAGGGCTGTGGCGCCCTGGCCGAGTGTGGGAGGGAGGCGTGCGAGCTTGACGGCCCGACGCAAGAGGCGCAGACGCCGCATCGTGAGGTGAGCTGTACGAGCGAGGACTTGATGTCGGGCCCATTGCGTGAGGCGCGCCGCTTGCTGACGGCGTCTGCTCCATCACGCAACTAGAGCGGTGAGTGATTCACAGAGGAGAGAGGAGGAGAGAAGAGGGAAAAGTGTGGGATTTCGTCGGGCGTGATGGCCGTGTCTCGACCTGTAAGTGGCTGGGCCGGTTCGACGTGACAGCTCGCAACGTCGGTGAGGCGATCTCCAGATACGAACGACTGACGCCTTATGCCACCGCTGGCCACCGTTACGGAGTACGGAGTACGGACTACTGGTTGAAACTATCACACTAACCACCTTGACGTGCGGTGCCGGCGGGAGAAACAGTCTCTGCGCCTGAGTGTGTCGTCGTCTCCGATGAGACGTGCCGCGGAGGTGCACCGTCTGTTGCTCACAGACGATCCCAAGGGAATGTCGCCACGAATAAGGCTGCGAAAGACGACCCAAGAACGTGGTACAACCGCAAAAGCACGCTTCTACGGCAAAAGCAACATAATTGCCCGACTCGTGACACGCACGCTGTGCCGGTCGCCGCCCTCCCTTCCACCCAGCTGCCGCGTTCCACTCGACGCCGTCACCCCGACATCACCCCATGCCTGCTCCGCGGCGGGGGTGCCACCCCATCTCCAGACCATCATGATGAGCCTCGCCGGGGAGTTTCCCGTCCTGGCCCCATACCGATCCAGTAGCCCGAAATAGATACGGCGAGATGTGGCCGCCTCGCAGTTGAGGCGGTGGGTGGAGCTAATGGCGGTCTTGACTCTTGTGTCTCTTGTTCCGACCATGGGAGCCCTACGAGGCCGCGATGGCACGCGGTTGGGCGGCAACGAGGCTCATGTGAATCTGTGACTATCTGCGGCGCGATGCGGGGCCTCTCTCGAGCAGGTAGGTAGGGTACGGTGACTTATACGGAGTTCGTTTCCCGGGCCGAGATGCGAATTTATACGAGGGGCGACAGCCGGGCGCGGCGTCGACGTGCTGTACGAGGAGTTGACAAGATGGAGGGGCGTGCGCAACCCCTTTTCGTGTCTCTGGGTGGTTCAACATGCGAGAAGGCATTGCGATAGTCTGGACTCTGCTGAGCTGCCCGCCAAGGCGACGACTTGACGGCTGGGCATTGGCAGTGATGGCCACGAATAACACGACCCAAGCACCGGCGCAGCCGAAGCTCGCAACCTCGTGAAGGGGAAACTGACCGAAAACAACACTCGCAGCTACGAGGGAGGACAATGAGCATGTGATGAGCTTTCGGGATGAGGCACCAAACCACCACGATATTGGAGCCCGATGCCCCGGAGCGCATGGTGGACCAGACCGGACTGGACGGAGCACATGCCATGAGCTGCAACGTGTTGTATTGAAAGTGCAACGCACCGGACCGCAGGGCAGCGGTGTCACCACCACCGCAGCAGTGGCGAGGTTCGCACCTCGTGCTGCGTTGCATCCGCTCCATCTGGCATACCCATATTCATCTCGCATCACGAGCCGTTCTCGCACCGCCTGCACGACCAGAAAACTCCGCCCGCTCCATTCCACCACCGCGACATGGAACCTCCCCTTCCCCCTTTCCGTGCGACGCCGTCCCACGTCCGTGGAGTTTGTACACCCGCTCACCGCACCCAGTCCTGGCCCGGCATATTGATGTCACCGGGTGAACAGCCCTCTAACACACTCTTTACTCTCCCCCAACTCCGGTGTATATGCGCGTATGTCGTCTTCTTTTTTTTTTTTTATTGCGTTGACCAATCCCACGGCACGCGAGCGAAAAAGGAAGTGACCACTTTATTGCTCCTCGTTGACGAGCACGTAGCGGAAGCGCGGCTTGCCGGCCTCAAAGTCGATGATGGCCTGGTTGGCGTCGGACATGGGCCGCTTCTCGACCCAGGGCTCGACCTTCTTGTCGACGGCGAGCTGCAGCATCTCGCGGATCTCGTCGGGCGAGCCGATGCCGGAGCCGGCGACGCGGCGACGCGCGCCTGTGAGGCTCGAGGGGCGGAAGGGGAGCTCGCCCTCGGGCAGGCCGACCTGGACGAGGGTGCCGTCGAGCCTGAGGAGGCCGAGGTAGCCCGAGAAGGGCATCTGCGTAGGTTGCGGTCAGTATCTTGATCTCTTGATATCATTTTTGTTTTCTGTTTGCGTTGGTGGTGTGGGTTGACCGAATTAAGCGCGAGCAGTTCACATCGTCGCGCGCGTGTAAGTGAGGTCCGTGGATCGCCGCCACACAACAAGGGGCGCCGACTCGAAAGCTCGAGACGAGTGTGAAAAGAGGCTCGAAGAAAGGAGAAAGACGCACCTTTGGCGACGAGACGGTAGAGATGATGAGGTCCAGCCTGCGCGCATTCTTCGTCTCCCAGTCCTTGTCGTCCTCGGTGGCGATGTAGTCAGTGCAGCCCAAATCGAGCGCCTCCTGGCGCTTGCTCGCCCTGCGCGAGATGCCCACCACCTCATCTGCGCCCAGCGCCTTCGCAAACAGCACGGCAAAGTGCCCCAAGCCGCCCACGCCCACGATGCCGACGCGCTTCCCCGGCCCGGCGCCAAAGTGCTTGAGCGGGGAATACACGGTCACGCCGCCGCAGAGCATGGGGGCGGCGAACTCGGGCGCCAGGCCGTCGGGGATCTTGAAGACAAAGTGCGAGGGGCAGCGGTGGTAGCGGGCGTAGCCGCCGTAGGACTTGTCGCCGTTGCGGTGGCGCGAGGCGTAGGTGACGACGGAGCGGGTGCAGTAGTTCTCGCTGCGCTCGGCGCACTCGGCGCACTTGAAGGAGGGGCCGTCGTCGCGGCCGAGGCACGAGTCGGACTGGGCGCCGACGCCGACGAGGTCGCCGACCTTGATGTTGCCCTCGGCCTGGGAGCCGACGCGCACGGCGACGCCGACGATTTCGTGGCCGACGACGACGGGGTAGGGGGCCTTGCGCTAGAAGGGGACGAGAAAAGCGTTAGCAGCTGTTTTTTTTTTTTGGTTGTATCTCGTTTTGTCTTTCTTAATGCCTTCCTCGCCTGTCTATTCTCGGGCATACAGACGGAAAGGCATGGAGTCGGAGAGGCATATAGAGAGAGGGGGGCAGAGGGAGACAGAGATAACCCACCCAGCCGGACCTCAGGACGTGAATGTCGGAGCCGCAGATGCCGCAGTGCGTGATGCGAATGTCCACGTCCGTCTCCTCAAACTTCTTGGGCTCGTAGTCCTTCCACACCATCTTGCCCTCGGCCGATGCCTCGTCCTCGCCCACCCACCCCTCGAACTTGTAGTTGCTGTTGGCCATTGCGCGGTGCGGTGCGGTGCGGCGTCGGTCGTGTATTCGATGTTTTGTCTATCGATTTCGTGTGTTTGTGTCTGCTTTCCTTGATGTCTCGCGGACTCACGAGGAATATCTGAATGGGTCGTCGAGGTGTTCTTCACTAAACAGTCACTCAAAACAACAAGATGGCGGTTCTGAGGCAGGAGGCATAGCATAGCATGGCGAGCTCCCTTTTATATAGTACGTATACATGTATGCTACACCGCACCGCCGTCACCGGAGGAGCCGTGGGGTGCTCGACTGGCCGCCCTGTCCCTGCTGCTCCGCGGCACCGGCAGGCCGGAAAGGCAGGCCAATTCCGCGAAACCCAACGCAACGCCATCATGACCGTCTCCAGCTCCTGTCTCGTTAACCCCGGTGCTGTGCTGCACTGCTACCTGCGCGGGAAAGCTGTTCGGAGATAGACTCGAGGCCAAGTGGGGGGGAGGCGGCGTTTGGCAAACCTGTGGGTGGCGCGAGCCAAAACAAAAGTCGCTGATGTCACCGCCAATTGGAAGATGAGCAAATCGCAGGGGGAGGAGGGGGCCCTCGGAACATCGAAGAAGCCAAGGTTTCCAATGGGCGCGCGCTCTCCCGTGGATTGGATGGATGCCTGTACCATGCTCGGATCATGGTTGTGGGATTGGGTCGAGGGACATGGGCAAGAGTCGTGGGCCGGCATTGGGGCGGGAATCTTTTTCTCAGCCAGCCTTTTGAGGCGGAAAGGCACAAGCCGCAGGGCCGCATGCGCTGAATGCATGCTGTGAGGTCACTCGTCCACACGAAAGCTGGCTTTGGTTGCTCGTCTCGGCAGCGAACCGCCGGAAAGGGAATGCAGCAAAAGGGAGGGAAACGGGAAGATGAACCAGGATCGGACCTCTGGTCTGGGTTCTACGGCTTACAGCTTAGATGTCACCTTCCACCTGTCGCATATGTACTCAAAAACCAAGGCTCCCCTTCAGCTGTCGGGTAGTTGCAATGCTGGCATCAACCCCAAGCGAGGCGGCGTCTTCGCCATCTACCTTGGTCCATCATCGTCGCGAAAGTGATATACCACATCCTCGAACCTCCCTTCCGGGAAGGCGTACAACCACCTCAGCTTCTCGTCGCCGCCGCAAAACACGCCATGCTCCACGTCGCCGGGTATCCAGACGACCGTGCCTCCGCACACTGCATGTCTGACGCCGCCTATTTCCACCTCGCCGCTGCCGTCGAGGATAAAGTAGAGCTCGGCTTGGGCGTGGCGATGCAGTGCGAGTGACCCCCCAGAGGGGCATTCGGCTATCCCAGCGCACAGGGAGGACGATGGCGACTGGGAGGAGGAGGAGAGGATGGTTCGCCACGATACGTTGCCGCGAAGGCTGGCTGGGAAGCTCGACGGTGCTATGTTGGCGATCTCCGCTGGGGACCTGATGATCGCTTGCGCTGGCTCTGGGGGCATGCTGGGCTCTGGCTCGACTCGACTCCTTGCAACGGGAAGAGTTCAATGCATCGATGATGCTGTTGTCATTCATACACCGCGAGGGGACTCGGCGTGTTATTACACATCGGCACCCACGTCGTTTAGAGCACGCGTCCGTCCTCCGTCAGTGTGATGATATGCCACTCCCGCGCGATGCATGGATGCGACGGTCACGACACACATCCCATCCCATTCAGCCGGCCCAGCAAGCCATGCCAGTGACTCGGTGCAGCTCTCCCACTGGGACCGGCAGCCATGTGCTTCCTTTCCCCCTTGTCCCCCTCCCTCCCCGTGCTGCACGATGGGATCATCGCCCACCCTCTGCATGCTGCCCAGCACGCACCAATGCTCAGATCTTGGATCGGTGGGACGTAGGACAGCCGCTGGCGGGCGGCTCTGGCCGATAGCCAGCACCATTGATCATCACCCCCTCCGTGGCGCCCGCATCCATGCCGGCGCCGCCGGGCGGATGCCCGCCCCCTCCCAGCCAACCAGCCTGCCGGCTCCGCTCCGCTCGGGGCCTCGGCATTGGATTTATCATTTGGTCTGCCTCAACCCCCGCCTGCTTGCCCGGTACCTCGTACGGTAATATGTAGAAGGTCCCACTGCCCAGACCGCGTCGTCACGTAAACGCCGACGCGTCCTTCGGCGATGTCTCTTCAGCGGCCGACGCCACGGTCTACTGCGTATGTCACTAACATACGAAATACATCAAATCGAATCCCGTCCGTTTGCCCGGGTCTCCTGTCCGCGTGGAGACGGGAGGCCCTTCTCGGTGACGAAGTGATGTGATGATCGAGACTGGATCGAACAATGTTTTGGATTGGAAATCACACGATGGTCTCGGAGTTTGGAACCGTCCTATCTCCATGGTTGTTTCCTCGATCTCCCGGCACATCTCGTCCGCCTACGAGGGAGGCGCATGGTGCATGCATCTGATGTCAGGGGCGGGTCTGGTGGTGAGAATGTTAATTCAACCCATGTGCCGGGACGTGTAGCTACCCGAATCAGCAATGGTAACCACCTATGGACCGTGTGGGGGTTGGCTGATAGTCTGACCAGACCTCAACTTTGTCACTGCCCGGGAGCCATCACAATCCTTCACGTCCACGCTGTCACGTCGCTTGCGCTCAATCATGATGCCCAACGCTCCTGCTACACATGCGATTCACTATCCACAACCCTGTGGCGTGCGTATCCCGGATTGACGCAAGACCAAGGAGGCATAGGCAACGGCCATCGCCGCCACTCCCATATGTGACAGACCGGAACTTGGGCTTGTGTTTGCTCGATGTCCCTCTCGTCAGGGCGGATCGTGTGGCATCATGAAGGGCGCCATTCTAAGGTCCAACATTCACGGCACTTCTCTCGTGGTCGACCAATTTCGTTAAAGTCGTCCCGCTCGCTGGCGAATTTTGGCCATGTCGTCCTTAACATATGTCGTTGCCCCGATCGCATGGTCTGTCGTCCGATGCCAACACCACTCCTGGAAGCTGTCACGATGTTGTCCATTCGTCTATTCGTTATTACCGCCTTCGGGCTTGTCGTCGCTGTGGCGGCACAGCTGTCTTCGCAATGTCAGTTTGTCCGCTTCTCGCCAGGGTTCGATTCGGAAGACCCCATTTCCTACACGGCCCGATGCGCCAGGGTGCCAGACGGGCCAGTCGAGGTGTGCTCCGAGCTCCGCCTCGGACATTGCTTCACAAACCAGGACGGAAGTCTTGGGGGTGCGGTCGAGTATGTGGATGATGTACATTGCGCAAAAGCTGTCGGAGGACATTACTAACCACCTTGCAGCGGCAACGCGGAGAGCTTCACCAACTCTTGTCCGAGCTGCAACGTCGATTTGAGTGGGAAGACCATGTTTTGCGTATGCGAGAGGATGAGCAAATCATATGTCTACACGTCCGTCAATCTTGGTAAGTGTCTCTTTCGATGGACGCCATTTTACGCTGGGGCTGATGGAAGCTCCAAGGCGACTACATCACCGTTCACGACGGCCTCCTGGCCTGCACAACAACGAGCGCGCGTCAGATATCCGAATGCCCCGTTTCCTGGATGGGAGGCCCGCCGAGGTGCCGCCGATTTGTCGGTTGACCGAAGCTACGGCCGCGGGCTTGTGACGATCTATTGCGCCTGGCGCTGTTCGTGTCCAGGGTACGTCACGACCGTGGGACCTGGGGCAACACACGTACGGACAGCATCCATCGCCAGGACCAGGACGGTTTTGAACGCGCGCAGAGGCCACGAAAAGAACTACGCTGGAGGAACTCGCACATGTGGCTGAGACGCTGGAGATATCGCGGGAAACGGCCGCACAAAACGTTATTGCTACTAGGGGACCACGTCTTTGCGACAATGCCAAGTTCCCATGTTATCATACGTTGGTACTACAAGGCTCCTCCCACCTCTAAAATCCACCCAAGAAGTGAGCCCAAGTGACGGTTCTCTAACCAATCAAATTCCCAGTCATAGTTGCAGGTATATCCCCCATTCCGACGACAGGGGCGGGGACAATTCGTGGATCGTGGGCTTCGAGGCGTGAATGTAAATCTTTAGGCCGCCACTTCTGAGAATCCACTAGCCTACGCCTTGCTGTAGCACTTGTAGGACCGGATATCGCCAATCTGGGACTTTGTGCAGGAATATGAGTGATTACTCAGTATTCCCACGCGCTGCTTCTTCCCCGTGCAATTTGGTTCACTGAACGCAAGGCAGTGGTTTAGGTGGGAGGCGGCACTGGTTGACCAAGTTCCGAGACCAAGAGCTTGTACGCCGGGCTCCAAGTTGCGGATGCAATCGCTTTTCTCAAGACTGGTGGGCAACCGCAGCCAGTATTTGCCTTCACATTTGCAGTCGGAGCATTGGTGAGCCCAAGTGTCGTGAGTCCCGGCGAGTTGAGCCGTAGCAGCGCTACTGAGCGCAACGATGGTGGCGACAAGAGCTTTGCTGAGATACATGGCTCTGGTAGGCTTGACTTTTCGCTGTAGAACTGGAGCAGCCTGGCGTATATAGCTTTATCGAAGGGGCGACGGTGTCCTTAGAGGTCAGGCGTGAATTGCGTCAAGGGACACCTTGGGTGAAGAGTTGCGAGCTGGAGAGGTGGCGAGATGTGTGAACTCGTCCGCCATGAGACCCGGGGCACTCAAGCTTCTTTTATGCTTCAGGCCTCCCCCGCGCGGATTTGCAGTTAGCTAAATCGTTCCTCACCGTTAGCAGTCAAGGGCCCGAGCGGTGGACCAGGGTGTAGCCAACCGGATTCTAGTGTGAATATTGCCTGGGCTCTTACCGACGGCCGTGGAGCTATTCGAGGTTTAGCTGTTCGCGCCGTGCCTGGCAGGTGCAGCCCGGTCTTGCTGGCATAGGTACTGGTAGACCTGATCGAGAGACATGAAACCGATTGTGGCAGACCCCAGCCCGCGATGCCTGTCTGGGCGTTTCTTAGTGCTAGTCTAAGCATCTAGTGCTACGTAAGGTTTGGAGTTCACTCTAATTAACTGGAATCATCGAGCTAGCATAAGCAATTGGAATCATCGAGCGACCAGTAACTAAAAACAAGGTATGCCTGAAAGGATTACAAGGGTTAGACAAGATTAGAATCATAGACTTAAAATGAAATGCCATCACAGCCAGCTGCGAAGCAACAGGCACTGGGCAGATCATTACGTACTATTTATCGCGCGGCATCTACGTCCCACGATTCTATACCCGCATGATTTCCCATGAATGACGCTCTTCCAATGTCTATTGGTCCCCTATTCTGACAATATGTATCTGGGTCTTTGAAGATCTGTCTCATCTAACCGCTTTCGACTATTCCGTCGATAGATACAGAGAGGAGGTGTCGACGACACTTACGTAGGATCTCTCAACAACCGTCTAGGCTAGTGTCGTATATGACCACCTCATCATACAGACAATCAAGACTCGTTATCCGGTTGAGTTTCATGCGTATCTTAAGGATAAGGGTGCCGCGAATGCCGAAACTGCGAGTTGACAGCAGTCTTTCTTCCAGCTGTATGAGCATGTGCTCGAGTCATGAGAAAGCACCTTGAAACGTTGCTGATTCGTTGAGTACCTTCAGGGGAATACTTTCCACGGAGTAGTAATGGGTGTGGTCTGCAAAAGATCGGGGATCGGAGAAACTGTTCGAGGTAGGAGGTCCATAAATTGGTAATTGTTTCCATGTACGCCGAGATATGTCTGTCAATGCTCGTGAGGGCATCCCGAAAAGTGGACGCCAGTCGCTCGCGCCGCTCGTATTGGGCCGATACAATGCTTCGTCGCAATGACATTTGTTTGACATGAGCTATAGTCGAGATGACGATTTCTCTCAGAGCCTCGATGTCAATAAAAAGCAACAGGCACGTTATGGCAATGGTGGGACTGGGGTCGGCGTAGGGCTATCAAGCAGCCTCCTGAGGTGAATGAGGCCTAGAATGTAGTGCTTGGTAGAAAAAAGGTCTTATTTCCTGAGTGAGCGGCTGCATTGTACTTGCCGCATTCTAGGTGCTCTGAAGCTTGGACAGCATGGCGAATAGCCGGGCTCGGGTGCAAGCTGTGGCATGATGGGTCCCCAGGTGCCAGCGCCGTTTTCCGGAAGGAGTCCCCGGGGCTGTATCACAACCTCCCCTAAGCGACATCACGAAAATGTCCAGCGAGTTTTGAGGCGGTAGGCTGATGGACGAAGAATATGGATGCCCGTCCGTCGGGGCGGCCGATCAAGTCAGGGTCGGATGCTAAAAACGCATTCAGGTCGCGACAGTGCGTAAGTCTGAGCGCTTCTTGAGTACCCATCACTCCTTCCCTTATTGAGGCATCTGTGACAAGCGTCGCCGTAATGTGATAACGAGGTATGGGTGTGATGTATCGCCGCCCTGAGTCCTTGGCCTGTCTGCAGATCAGGAAACCGGCCTAATACTTGGTCGCAAATCTACGTCTTATCAATAGTAGTTTGGGTTGGTAAACGGTTATGCTGCAATGGCCGTGAACAGAAAGCGCTACAGTGCTGATGAAAATGTGAACCATGTATCGTCCTCCTTCCGAAAGGGCAGATTAGCACTGCGAGGTTACTCAATCGTTCGCTTTCGCCTACAGCGCCCAGGATGATTACGTCACAGCGGCGGTTGACGAGCTGTCACCCGGATGCTTGGTATCGATGGTTGGACATTTCGCGGTGAGGCTCTCGTCGCATCATGGACGTATGCCTTTGACAGCCATGGTTCGTTCGTATTTTCCAAACAGCGCGGCGAAAGACTCGACGTGGGATCTCGGCCTCAGCCGGCAAGCCGCGGACGGTGCGCACTCGACGGTCGGGCGGTGCGCTGCAAGGAGTCATGACAAGGCTGTTGACTGACGTGTGTCGCAGGTCTGGCCTGAGCCAAGCCAGCGAGCCAAGCACGTTGGCGGGGCTGCGCCGGTGAGTGGCTGCACGTGACGAGTCGAGGAATTCTCGGCAATGGCCAGGTGGTCGAGGAAGGTACCTGCATGTACCTGGAAGATGTCTATCACCGTGCACCAGCAAACACTATAGGTTCTGCACGGCGTGGGCGACACTCAACGTCGCGCGGAAAAAGCAGAGAGCCCTTCACACTATGATGTAGAGTCTCAAATTGCTGGCGGTCTCATTCTTTTTCTAAAATGTCCTTGCTGTATGATATCGCATTCATAGCATTAATACTCATCACCTCGTCTCCCTTATCGCTCCGTGTCCGCGTCTCGGCCAACCCGATAGATACCTGCCAGTACCTGCGTGGCAATACCACGGAGAAAAAAGTCAATCGCCCGCCACCTCGCTCCGCCTTGGCTGCAGTGCGCTGGACTCGCCCGGCGCTTGGTGCCTGTGTTCCTGGAGGTTCAGTCATGTCACAGGCTCTGAGTGGCCCGTGCCCCCGGCCGGCGACCCATACCCGAATAGTTCCGAGCCACTAAATTTTTCTGCACTTGCACTGAGAGGCCAGCCGCGCCCGCCCCCTGCCTGAAGTGGCCGCCCTCCCGCCGGGCAACCTGAATGGCCCGGCCGGCCCAAGGGCAAAAAAAGACCTCAGAACAAACCGCCAACTTTTTCTTCCCTCCTCCTCCCTCATCCCCAGAATCTCCACGTCGAGAACATCCTCAATCCCCCCCCAACTCCACTCCTTGTCCTGGTCGCCGTCTCCCCGTCGTCCTCTCTAATTCACAATGGCCTCTCCCGCGCAGTCCACCGGCTCGACCAAGGTCGACGCCGTCATCCAGAATGTCAAGGCTGCTGAGCCCCAGAAGCTGTCCGGCGTCGCGCTGTACTCGCGCTTCGCCCTTGCCGGCGCCATCTGCTGCTCCGTCACCCACGGTGGTCTCACCCCCGTCGATGTGTACGTTGCCTCTTGAGCAAACCCTTCGTCTCGACGCGGGCGGCGCTATCACCGATGCGAGAGCGCCGCTGCGAAACAGACGACGCTCCTAATGTCCGAGTCGCGATCGCGACTGGCAGCCAGAACACCTGTGCTAACATGGCTCCCTTCAGCGTCAAGACCCGCATCCAGCTCGACCCCCAGACCTACAACCGCGGCATGATCGGCGGCTTCCGCCAGGTCATCCAGAACGAGGGCGCTGGCGCTCTCCTCACCGGTGTCGGCCCTACCTTCGCCGGTTACTTCCTCCAGGGCGCCTTCAAGTTCGGCGGTTACGAGTTCTTCAAGCAGCAGTGCATCAACCAGCTCGGCTACGAGACTGCCTCCAACAACCGCACTGCCGTCTACCTCGCCTCCTCCGCCGCCGCCGAGTTCTTCGCCGACATCGCCCTCTGCCCCCTCGAGGCCACCCGTATCCGTCTCGTCTCTGAGCCCACCTACGCCAACGGTCTCATTGGTGGCTTCTCCAAGATGCTCAAGAACGAGGGTATTGGTGCCTTCTACGCTGGTTTCGGACCTATCCTCTTCAAGCAGTAAGTCTTCAATGGCGCCTCTTCTGGCAAGCTTTCATGTGAGCCCGCGCTAACGCATTGCGCAGGATTCCCTACACCATGGCCAAGTTCGTTGTCTACGAGAAGGTTGCCGAGGCCATCTACCGCTCGTACCCCAAGAAGGACATGTCCGACGGCCAGCAGACCGCTGTCAACCTGGGCTCCGGTCTCATCGCTGGTTTCGCCGCCGCCATCGTCTCTCAGCCCGCCGACACCATGCTCTCCAAGATCAACAAGACCAAGGGCCTCCCCGGTGAAGGCACCACCTCCCGCCTCATCAAGATCGCCAAGGAGCTCGGCTTCCGTGGTTCTTATGGCGGTATCGGCGCCCGTCTGTTCATGGTTGGTACCCTGACTGCCGGTCAGTTCGCCATCTACGGTGACGTCAAGAAGGCCCTCGGCGCCACCGGCGGTGTCGAGATCGCCAAATAAACGCATTCCCTTTGTGTTTAGATGTATAGATGGGAGAAGAGGGTGGATATGGCATAGAGGCGCCTGAGCTTGCCACGCGTTGCACTGCCCAAGAGCTGGGCCTTGCGCGCGTGTACGGCTTGTGCGCCTTCATAGAGAGCGGAGTGGTATCGTCATGGCATTGCGTCTCCAGCGAGCAGGGAGACGCCATGCCCATCGTTTGTCGCCTCGACGACTAGACCTTTGGGACGGGATGAGATCCGGTCTCGTGTTTGCCTAGAGTAGAGCATAGAGTGGCAGACCAGGGGCATTCTACCCAGGGTTGTATAATAGTCGATTTCACGTTCCAAATAGACGGGAGTTCTTTTGGCTGTAACCGCACGTCCTGCTACGCTATGCGATTGATGCTGTGAAACTGACTGCTTGGCCTTGTCTTTATTACATGGGTTCTCTCGTACCTTCGCAAAGAAGATCTGAAAATGCTGGCCTTGAATTGGACTGTTGGACAGGCATTTTGGCTGCCTGGGTACCTTCAAGACAGGGTCTCGGCGCTCATGGTCGAGTTGGTGCAGGCGGCAGTGGCTTTTTTAGTGGCTTATCTTATCAGCTCAGGTGTCCCAAAATTTCTTCGGCGGTGATTCCCACACGTCGGTCCAGCATCCGTCGCCATCCACCATCACGACAATTGCGCGAGACTCTGGCCCAGGATGGTGAAGAGAAAAGTCGCTGCGCTCGAGAAAATCGACGCAGACTTGTATGTTTGAGTCTCGAACTCTCTGCGCAACCAAAGCTAACGCACGCAGTGCGAGTCTGCAGTACAAGATCCGCCGCGATCCCAAGTGAGAAGACGAGAACATCGCGCCCAAGGCCGCCAGCCTGCTAACCGACCCTTTAGATCGTACAAGGATGACTTCCTGAAGCAATGGGAGCAGTATGAGTCGCAGCGCGAAATCTTCCTCATGTCGCCCGGCACGGCGACGGGCGACCTGGTCGAGTCCTTCCACAACATGGTCGACCTGATCGCGCACGTCGCCGACTGCTACCCCGAAGAGACCAAGACTTACCCCGACGACCTCAAGACGATCCTGATACAGCACCACACGGTCATCCACCCCGAGCTGAGAGACAAGGTGGTGGGCAGCCTTGTCCTGCTCCGGCGCAAGGACATCATCGACTCGGCCGACCTGCTGACGACGCTGTTCCCCATCCTCGTCTCGTCGCCGAGCAAGACCCTGCGCGAGCTGCTCTTCAACAAGATCCTCAGCGACATGCGCAACTCCAACACCAAGGCTACGAACCACCCACTGAACCGCACCATCCAGACCGTCCTCTACAACCTCGTCACCGCCGACAGAACCTCGCCCCGCGCCATCTGGGCCATCAAGCTGACGCGCGAGCTGTGGAAGCGACAAATCTGGACCGACTCGAAGCCAGTCGATGTCATGAAGGAGGCCTGCCTCGCTGAAAACGAAAAGGTTGTCGTTGGCGCAACGCGCTTCTTCCTTGGCGGCGACAAGGAGCGAGAGGAGCTCGAGGACGAGAGCAGTGATGAGGAAGTGGACCTGGGCAAGGTCCGCCACCAAGTCAACATCAACAAGAAGAGCAAAAAGCAAAAGAAGGCGCTGGAAAAGGCCGTCAACAAGGTCAAGCAAATGGAGCGCAAGAAGGGCAAGCCGCACCCACTCAACTTCTCCGCGTTGCACCTCCTCCACGACCCGCAGGAGTTTGCTGAGCAGCTCTTCTCAAAACACTTGCAAAACACAAAGGCCAAGCTGTCGCTGGATACGAAGCTGCTTGTCTTGCAGCTGGTCACGCGGTTGATTGGTCTGCACGAGCTGACGGTCGTGCCGCTCTACTCGTGGTTCATCAAGTACCTCACACCGCGGCAGCAGTCTGTCACGTCGTTCTTGGCCTCTCTGGCGCAGGGAACGCACAAGCTCGTTCCACCGGATGTACTGGAGCCTTTGATACAGAAGATTGCCAATGAGTTCGTCTCTGAAGCCTCGGCGTCAGAGGTTGCTGCCGCAGGTCTCAACGCCATCCGAGAAATTTGTGCTCGGCAGCCGCTGGCCATGACAGACACCCTGCTACAGGATCTAGTCCAGTACCGAAAGAGCAAGGACAAGGGCGTCATGATGTCGGCCAAGGGCCTCCTCTCACTGTACAGAGACGTCGGTGCTGAGTTGCTGAAGAAGAGGGATCGCGGCAAGGACGCCACCATCGGCCTCAGGTCAGGAGCGCAAGCTCAGCGGAAATTTGGTGAGGAGCAGGCCGGCGGCATCGAAGGTCTGGAGTTGCTCGCCAAGTGGAAGGAGGATGAGAGGAAGCGAAAGCGAGCAGAGAAGGGGCTGCCGGAGACTGCCGGAAGTGACGAGGAAAAGGACGAGGATGAGCTCAATGACAGCGACTGGGAGGTGGACTCGGACGATAGCAGCAGCTCCGGCGAGTGGATCAACGTCAGCGACTCGGAAGACGAGGCGCCCGTGCTCAAGAAGCAGAAGAAGTCTGCAGATGACGAATCTGAGGAGGACGAGGCCGACGCCGAGGAGCGGGCCGCTGAGCTGGAGCGCATGTCCAAGCTCGCCACCACGACAATCCTCACACCCGCCGACCTCGCCAAGCTGCAGGAGCTCCGTTCCGCAGCAGCCGTGGACAGGGCCCTCGGCGGAAAGAGCCAGCGCAAGCGCGGATCGAACACAGACGGACCCCGGCACGCTGACGACGCCCTCACGGCGGAGAACATCGAGGCACCGGCGCGACTGCGCAAGCTCACCAAGGAGGAGAAGGTGGCGCTGGCCAAGGAGGGCAAGCCAGCTCGCGAGGAGCACAAGAGCACGCAAGCCATCCGCAAATCCAAGAAGGAAGCGGAGGGGAAGAGCACGAGCAACCGCGAGAAGCAGCGCAAGAAGAACTTCCTCATGACGCTCGGAAAGGCGAAGAGCAAGCAGAAGAGGAGCTTGGTGGAGGCACGCAAGGTGCTGAGGGGTCACGTAGAGCGCAGCTCCAGGGGCGGACGCAGGAGGAACGGCGTCTAAAAGGGAAAAAAAGAGACGATGGTCTCCCTACGAAGTATCTATCTGTCTGTCGCATTTTGTTGCAGCGAGGTCACGGGATTCATGGACTATACACTATTCATTTGTCGGCGCTTTTCTCTTTTGGGGAGGATGGGCATTAGTGAATTATCAATCTTTGAACTCGAAAGAGCGGGGAGGGGGTATAGAACAGTGTACGCGGCGAGACAAATAGGCCGCGATCAAGACTCAAGACTCAAAACAGAGAACCATGACCAAGGTCAAGACAACCGACAAGACAAACCAAAACCACGCCATGCACAACTCGCTGGGTTCCTCCTCTGTCTGCTCCTCCTCCGTCCGCTCCTCCGTCCTACTCACTCCGAGTCCCATCCGCGGTTTGTGTCCAGCTCCGTCTGGTCCGAGTCGTAGCCCGACGATCCGCCGCTGCCGTCCTTCACGCGCTTCGCGGGTCGCTCCGCCTTCCACTGCGTCGGAGCACTGCGCTTCTTGTTAGTCGAGGACGCGGACGAGGACAACGATCCGGCTGCTGCCGCCGCCACTGCACGTCCCTTCTTCTTCTTCGCGACGCCGCTCTTCTTGGTCTTGGTGGCCGAGGCGGAGCTGCCGCCGCCGCTGCTACTGCTCGACGAGGACGCAGTCTCGGTAGTGTCGCCGCGATAGCCTCGCTTGTCGTTCTTCAAGTGCAGGAGGATGCTCGCCGCGTGAATGTCCTGCAGGTCGCTGGCCTCGGCGCTGGTGGCCCGCGCGACCTGCTTCTGCTTCTGCTTTTCCTTCTGCTGGTTCGTCGTCGTCGTCTTGTTGCTGGTGGTCTTGGTCACCCGCGATGAGCCCGAGTCCGAGCTCGACTTCAGGGCTTGGGAGGGGGTAGTGCCGCGGCGGGACTGGGTGGTCTTACGCGTCTTGCCGCGGCGGAGCGGCGCCTTGGTCTTCTTCTTGGACGACGACGAGGCCGAGGCCGAGGACGTGGTGGAAGGGGCCGGGAAGGAGGACGAACCGCTGGGGCGAGAGGCGGGCGTGTTGGGCGGCGTGCCCGGAACGCGAGGCGAAGAGTTGGTCATGTTTTCGACTCGTGGTGCGTACGGCTTGACCGGCTTTTGTTGCTTGCCTGCTTGCCTGCTTGCCTTCCTGATTGCTTGCTTGCTTGCTTGATTACCGCGCGGAGGGGATCGGGGATTGGGGGCCCGGGCTTCCGTTTCTCCAACGGAGTGGTGATACTTCACTGATATTTTTTTTGTTTCTCGCGAGAAAAGGGAACGACTGCGTCAGCAACGAGGGAGGGAGTGATTGATCTCTACCAGGACCGAAACAGCAAAAGCGCCTTCACGGCGAGGTCGATTTGGCAACGAGCGCGCGTGTGTGTATGTGTGCAAAGGCAGCACGACTGAGTGAGTGAGCGAGCGAATGAACGAACGAAACGAGCGAGCGAGCGAAACGCGCGTGTGAGATTCCTTGCCTGTGAGGGAGATGTGACGAGGGCAAAGTCGAGCGTGATGGTGCACGAGGGAAAGAGAAACGAAAGGGATGCACGCCCGGTGGTATATATTCTCCCCTTCGGGGAGACCTGTTCACGTACGGGCGAGCGGGTCTCGCAGCTGTTCGCAGCTGGTGCTGCTCCGGTTCTCGGAACGGTGAATGAACACCCGGGGCACGAATAGGTGTGTTATGTGTGGGCAAGGAGCAATGGGGAGAAGGGGTGGTGTGGGGGGAGGAGGTGTCGCACACGTTCTCGCACAAAGGGCTTGTTCCATGAGCGGGGACATCATGGCACGGCTAGCTGTGAATCAACAATAGTCACAATGGTACCGCGGACCCAAAGAAGAATGAGCGTGAAAAGGCGACGTTGTAAATATCGTGCGTGGCCTTCGGGCGACTAATCAAGCAAGATACTCTAACATGGCTGTATCCAAAACACCCTCACAGGGGTGATGAGGCCTATGTAGCAAAATATGAAACGACAGAGAGGGCGCAGCGGCCCTCAAGACTTGGCCTTGACTGCTGCTTCTGTCTGAACATCTTCCGTCTGGTTGCTATGCCCGCTTCCAATGTGCTCGTCGTTGGCCTTCTCGTCCACGGCGTGCAGACCACCGTTCTCCATGTCCTCGCTGTGGCCGTGCATGCCGATTTCGGCCTCGCCAAACGAATCGACCACCTTGACGTACGAGGGCAGGAAGTTGACGCACAGCGCGTACGTCCAGGCCGCAATCAGGAACATCATGGGTACCAGCATAGCGAACCCGTCGCCGTGCTTGTCGCCGGCCAAGCCCGTGAGCGGGGGCACGCATGCGCCGCCGACGACGCCGCCGACGATGTAGCCGCTGCCGCGCTTGGTGTGGCGGCCTAGCCCGCGCATGCCGAGCGCGACGATGGTGGGGAAGCAGATGGACTCGAAGAAGAGCACCACGTAGAGCATCGAGATGCCGATGTTGCCGCCCTGCGTGATCGACGGGCCGATGAAGATGATGCAGCACGTCAAGAAGGCCAGGAAAACCCATCGCGGCTTCACAAACTTCATAATTCCGACGCCGGAGAAACGGCCGATGGCGAAGGCGGCTTGCGCTCCCGCAAAGAGTTTGGAGCCCATCGAGTCGCTGGTGCCTGGGCGTGTACCGGTCGCGTAGTTGATGAAGAAACTGGCGATGGCAACCTGGGCGCCGGTGTAGCAGAACTGCGCAAACGCGGCATGGAACAGCTTGTACTGCTTGATGAACGGCTTCTCGTCGGCATCGGTATGTGTCTCTCTGGCTTGGTACTCCATATCTGTGACACAAGCAACGTCAACAATACAGGAACAATTGACAAGAACATGGAGGGGTTAGGGCGGCGTACCGGCATCCGTAATTTCGGGGATGTTAGCAAAGAAGAAGGCCGTGGCAAGGAGCAAGACGAAGATGGCGATGGCGAGATAGACCCATTGCACGTTGTCCAAAGCCCGCTCATCGCTGAAGTTGAAGAAGACGTAAGAGCCCAGGACTGGCGCAATCACCGTGCCGATGCCGTTGAAAGCCTGGGAGATGTTGATGCGGATCTCGGAGTAGCGTGGTGGGCCGCACACTGAACAATGCTGTCAGTCGTCACATATGCATTGATGCACCACCTTTCCTGGTGGCGGCAGCGGAGGGGCGCATTGCATGGGGTCCGCAGAGGGTTATCGGGGGTCACTCATACCTGTGATGAAGGGGTTGGCAGCCGTCTCCAGTGAGCCCAGGCCATTACCAATGATGAAGATGCAGGCGCAGAACCCGCCAAAGCTCTTGCCCTTCAGAGCCGGAATGGCAAGGATCGCACCGAGTGCGTAAAGGCAGAGCCCCCAGATAAAGACCGCCCGGTAGCCATAGTGACGCAGGATCCAGGCAGCGTGTCCGATGGATGCCAGGGGATATGCGCTGTAGAGAGAGAGATGGTGGGTCAGTCCCAGGAACGGCACAGCGACGATGTCGTGCGTGCGCCCGTCCGTGTCGCACGGCGTCGCGGGATATGCAGTATAACGTACCCAAAGTAAGCGGCCTGCAGGCCGGAGGAGCGCGCACGATCTATGTGCAACACCGTCTGGAAGTGCTTGTTGAGGGTATCGAGCAAACCATAGCTGAAGCCCCAAAGGAAGAAGAGCACGGTGACAAGGCAGATGGGGAAGATGGACTCGCGCAGGGTCAGCTCGGCAGCCCTTGTCCGTCGCGAGTCGTCGGCCTTGAGGGAGCGCTTCTTGAAGAATTCCTTGGCGCCCATGGTGGCGGGCGTGGGTTGAGCAAGTCTCTCTCAGCCCTGCAGTGCAATGACCGGAAGCAGCCGACTCGTTGACGGATGGATTGCGGTCGAGGGCCGAAGCGCAACGCAATAGGGGCAGAGAAGAAGAAGGGTTGCAATCCGTCGTCGTCGTCGTCGCATGGAGCCGGGAGCGACGATGATTTAACCTTTGCTGGAGCACTGGTCGCTGGCCCCTCACGCCGCGTGCATGGTCGCTTCGCCTGGCACTGTTCCTCGTGGTGGCTCCGTCGGGCGAAGCGCGTGGAGGGAAGGATGGCAGCGTCGGCTTGAATCCCGCCGGGACGAAACCCTGTCAGCTCGTCCGGAAGAGGGTGCCAGTCCGTGCCAGACAGTCTGGGGGAGCTGATGGCCGGCATCCACTTGGTCGCGCGCCCTGCCTTGTCCGAGCCCATGCCAGCAAGCCAGCAAAACTCCCGTCGGCAGAATTCAGTTTGGCCATTCGGCGCCACGCCGATCAGACAGCGCCAGCGCCAGCCCAGACAACGACTCGCTTGCGGCTGGGGAAGCCACCTCGACAGTGGCATTTCGCTTCCAAAACGGCCTGCTGTCTGTCGCTGGTGGGAGCCGCAACGGCTGCCAGCCCGCGCGACATTTGATCGCCACTCGCGATACGTCTCCTGCGGCGGCGACGACGGACAGCTCGCCCCCATTCACCCGAGGGGACCATGCTCAGAGGCCGGCAGGCATAGTGCTTCGTATGCTGGCATTTGCAGGTCTTGCCGGTTCCACTCGCGTGCCGCCCCCCTCCACCCTCAAAGGTCCACGTTGGGGAAACTGCCAGGATTGCTGCAGAGCCGGTCCATTTCCCCAGAGCCAAGCCCCACGGGGATTTGCGTCTCGCGCCAACATGATTGGAGCCGTCGACGATTTAGCCCGACGGTTTCGACACAATGATGCCCCGAGGCAGTCGCGTCCGCATCCGCCTGTCGCTGGTTTGTGGAGCGACGGGGACGACAATGCGGAGTGCATGGCAGCAGTCCGCTAGAAGAAGCGTTGGAAACTTCGATGACGAAGAGGCGGCCGACGGGTGAATCGCCATCGCCTCGTGGCGACAGCGGCTGGGCACTGGGCGAGCGAGGCCTGACGAGGAACGGTCCGTCAGCCTTCGCAGGCAGTCAGGCAACGAGAACTGACAAAGGCCGACTCGACTCATAGGTCGCAACAACAAGGGGATCTCTCGTATCCGCCTGCTCGTCGTTTTGTGAGCTGCCTATATCGTCGTGTTTGCTCCTCGGCGGCGCAGGCGCCGTGTCTGTCTGGTGCGGGTTCGAGGAGTTTTGCTTTGTTTCGTGGTTGTCGACCGTCAGATTCGACAGGGGTTGCTCTGGAAATGAAGGCCATTCCCGTGCGCAGGAGACGTGGTCAAAGCTCTCGGGTCGACGTGAAGACACACCTGCCGGCGTTCAAAACCGGTAGGCTGCGCGGTGAGTGAGAGCAACACAGGAGCGGGCCCGGACTGTTCCGTGAAGATGCTGAGCCTCAGAACAAAAGCTGGCGTTCGGCAGCTAACGGCAGCTTACTGCGTCGCTTAGGCGGGCTTTCATCTTACGAATCGATAGCGCGACGGGAAGGCAGTCACGATGGGGGTGCCTTCCACATCTGCCGGCTTGGCTGACCCCATCACGTGTCTCTGCAACGAGGCACGGGAGTGGAAGGCGACAACTGAGAAATGAGAACAACGTGGCCTTCTCACGATGCGGAGATTCCACGCGGCAGCGGGATGCACTTGCGGGAGCCTGCTCCTAGCCCGATACGCTCTGCGACCTTGTCCATGACAAATTCCTCCTACGAAGCGCCGAAATATGACCACGACAGCTATGTTTGCTTGCCCCAGGAAATTGTTGCTTTTCGCACGCCGGGGAAACCAACAGTGGTGCCATGATCAACCTTGGGCATTCTGGCGCCATGCGAAGTACCAGTATGCCAACATCCAACTGAGGCAATAACGAGCGAAACAAAGCAAAATGACAGAGAAAGCAAGGCGACTATCGCTGCAGGATAGTGTGCCTGGTGCTTTGAGCTCCCGTGCCGCCTCTCGCACTGAGCGGTCGAGCTCTTGCACGTCCGCCGAGCTCCTTGTCCTCGAACTCCTTGAGCTGCGTTATGGCGCACTCGTGGATGCGGTCGACGAAGAAGAGTGGACTCTGGGAGGGACGAAAATGGCTTTAACGCTCAATTTGCGCTACACCTGGCCGCACTATTGTAGAAGTCCATGAACTACAGACCAGGTCAGCTCGACCCTGGCCTCCCTCGGAGGCTGAGACGGCCAGCCAGCAAGCAAGCCACTCCGCAGTGGACCTGTTGCCTCTTGATCGTGCATCGACACACCTCGACCCCACGACATGAGGGACAGAGATACCTCAAACAACGTCCACGGCGAAAGAAAGACCCTGCTGCGTGCCCTGCGAGAAGGCCGTGCCGTTAAGCGCTATGAGATGGATCCGTCAACGTTCGACGGTCTCGTGGCACGCTGACGCTCTACGCGGTATATCTACCTATCTGCCGCTCGATGAACCACTTTGACCTCGGCGAGAACAGAGAGATTGGTGGCTGTTTTCGGCTGGATTCTTGCCGCCCAGGGACTCACTCTTTCGTATGCGACACGTCCCCGAGCGGTTTGCGTTGAAGGTCTCATGGCCAGCACCTACCATCGCATCAATCAGTCCAGCCCTCACTGCGGCACGATTACCGACTACATGACCCCGAAGGCCATGAGCCGTGAAGAGTGCTCGCGTGACATAGCCTTTTAAAACGGGGGCGATGCCACTGCACAAAAACGTGCCCTGCCCTGCCGTTCCGGCTGGCTGAGAACGCGGGAGCTGCGACCGCTTGGCGGCAAACTCGACATCTTGGCGTCCTGGACCTGGAGGCGACCGTTGAGTTGACCGACTCGTGGAAAGACGATGAGAGCACGAGATCCGGTGCCCGTTCTGGCCGAAGAATACTGCCAAGGTACGCCGTCGATGGAGTTTTCTGAATGCCCAGAACGACAAGACTCCATGAGTACCTACGACGGCTACACGTGGAAGCTGCCATTGCGGTGATTGGCCATGCAATCCAGGACGCTCCCGGATCTGGAGCCAGGCTTCCCGCAATTTTTTGCTTGGCGTACTAACTAGCATTAGAGTTGGTGTTTAGAGTTGTCTTCGCATCACCATCATCCACCCCACCGCCTCGAGTCAAGACCCGCCTGGCACTTGAGAGCCGCCACGGTGAAGGCTGTGCTGCTCGCATGAACGAACAGATTGCTGAGGATGGCCTGTGTCTGGTACCGGAACGCGGAGACGTTAAAACGGCGACGATTAACCAACCACCATTCGCCGCTTCGAACCCTCGTCGCTTGCGACATAGCCACCCGTGCCATTTGGTGATTGCCGATGTTGTTTGCACTCCAAATCAGCTAAGCGCTCTGTCGGGCTTCAAGGAACTGGTCGCGTGCCTGATGTACACATTGAGAATGGCCTGCGGTGAAAACGCCACCGCGAAATGTACTTGCCGATGTCCTAACGCCACCCCTGACATGATGCTTGACGGCTCCACGACGGGGACCTCCTGGCACCTCGGCAAGCGATGTTCAGGGGCGCAAGCTGCAGTTACGGACATGCGGACTCGAAGGCAGATTCTCCAATGAGAATAGGCAATTCCACCACGGCTTGTCTACAGGACCCGTCAGTGCAGACGGCTGTCCCGTTGGCGGTCTTGGCCGCTCTCCACCTGGCCGCTCTAGACATGCCGGTCGACCAGCTTCATGTGGGTTGCGCCTTGCTACCGCTATCTGTTCTAAGCCGATCCTTTGTGCTGCCCGCCTTCCTGGATGATCCGAGAGACGCGCCGCCACCTGAACCTGTCCGGCCTATATAGACCTTTCCTGGCACTTACGCTCCTGGTCGTCGTCTCTTTCCCAAGCTACACTTCGCCCTCGTCCACCGATCTCCTGAAACGAACGAGCCTCCGGTCCCGATTGCGTTTAAGTTGCCCTTCTATTTCAGGGAAGCTTAGAGCGTGGCTAAAGCGACGGGTAATCGGCTTCGTCACCATGGCCCTCCACCAATATGACTTTCTGCTGGCGGTCGGCACGATCTTTGCGTTCCTAGATGCATGGAACATTGGCGCCAACGATGTCGCCAACTCCTGGGCCAGCTCAGTTTCCTCCCGTTCCATCACCTACCTGCAGGCTATGCTGGGCGCTTCCGTCATGGAATTTAGCGGTGCTCTGGGTGTCGGCGGCCGTGTGGCGGACACCATCCGTACCAAGGTTGTCGACACTACGGCCTTCAATGACGAGCCTGCCTTGCTCATGCTCGGTATGGTCTGCGCTGTCATTGCGTCCGCAAGCTATCTTACCATGGCTACCCGGCTGGGCATGCCCGTCTCGACGACCCATTCCATCCTTGGCGGTGTCTTGGGTATGGGCGTCGCCGCTCTCGGTGGTGATGGCATCACTTGGGTGGGCTACAAGAACGGAAAGGTCGACCTAAAGCAGGGCGTGGTGCAGGTTTGTTCTTTGATCGCGACATGCAATGCTTCGACTGCTGACCATCCACTCTTTGAAAGGTCTTCATGGCATGGATCATCTCGCCCGTGATGGCAGGAGCCTTTGGTGCTTGCATATTCCTCCTCACCAAATACGGCGTCCTTCTACGATCGAACCCGACTATGAAGGGTCTGATGCTCGTCCCCATATACTTCTGGCTTACGGCTTCTCTCATCGTCATGTTGCTCATCTGGAAGGGCGGTGACTACGAGGTCAACCTCACCGATGCGCAAATTCCGGGCGTCATCGTGGCCGTTGGTGCCGGCTGGGGTCTGCTCATGGCCCTCTTCCTCGTCCCATGGATGTACCGTATCGTCGTCAAGGAGGACTGGCAGCTCAAAGCCTGGCACATCTTACAGGGGCCATTCCTGCTGCGACGCGGCGAGGTTCCTCCGCCGCCTGCCGATTTCAAGGGCGTTGTGCGCAACTTCTACGAAGGCCACCTGACACGGGAGGAGCTTGACGCTCGCCGAGCACGCACTGCCGCCGCCGCCACCAATGACATCGAGGGCCAGCATGAGAAGACGGCTACTGGGTCTGAGACTCCTACCCCGGGCCCCGAGGACTCTGCGCCCACTCACAAATCCCTCGTTGGTCCCAAGCCGGATGCCCCATGGCATACTCGCGCCTACATGTGGTGGTTCATGAAATGGCTTGTTCTTCGTGGCGTTGATCAAGACATTGTCAGCTCGCAAAAGGACAAGTCCGTCATCGCGGGTGATGTTGAAGAGATCCACGCGCATGCGAAGCACTACGACAACCGTACCGAATTCCTCTACACGTTCCTCCAGATCATGACCGCGTCCGCCGCGTCATTCACCCACGGCGCCAACGATGTCGCCAACGCCGTCGGCCCATATGCCTCTATCTTCCAGATCTGGCAGAGCGGCGCGGTTCCTCTCAAGGGAGCCAACGTGCCGCTGTGGATTCTGGCCTTTGGCGGCGTGGGCATCGTCATTGGTCTCTGGACCTACGGCTATCACATCATGCGAAACCTGGGCAACCGAGTGACGCTCATGTCGCCGGCGCGTGGCTTTTCCATGGAGCTGGGCTCCGTCATCACGGTCATTGTCGCCACTCGTCTTGGTATGTTGCCCACATTAGGTGTTTGATTGTGAATTGCCATACTAATTAGTCTGCAGAGCTTCCCGTATCGACAACGCAGTGCATCACCGGCGCCATTGTAGGTGTCGGCCTCTGCAACGGCGACTGGCGGGCAATCAACTGGCGGATGGTCGCGTGGATCTACCTCGGCTGGTTCATCACGGTGCCCGTGGCCGGTCTCATCTCGGGCATTCTCATGGGTTTCATCATCAACTGCCCTCGTTGGTAGAAGGGCTGCATGGCTGGCGCACAACGGGTTATTAGCGGAGCTGCAGGCTGGACTCATGCTTGTTTTACACGTACATACTACATATAGAGCTCGTACATACACATCAAGGTGACACATTGCGGTGTCTGTGTTACTGTGACACTGTGACTCTGACATCCACGTCCTACGGCGGATTCGTACGCTGCCACCGCTGCCCATCGCACTTTATCTCCAAGATCCCCAACGGCCTCGCACCAGAGATTGCGTTACTTCACACTCACATCCGGCGTATAGAGTTCCAGTGATTTAGTGGGAACAGATGCTCTCGAATCTTGACCAAGATCGTAGGTAATGAAACAGCCAATCTAACAGGCAGTCCGTCCAGCAGCCCAGGTTTGCAGACAGCCCAGCCTGCAGGCAGCGCACCTGGGCAGCATGCAGGCAATCTCCCAGCGGGCAGATCAGCGCTCCATCCACTAAAGTTTAGTGACAGGCGGCGCGCTGACATAATATTGCGTGGGCCTCGTAACCGTTGAATGCACGGCGCCCGATACGTCTTTTAGGCCCCGCCTTCGCTTTGCAGGCGCGCGATCACCTAAAGTCCGTAAGACATCAACGGCTCCTCGCCTTTTCATGAACCTCCGACGTCTTTGTTTGGGTATTCACCATGCTTGGTTCGTACGCAAATGCGTCTGACGCCCAGCTGCCGCGCAAGCGCAAGCGCCCGACAATTTCTTGCTCCGAATGCCATAGGCGCAAACAGAAAGTGCGTTTCACGGCCGGGATTTGACCAGACTATCATCTAACTAGCATCAGTGCGACCGGCAGCAGCCCTGTTTCCACTGCACCCGACGGGGCAAGACCGTACGATCTTTTGGCCCATCAGTGCATCGACTTGTCCTGACATATCGTAGGAAATCTGCTTGTATGAGCACACCGCGGAGGAGTATATGTCTTACGAGTCGATCACGACAGAACTAGGGACAATCGAGAACGCGTCAATATCTCAGATCCCTTCCGACACCAGGCCAGGCTCGGAGGCCGTGATCGATCAATTGATGTCGAGACAGCTGGGATACTCCAGCAGTTGCAGCACAGGAACCTTCAAGATTGTGTCGCAACTCGGAGAGCCGGATCGCAGCCCGGCGACCTTCGCCAACAGCCGGCGAAACAACGACGCGGCGGCTCAGTACCTCGGTCTCATTAGGGAAATACCACACCGGAAATATGTGAACATCCTAGTTCATTCGTTCTTCACAAACGTCGCTTGGCACTACGATGTTATCGAAGAGGCAATATTCCGGGACGAACTATCGGACTGGGACCAGGTCTCGTATACTGCGCTGAAGCAGGGTCCGGAGTACTTGCCCGTCAACACACGATATTTCCCGGCACTACTCCTTCAAGTCCTCGCCCTCGCACTGCTATACCAACCGGTCCAATACGATGACATACTGGACGACCTCAAATATGCGCCCGACATCGACTTTTCCGACCTGGCCTCGGACTATAGCACTGCTGGGCATCAGATCATGTGTATGCTCGGGAGCCGAGACATGCCGTTATCGAAGATCCAGGCTGGTCTGATGAAGGCATGCTTCGAGAAGAGCATTGGCTCTGTTATTGAATCCTGGCATACACTTGGGAGCACCATCCGAGACGCTCAAGAGCTTGGCCTGCACCAGCTCAGCCCGTACGATGCGAACAAAATCGCTTCAGATGCCAGCAAGCCGCGAGAGGTGAAATTGAGGAGAAAGCTGTGGCTAGTTTTGCACCTCTGGGACGCACACATGGCCGCTGTTCTCGGACGGCCCATGGCTACAAGACTGGATCCACGCGTCGTGAGTTCAACGAGCCCGCCGACGGCATCCCCGCCGCAAGACCAGCAAGAGGTGATATTGTCCCCATTTGACATCATACTCTGCGGCTATCATGCTGCCTTCAAGTATCTTCAGGACATTCATGACCTTGAGGTCACAAGCAAGATCGCTCAAGAAACGGTCCAGAAGATACACAACGCCGTCGTGAGCAACATCTCCCGGCTTCCAGCATGGGCTACCTCCCCCTCCCCTACGCTTGACTGCAAATATCCGTGGCTCCCTGCCGCTCGCGAGACGCTCATCACTGAGGTTTATTTTGTCTTACTCGCGTTGCATCGTCCTTTCATGTCCTCCCTCTCCACAAGTCGCGTGGAGGCCCTCAAGGCCGCCTTGCAGATGCTCGAATCGCAGAACAGACTTTTCAGCCAAGCTGGATCTCACATGCACATGTCATTCACGCTTGTTTTTGCTACATTCGATGCTATGGTGCTCGTTGCAGCGACGTACCTTGGCTTCCCGAGCGACAACCTGGAGCTCCTACCAGCATCGATGAAATGCATGCAATGGGGCTTGGCGAGGCTGGATGCAATGAGAGCGCGAAACACCATGGCCGGCCTGGCTTACGATGTGGTACAGGCCCTGTATCAGAAAGTGTTGAGTTGCATCACCATTCCAGACCCCCCGGCCCTTTATACCGACGATTCGGGAAATTTCAACCGTGTCGCGCAGATACCCTCTGGAGATTATGCTGGACAAGAAATTCTTCAGGTTACGGGCGCAATGGCGAATACCAAGCAGGATTTGGACAATCAGCTGCGGCAAGAGCCACTATTTGATCTTGTCTATCAAGACCTGCTTGGAAAGAGTGAAGCTCTCAAGCAGACAGATACGGCTGTTCCTAGGCAGGAGCAATGTGGCGAGCCAGCATACGATAGCTTTTGGCAGCTGATGGACGACCTTACGTGAAGGAGGCGCGCCCCAGATACGGGCCAGCTGTTTCTTTGTTGATGATGCCTGGTTAGGTCGATTGGGGTCTACTTCTGTTTCGGCAGTGCAATGTATTTTCTTTTTGACCTGGTACGGACCAGGTGTAGTTCTGGAGTGATGGTCCAGGCACCGACTATGAATCATCGTCGTCAAGAAGGACAATCATGGACACGGCAATCTAGCACCGTTTCGTGAACCCACTAGAGATCCCACGTTTAGCAAGGAGACCAGTACATACAAGCAACCACCTGGAAAAGCAGCAATTCGGCGGCGGAAGGCTACAGTCCTCACTTACTCGTCAGCAACGTCTTGCACTGAAAGAGACTCTCATCGAATTCGACTCTTGCGGGCCGCGCGCCCAAGCACAACCTAACTTCCAACATGCGTCGGCGATCGACATCCATACCCGGCGATAATCTGTCTCTGCCTCAATTTAGCGTTGCCTTCCGTCGCGGGGCGTGGTCGGTGACCCGCAATCGGGGATAAATGTGGGTACCTTCCCGGGTCCGCCGAAGGGTGAGGCAAACCCGCCATGTATGTCCCATGGAGTCCATGACACTAGACGGGTGCTCGTACTGTGCGGGATGAACTGTCCTGGCGTCGCGGCCTTGTGTGATTGCGCCGGTCGTGCTGCACAGCTTCTCAGCTGCTGCACGCCCCGGGAGGCGTCAGTGTTCGTGTGGGCCTCCGATGCCGAAGGGAATTGTGGATCTAACGCCGAAAGCCGGTTCTGTCACTGCCGTACGTCCAAGCGGCGGGAGTAAACCAAGCCGCCGGGTTGACCTTCATCGTAACGCCGAAAACTAGCTGTAACTGCTGTCCGCTGCCTTTCCGACAGGTGATGGTGTTTACATGGGAGCCAGAAGTACGGCAATTATAAATACGCGCGTTTCAAGGCTGAATGCCTCTGCCTGGCTTTTTTATCAGTTCTATCAAATCTACCTGTACAACAACTTCTTGACTTTCTTCTGCAATCTGAAAGCACCATGGTTGGACACGGCCAATATACCACCGAGAAGGTGACTTATCCATCTCACGGAGAGACCATCGCAGGCATACTTTATCGCCCGACAAATGTCTCCAACCCGCCCGGAGTCGTCCTTATTGGACCCTACTCTTTCGTCAAAGAGCAGGCACCGCTACAGTATGCGACACGACTTGCCGACGAGGGCTACGCCGCCTTGATCTTTGACCCACGCACCGTTGGCGAGAGCACCGGAATGCCACGACGACTGGAGAATCCCAAGATGAAGAACGAAGATGCCATTTCGGGACTCGATTATCTTGTCAGTCGAGGCGACGTTGATACATCGAATCTTTTCCTCGTTGGGATCTGCCAGGGCGGACCTGAATCTCTGGACATTGCCTCGTACGATGATCGAGTAAAGGCAGTTGCTTCGGTCACGGGCTATTTCCGCGATCGCGAAACCGACATCTACATGATCTGTTCCGGCTGCGTCGCCTGGGAGCCGGGCGCCGACATTGCGTCGATGAAGATGCCGACCCCGGAGCAAGGCGAGGCACTCTACAATGCACGACTTGAACGAGCGCAAAAGGCTCGGGACCTGTACGAGAAGACCGGCGAAGTCGTCTACCAGCCGTTAGTTGATCCAAAGGCTGCCGACCCTACGACTGGGTCTCTTGCCGGCCTCCCAGGCCCTGTCGTCTGGTCATGGTACGGGCCCTGGACGCTCAAGAACTTTGAGAACCGCTACGCGGTGATGAGCGACTTGGATCACTTCAGTTACACCACTGTACCCGGCGTGGCGAAGCTGAACAAACCCGCCCTTATAATCCACGGAGATAACTGCATGAATGCCGCGGCAGCCAAGCGACATTTCGATTCAATTCCCACCAAGAACAAAAAGCTTGTCTGGAACAACGAAGTGTCGCATTTTCAACATTACGATCAGCCGGACTGTGTTGACCGTAACGTGGGCGAGATTGCGGATTGGTTTGAGAAGCAGGGGAGGTCGTAGTCGATCACGGCCCCGTTGGAGGCTTAAGGAAATTAACAATGGGCCACTTTCATACTCTCGCCTGCATCGGATTCAGTGACTGCTCTTTGACATAACAATGCTCGAACTTGCATTTGGTGTGAGTAAAAGTCATGTCCTGCTCCAAATGGCTCCCAAGCAGAGCCAAGGACGGCGATTGAGACCTCAAAGACAATCTCCTAAACGTTAGTTCAAGCAGTACAGCACAGTATGACCGCGGCATGGTTATTATACATGGTGATGCCCCAGCATGTTGTTAGCTTGACTGATTTCGCGGTCGCCCGGTCATGTCGGAGAAGCCATATAGCTCCAGTCCCTGAGAAACACCAGAACCATCTTCGGCGCACCTGGGAATATAAGATTTATGACGTGGCACAACCACGCAGCCGCGGGCGCCCTTCGCCCAGCAAGGCGAACTCTCACAGCTGAATTCGCCGCGCACAACAGCCGATTAGCCTGCCAAAACGCGCGCTCCGGCATCATCTGACAGATGCCGCCGTCGCGCGTGGCATCTGTGCGACTCGGACCCCCCTTGGAGCGCCCGCAGCCCCGTTATGTGCGACCCGACAAGCGTGCGAAAACTAACGCAACGGCGCCTACAGCAGGAAGAGATGACACCTATGAGCCACGCCAGGTGCAAAGGGCTGCACTTTACAGGGTTTAGGTGCCAGCTGTGGAAAGCAGGGCGATGCCGATGCCACCGAGGGATGGATGGGACTCTGAGGCGGCTACCAGACTGTACATGCAACAGGCGGTGTCCGAGGACACCACCAAGAAGCGATGCTGGCTTTCCGTTTAGAGTCGGCACAGCTAGAGTCTCACTGTGACTTCTGTCCAACCGCTCTCAAGTTTGCCGGATGCGAACGGCGAGCGTCTTCGCTGTGATGTGCCTCGCATGCGTGACCGAAAGACGCGGGCAGCCTGAACGTTGCCATTGATCCCTGCAGCCGGGTCGCGACACCGCTCGTCCCGCATATTCCCGTCCGCGTCCCGCTTCTAGAACGCAGTAATCCACTGCTTGGATCCATTGTCCCGTGAATGGTTGGTGGCGTCGCTCATTGTCCCATTCCAGGTTCTCGGACCCGCTCCGTCTGGTTCCCTCACCTCGCGTTGCACAGGTTGACCTGTGCAAATTTCTCGGATGAAGAAAAGAGGCAACGACTAAAGGTCCCTGGCAATATTTGCAAGTCCATAGTCGGGGTCAACTGGGCTTCGTCCAAGCCGGCATCCGCGGACAGTGCAGCCGATTGAAGGGGTGGTTACAGACTTACACCAGACCTCACAGCCTCCATATCGTGGGTCCAGTCGCCGCCGCTCGACCCCCAGAGCTGAGATGGAAATGTATTTTTGTGCCCAGAATGCGAGTGGTGAAGACAGCTTAAGGGCCGCCCTCTCAGCCACGGCTCATGGCAACCAATCGCTGCGCTTCCGTGCATTTTGAGGCTTGCACCTCGTGGCCTGTCCCACCCTCGCGCATCGTCGTTTCGTCTCAACGCTCCCGTCGCACGGTATCCACCGCATCGTCGATGGGTCTCTATTGGTAAAGGAATCTCATCGAGGTTTGTTGAAGAGGAGTGCTATTCGTAGAGCCAACTTTTGCTAGTTGTAGAGCCGTCCTACATTTTTCGCGGCCGCGCCCTACCCCCATTTGATGCTGCTGCGCCAGCGATTTTTGGTGTGCAGGTATGAGACGATAGCGGCGCTCTGCCTATTGCACGTGGTTTTCTACTGTTCCTACCGTTACTGACATTGCTGTCGTTGCTACCGTTGCTGTCGTTGCTACCGTTGCTGCCGTTGCTGCCGTTGCTGCCGTTGCTACCGTTGCTGCCGTTGTTGCTGCTGTAGGGCGGGCTCTACAACTAGCAATAGTTAGCTCTACGAATAGCGCTCCTCTTGTCGAAAGTGGAGGCCCTGCAGAGTCCGTGAGTCGAGATGACATGCTTCTCGAACGTGGATGGAATTGTTGGCGCGAAATAGTCGGGTCAGAGGGGTCAGTGCACGAGGCTCTCGCGGAACTCGCTGAGGATTGACGTGCGTCCTGCGTCCGGCGTCCAGCACCAGCCACGAGGGCGTGCTCTCAGTGGGCGACATTCTCGTGGGCCATGTGAGCTGAGTAGACGACAGAATTCTGGACCCGTGGTGATCGTCGATAAGGGTGTACATGGCAAGTGCCTCTGAGAAAGATTTGATCGTCGCCTTACTGAGACGGAAGGGGAGCGGCGCTGCTGATGCAAAACGCTATGAGAACGACCTTGGTGGTAACCCCAATGTGTATGGGGGCGCTCAAATAAGGCAATTGAGACTCAAGTCCATATTATTGTGTTGAGACGGTTGACTTGGCTGGCATCATCAAGGATCCGTAGTTCCGTACCATCTACCTCGCGCTGCATGAGGTTATCTGACTCCTCTCCACGAGTCTCAAGCACAGGCGCTCACCGTCCTCGACGATCCCGATTTCACAGAACGCGAATCTGAAAATGCAAATAGCATGAGCTCGTAAACCGGCCACTGCCCTGTAGGTACCGTACAGTCTACACGGGACTGTTAGACACGCAATTGTTTCAGCCTGAGCATGGACCCGATGGCGCGAGTCGACGATGGGTCGGGTCCGTCGACCCCATCCTGAGCGCAACGACGACAGCGAGACCCGAAGAGGAAGGCTAGGCGGACGTACGACTTTTCGCTCACGTTGCATGCGCTCCCTCGGCACCATGTCTCGCCTTGGGGATATTCGGCCCGGCCTCCTCACCCCCCCCCCTCGTCAGGCAGTCGGCCTGCTCCCGCAGATCCGACCTGTTGCTCCCGCGTGCGCACGTGGCGGGTGTTGATACTGTCCTGAGCAGCTCCATCCGCCGCGTGCGAACCTATCCGCCGGGCCGCTGGATGTGACCCTCCTGCTTCCCGTACGAACCTTCCATCTCCGGGGGGCTTGTTTCGCGTCGACGGCGGAGGTGTGAGTGAGCGGTCGGAGTTTCGTCTGCACGGTTCAGCTCTCGGCGCCCGCACTACGACCTGTAAATGACACCCCCAAAGATGGACCGCGTTACTCCAGAGCGGACTCAGCGGGTTTCACTCTATACAGGGCTGACAGACATACTTCGCTATATAGTCTCACTTCATTTCCCTGTGCTGCCGCTGCATAGGACGCCTTCTCACCCATGAGGAATCTGACCGTCAAGTCTCGTCATCTCGCTGCTCTTTCAGGCAAAAACATCTATACGAAGTAAAGTCAACCATCAGGGACGAGTACATCATCTACACTCACATCTCTGAGCCCTCTGGCTTGTGACTTACCGCCCCCCTCCGGCCACGATGAAGGTTGCCGTTATAGGCGGCGGACCGGGCGGTCTCGCGACGCTCAAGTTCCTGGCAACCGCCCATGAATTCTTTCCCATTGACCCCATCGAAGTTCGATTGTTCGAGTCTACCAAATGCATTGGAGGCACTTTCGTCAAGAGGGTATATGAAGAGGCAGAGGTACGCTTCCTCTCAAGCTGGTGCCTGTCAACCTGGGGGCCCGTCGAGTCTCAGATTCAGCTTTCGCTAACCAGACTTCAGCTTGTCTCGTCCAAGTACCTGACGGCCTTCTCCGACTTTCGGCTCCCCCTCGATGCCGCCGACTTTGTCACACCCGAGGTTTACGTCAAGTACCTGAACGACTATGCAAAGGCCTTCAAGATCGACGGGCTCGTCGAGTGCAACTCCACGGTCCGGCTGGTTAGGCGAGGGACCCACGGGGTCGGACACGTCCTTGACGTCCAGAGGGCAAATGGCGAGAAGTTCTCGTGGGAGTGCGACGCTGTTGCCGTGTGCTCCGGAAACCACGAGAACCCCCACGTGCCGGCGATCCCGGGCATCGAACACGTCCCGTCCGTCATGCACTCGTCCATGTTCAAGACGCGTGCGCAGTTTGGCAAGGACACGCACGTCGTCGTCTGCGGCGCCGGCGAGACGGGCATGGACATTGCGCACCTCGCCGTCACGGCCCCGACGGCCTCGGTGACGTTGTGCCATCGCGACGGCTTTTTCTGTGCGCCCAAGGTATGTCTCAGATCCATCGGCCCCTTGAAACCCCGTGTGGCACTGACACGCATGGGGGTTCTGCCTAGATCATCCCGACGCCGTTGCGAGCAGGCCAGAAGCTGCCGAGCCGGCCCAACAAACCGGTAGACACGTCAGTGGCGAGCCTGTTCGACACCGCGTACGCCCACCCGGTCCTCCAGAGGAGTCAGCTCCTCTGGCTCGCGTACGATCAGTGGATAAAGAAGATGCATGTACTCATCTCCGGCACGGAGGAGGGCCCCGACCAGTGGGTGGGCCAGATCAGCAGAGAGCGTCGCAACGTCGACTCCAGTAAGTTCGGGATATCTTGTAGGACGTGAACGTGCCGTGTTAATGTGCGCAGTCTTTCTTTGCAAGTCAGCACGCGCCCTGCCGTACATCTCCGAAGGCCACCGATCGAAGTTATGGTGGAATACGCTGCGCGAGTCCATCATCAACGTTGAGCGCAAGGATACTAAAGGACGCAGGATTGATGTCGCCAGCTGGCCTACCGAGATTGATGAGCACGGATACATGACCTTGTCCATTGAGGGGACGAATAAACCGGAGCGGCGATTCAAGCCCGATGTGATCATCCTGGCAACCGGCTACAATACCAACTTCTGGTTCCTCGACAAGGGGTACCCCGTGGTGGAAGAAGCCAACGTGCGCTGGGTATACAAGGAGGGCGACGTGACGGTAGGCTTCATCGGCTTCGTTCGACCATCGATCGGAGCCATGCCTCCCCTGGCCGAGCTGCAGGCCCAATTCTGGGTCCTCCGCCTTCTCCAGAACCACTTCCCAGCACAAGTGCCACGGACGCAGAGCCCCGACTCGGTCCCGGCGTATGAAGTCAGCTATAAGCTTAACCCACGCGCAGGCTACGACTTCTTCAACTCGAAGAGGGGAGTCGACCACGAGGCGTACGCCTACCAGCTAGCCGTCGACATGGGTGCCGCGCCGACTGTCTCATACGTCATGAACAAGGGTTGGAAGCTGTTCTTCACCTGGGCCATGGGATCCAACTTCAACCCCAAGTTCCGCCTCGTCGGACCGTGGAAGTGGGAAGCCGGCGCCGAGAAGATCATGCGCGGCGAACTGTACGACGTCGTGAAGCGCTCTGGAGGCGGTGTCTGTGAGTATTGCCCTCAGCGTACCTCTGAGAACTTGCTGACTCGGTGCACAGATCTTACCACCTACACCATCATCCCTTTCATTTTCTTTGGATTCATCAGTATCATATTGTATGCGTTCTTCGGCCTGGTGGCCTTGCTTGGTGACTTGTGTAGCCCGTACGCCGGGAAGCTGCAGCAGGGTGAAAAGAAGCGAAAGGAATGAGACTGCGTGAAAGACGCGACTCACTATGTATTTGAAAGTGAGCTTAGCATGTTCTGGCGAATACGGAATGAGTTGTATGCCGTGAGTTCAGACTCCCTGGAGTGTTTTGTGAAAAGGATCACTGTGGAAAAGACCAGATGATCCAAATCGACCAAGGTGAGCTGGCTGACCGAAGTGGAGCCTTCGCATTAGCGGGGCTCACCGCGGTGAGCGCATCTTCCCCAAGCCCAGCTTTTTTTCTGTCGCTGGTTGCGAATCGATCACATTCAATCAATTCACCGTCTTCCGCCATGCAGAGCAATACGGTCCAGCCAAACGGCTGGGTGGCATTGCGACTACCCAGTGACAATGTCCGAGTCCTCCAAGTAACACCAAATACGTTCGTTTCCCGGCGACAACACCCCTGCTACTCCAGTGACTGACACCGCGCAGCACGATCTCGCTAGGCAAATACGGCGCGTTCCCGAGCAACCTCATTATCGAGCGGCCGTTTCACCTCACGTACGAAGTACAAGACAAGCGTGAGGGCGAGAACTTCTCGCGGTTACGAGTCGTGCCCGGCATCGAGCTCAATGCCGACGTGCTGGCCGAGACGAGGGCAGAGGAGGCTGCCGCCAATGGCGAGGACGTGATTGTCCCTGCCGACGGCGAGGAGCTTGCGCTGGTGGATGAGAGCGGCACTGTCATTGCCCGATCGAATCGCGAAATCATCGACGACTCTGCGCGACAGACGCTCACTCCGGCCGAGATCGAGGAACTCAAGCGCAACGGCACGGCAGCAGGCAAGGAGCTGATTGCAAAGCTGATGCTGTCGCACACGGCGCTCGACCAGAAGACGTCCTATTCTCTGTCAAAGTATAAGCTTCTTAAGGAACGCAAATTTCTGCGGCGATTCACAGTCTTGCCGCTCGACGTCCCGATGCTCGCGTACTGGATGCTCGAGGACAAGGACGCGAGCAAGATCATGGAGCTGCGACAGGAGACCATGGCTCTAGTAGGATGCTGGGCCGATGTACACTTCGGGGGCTCGCCGGTCGAAGGGATGAAGGAACCCCATGGTGGACGGTGGCTGGCTATCGACGACACTGGCGGCCTGCTGGTCGCTTCAATGGCGGAAAGAATGGGGATTCTTTATCCGCAGGCTGAAGATGATCAAGGCGAGCACGATGACGCGCAGGCGGCGGAATCTACTCAGGGCCCGGCAGCGCAGGAAGATGGCAATGGTGATGGAGAACCCGCGGCTGCGCCTTCGTCTCCCAAAGCGCTGCGGAATCCCCGCAAGCGGCCTCGCCGCGACGACCTCGACGACCACTACGCCCTCACCAACAACATCACCCTCATCCACTCCAACTCCCAACCTAATCTCTCACTCCTTCGGTACTTTGACTATGATGCCAGCGACCCCAACCCGCCTTATCCCTACCACCCACTCTTCACACATCTGCTACCAGTATCCTGGCTCCAGCTAGTCAAGCCCGAGGAGGATGGCGCCTACTCCGACAAGCCGGCCGACGCCACACCAGAAGAGCTCGCCTCATGGAAGACAAACCGCCGAGGCAATTACCACCGTAAGCGACGGCGATGGGCGCGTACGCGTCAAATTGTTGATACCGCTCGCGCTGGCGGCTTTTCTGGCCTCGCTGTGGCTAGCACTATGGACCCAATCTCTATTCTGCGCCACGTACTACCACTTCTCGCTGGCGGGAGCCCGATTGCCATCTTCTCACCGTCCATCGAGCCGCTCACCCAGCTGGCCGACTGCTTCAGCATCGCGCGCCGCGCCGCCTGGATACAGTCCCCGCCTGCAGGAACAGAGGGGAAGTCCGTCACCGAGTTGGATACGTGGGAGGGCAGCGTTGAATACCCTATCAACCCGACGCTGGTGCTGGGTGCGAGCGTCCAAACTAGCAGAGCGAGGCGCTGGCAGGTGCTTCCAGGCAGGACGCACCCGATGATGACGGCAAGAGGCGGCGCCGAGGGCTACGTCTTTACGGGATGGAGGGCGCTGCCGGCCGAAGGAAGGATTTCTGCGCGAGGCAAATTTCAGAAGAAGAGAACAGAGTGAGCATGGCAGACCGTGGAGGAGCGAGTCTTTGGGATACGGTTGCATCAGGAAAGGCGTATAGAGCCATCATAAGGAGATACCCCTGGATAGATGGTTGTCCCTGCGGGGACTGATCTAATTCGAGTTTCAATACGCCGATACCACACCCACAGAGCAGTGTTGGTGGTCATGGATGTAGTGTGACTGATTGTATCCATTGCTCTATTACGCCACGCGATTGGCAAGCTACAGCGCCTTGCCCATGAACTTTCTCTTGGTGAAGCTCAGCCACCACTTGCTGGGCTTGGACTCGTCGTCGGCGTATACCCTGGCGAGTAACCGGGTCGCGAGCTCTTGCCTCACCTGCGACATGTACTGCTTGAGCTGCTCGGCGTCCTGTCGGTCCCTGGGCGCCTCGTACATCTGCGCGCGCAGTCAGTACACCGACATAAGGGACAGAGTTCATCATAGGCCATGTGGAGGGGACATGCGCATATGGAATAAGAGCATACCTGGTTCAGCGGGAATGCCGGGTCGCCGGGAATGGCAAAGTTGAGGTCGAGCGCCAGGTTCATGACATCCTTCTGGGCCTCGCGGACGGTCGCGTGAGGCTTGATCTTGGACAGGCAGTCGCTGAGGAACCAGATACCGTAGACGAGGAGTCTGTCGGCGGGGCCCTGTATCTCAAAGTTGCGGAAGAAGGTGTTTGCGCGGAAGAGCGACAGCACCTCGTCGAGGATGTCGTAGCTCTCGCTGTCCGGGTCGGGGGACTCGGCGGGCGGCAGGGAGGGGTCGAGGGGGAGGGTGTAGGCCGGGCCGCGGGTCTTGGTGCGCAGCGGGAGGAGCGGGAAGTTGCCGATGAGGCGGGGAGGGTTCGGGTCCTCGTTGAAGACGGAGTTGTAGGCCTGAGAGACGCAGAGAGAAAGAGTGGTTAGCTGACTGGGTGGTGCTTCGTCATGGAGATGGCGGGCGCGCGCAAGGCCATGCTGTGTCGCGATGCAGCAATCGCATTCGGATAGTGCATGGGACGTGGGAGGCGCTGACATACCGGCATCTTGAACGGCGACTGACGTGAGTGCTGTTCGGTGAAGCTGTCTTGCGCGGACAACGGGGTGGCCGGCGGGGCTGTGATGGTGGTGGTGGTGGTGGTGGTGGTGGTCGAGGAGCTGTCGTCAATGTGTGGGGCAGGCAGTCAGACGGTCCCAGGCCGTTGTGCGCTGCACAAAATAATGCAACCTACGGAGCATGAGCTGACCTGTGGCGGGGCGGCCGGAGCGAGCTGCACGGCCACAGCGCATTTGCCACACCAGCTGGCGTGCAAGCCTGGCAACGTCGGATTCCACACCCGCTGCCTGGAGTCACGTGAAGTCGCTCAACGATCGCGCCTCCCCGAGCACCCGACCCACCCGCAGAACGCGTACGCCCTTGTGACACGCCACCAGCCAACCAGGCTGCAGCGACTTAGGCTGCCCACCCAAGCGCTAGCACAGGCCCCCCTCAGGGCGCCGACCTGCCTGTGCGGCCACAGGCGTACTTTCACAGGGCAGCAGACCAGCGCTGGCGAGAGAGTCGGGTTAGCGGCCGTCGGCGGGCTGGGGTACCAACATGCAAGTGCGCGAGTACAAGAGCCCAATCTCGCCGCCCTTGAGTCGCGCCTCCCCTTCTTGCACGCTCCCGCCCGGTCTCACCGCGATCTCGTCGCTCCTCCATCATCCAATTTTTTTCCCCTGCTCGCCGTTTGCGTCTGGGAGTTCCTTGCGCGCAACGCCCTTCCAACGCAGCACCGCCTTTCGTGTTTTCTGCCCGCCCGCGTTCGGTGGGCCTGGCCGTGCGCGCCTCACCTCCACTAGTGCAAACTCTCGTGCGCCCTGCGCTCGCGGCGGGTAAACAGCAGGGATCGGTCCGTTCGCTGCCCAGCAAGGCCCCGAGCGCGTCATCGCGGCCAGAGTCACAGGTCGCCCCGTGGCGAGCAAGCACGGCGCAGACAAACTTTGACGAGCAACTCATCCAAGGCTGGCATCTCAATGCTGATACTGGAGTCAGTCCCCGCCTGCCCGCCTGCTGCTCCTTCTCCATTCTCCAAAAGCCCGCCCTCCCCGCTGACGCCCCCTGCTCAGCTCCCTCTTTCAGCACAACACCATCGTCGCACATCTGCGCGCCATGGTCAGTCCCGCGTCGTTCCTTCCGCCCAAGGATCGGGGTCTGGCTCCTCTGCCGTCTCCTGCGGAAACGCCTTCCACGACGCAGCTCCCAGCAGAGACTGTCATCGACGCGGACATGGCCATAACGGCGGCCAACGAAGCGGCCCCCATGTGCCCACCGCCCCCAACGCCCGTCAGCAAACGTCGCAGGCGTCGTGCCGTCCGCATCTTCCGCCCAGCCAAGGACTCCATCTACGACATCCTCCACGAGCATGAAGGCGCGTCGCTCTTTGTTCGGCCCATTTGCTGGACGGACAAGCACGCCGAGCTCCTCGGGGCGCGCTTCAACAAGCTGCCGCGTTGCGACTCTCCCTCGCCGCTCAACATCCCTGAGTCGCCGCCCAGACCGACCAAGGGCCACATGGAGCCGTCGCAGACAATCACGTCGCTGAGCGACTCGCTGACGGAGATCCTAACACCTGGCTCGCCGCACCCCGTCATGACGTCGAGCTTCATCAAGACAATCCTGTCAACCCTTTGGCCCGGCGCCTTCGGCAAGCCGCTGTTCCTGCCGGAGCTCCACCTGTTCTTCGGCGACCGGGTCTATCGTGATGCGGTCCGCACCCAGGTCATGTGGAATTTCCCTCTGGAGAGCGCCAAGTCCTCCCAGGCCTCCTTCACAACCATATCGACCCGCCCCGCCGACTCCTACGGCCCCTCCACCCCCACGGCGCACAACCCCGCCGGCCTGCCCATGATGTGTTACATCAGCCGGAACCAGTTGGCCGTGGTTCGGAGAACTCTCTTCCGCATTGCCCCGGGCCCCGGGCGGAGCTGGAACGCACCGGTCTTCCGACTCCAGCAGGCGAGATCCCGACTTCTCGTACCTGCGGATCCCGACCACGACGTGCAGTTTGTTGCCATCTTCCTCGCCATGGCCCAACGCCACTTCTACAACGCCCCGCCACCGTCGTCTAGAAGGGACTCTCAGTGGGCCACCCCGTCTCCGGCGAAGACGACCCTGCCGCGTCCACAGTTCGAAGACATCAAGCTTCACATCTTGACTCATGACGTGGACGAGGCCGAGTTTATCGTTTACACCGGCCATGTTACCGCCAAGTTCCTGGAACGATTTCACGACCCGCTCAAGGCACCGCGCGACGAGTTTGGTCGCGTTCCCGGCCTCGAGATCGAGTACACGAGGGTGCCTATCTGGCCAATCCTGGGTCTCCGAGAGCGCTTAGGCAAAGCTTTAGGTGAAGGCGTCGTTGGACCCTTTGACCCTACTGAGATGGAGACGTGGGAGACCAAGGCAGACACTGAATTGCCAAATGTTGGCGGCAGCATCGATGGGTGCGAGTCGCAGAGCAACGGCAAGCGAAAGCGCGAGGCACTCTCCGAAGTTTTTAATGCAAGCTTCGACGAGGAGTCGGACGCTGATGAAGACGAAGACGTGGGCGTTAAGAAGCGTTGCCTCGAGGGATCGCCGCTCAGCGTAATGGTGTAGGGTCTCCCAAGCAAGGTCACTTGGAACGACAGCATGACTTTTACGACAGCACAGGCGTTGGGGACATCACTATACGCACAACACGGATGCTCGCGAGAGCAATAGCATCGGCACAAAGCCTCAGGGGCGTTTGGGAGGAATTTGTGCGGCATTGTGACGGCGGAGCTTTGACAGGCTCAATCATGACAGGCGCGATGTTTCGGATGAGCAGCACGGGATGCTGATTTAATTCAACAAAGAACGTGATTACACGAGACGACGATTTTGAGTCCACAGCCAGCCTACAGCACACAATCAACTTGGCACTTTTGCGGGACATTTGGTCTCTATTCGTGCTCTCGAGTGACCGACTTTGCTTGTGTTTCATGTCTACAAACTGACTCGTGTGCCCCAGCACCCGTGCATGCAACTCGCAAGACGTCTCATCCACGCGCTCGACCCGCTTGACGGTATGGTTTTCGCAAGAGTTGACCCGGTACAGGTTCTCGTAAATGCGGTTACCAAACTGTTCGAGGAACTTGTCACAGACGCGAGGTTCAGGCTGGCCATGAGGCGTCATGATATGGCATTCGAGACACTCGATGTCTAGAAGACGTTGTTCGAACATTGCAGGCCATGTTGGCTTGTTCCAGTCTCTAGTGAGTCAAGTACCGCTTGCTGATGAGTGGAAGAAAGGCTTGCGCGATGCGAGATTGTTGTAGGAGATGAAAGCCGGATGGGCACGCTTAGAAGATCGATTTCATAGGTTACGAGGGTTGAGTGTTAAGCAACTGCTATCCCCAGTCTGTTCCATGTCTACTCTGTCAGGCCTACCCCGTGCAACACGCCGCACGTCCTTACCTGCCCAGGTCGAGGCACAGGGAGGCCATGCGACCATAGCCCGGACGTTCGCACCCGCCCTATCTGGGGCGCTATTCCTGTTTATGTTCACTCTTAACCGGAGTACACCTCGCGCAGGGTACCAGAAGAATGAGAACGATTTGCCTGAGGTTAAAGCTTTCGCATTTTCTTACGTGCCATAGACGGCCCTGCCACTTGTCGCCGTACTTATGACGAAACAAGCCACAGATCCGAGGGTCTGTGTGGCCAACAAACCATTGGCGATGGCACTGGGGACACTGCTCGTGGTTCTCGACCTCTTCGCACATGATGGCCTTTGTTCTGCTGTTGCCTGCTAGGATGTTACTGTTGCTACGGCTCGGCTGGAGAGTTTAGTGATGCTAGAACAAGGGCGACATAATTGCAGAAACGGAGCATGGTATGGGCTTTGGGAGATCAATATATATAGGCTAGCTAAGAGGATAGAGAGTTAAGCAACCGCCACCCCTAATCCGATCCTTGCCACTGCATCAGCTCTCCCCATTCTGGTTACATCCCGTGAGTCACGGCATGCCTCGATCCACGCACACAATAGCCATACACACAACCTGGGGCGCAACAACCTAGCCCAGGCCCATGTAACGTCTGCGTTCCTGTTCTGCTTGGATGCAGGTGGCGCAGGGCTCCCGAAGAAGGATAAGGATCTCCATCAGTTCTATAGCGCCACATTTTCCCATGTTCGGCCTCCAATTACGGCCATGCTGCTCGTGTACCTTGTCGCAGGCGTCAGTGGCATCAGGCTCGAGCCAGCCAAGCCCCCGCACGATATGGCATTGAGGGCAGAGCTCCTTCTCTCGAAAGCTCTACACATTGCGAGTGTGCTTTCCTGAGGTAGCACGTTATTGGCACGAGATCGACACAAGCCTTGTGCGATGATGTGCGTGTGATAGACCTAGATGGAAAAAGAAGAAACTTGGCATATAATGTGGATGATCAATTTATAGGCCGCAAGAGCAATGAGTTAAGCAACCCATTTTCTCGCCTACTCTAGTGATTTGCATCTGCCTCGCCTACGCTGTATTCCGTGCGTCACCATATGGTGCACAAGACGGCCATACGGGCAAGCTCCACGTACAGCAAGGAGTCAGGTCTATCTGCCGCTCCGCCGTCTCGCCTCCTCAGTGCGGATGCGGTACGAGCAATAGCCGCAGAGTTGCGTGGTGATGATCTGCCTTGTGTTTAACTTGCCGCACAGGCCCATGAACGACCCCCAGGCGCGGCCGTACTTCGCGAGGACCATGTCGCAGGCCTCAGGGTGCGGCCAACCGACAGACGGCCACTTCCGGTGGCACGTAGGACACTGGTCGTATCGCTCAACTTTTTCGCACATGCTGGACGTCTTATCCCCTGGTCAAAATGCTCACGGATCTTTTGGGGCGTTGGATTGGCGGTACTGGAACAACATTCGCGTGCAGGTTAGCAGAAGGAAGAGTCTCGAAATTGTATGCTGTGGACGATCGATTTATGTAGGCCACCAGGGCGAAGAGTTAAACCACCAACGTCCCCAAGCCCATGTCACTGCCCGTGAACCAACCTCTCCGAAATCCTGCAGTGCGTCACGACATGGGGCTCGATCAACGACGTTGTCGCTTTGCCGCTTCCTGTTCCCGGACGCAGAATCGGCATCGCTCTGGAAGCATCTCGACGCTCAACCTCAGTTTGATGCCGTCAGGGCACTCGCCAATGTGAGCGTCCGGGTTATTCGGGTACCTCGTGTTGATGAAGTAGCATGGACGAGGGGGGGTACGGCGCAGGAGCCTCTTGCGATGGCAGAAGCGGCACTGCTCGTAGTATTCGAATCGCTCGCACATGTTGTCAGCAGTGAGTTACCTCCGCAAGTTGCTTCCCCTGAGAGTGGCGATGCTTGTTGCAGTTTGTAAGCCAGCAGGCGATGGACTCGGGTTTCGGAATAGGCGCTGGGTGGTTGGAGTAGCACGTGTCTGACAGTCCTTAGAGGAGCAAAACCTCAAAACACACAGCCTCGGTTGAGGCGAATTAATAGAAATCGCAATGTATGTGTGTAGCTCGAGGGTATGTATGCCGTGATGGACGCCTTCGTCAGGATGAGATGTGGTGCATCAGGCGCGTCGACGGCACGACAGCTGCGGCCGCCATGCAGTGGTAAGACGACCTCGATTTACGTCGCACAATATACCTGCCAGGCCGGCCCGTTACGATGATGGCTTGCAGCGGCTTTCTCGCAGCCCTTGGGGTTCACTTAAGCGGATATAGGATTCGGGCGCGATGCTTGCAATCAGTGACGACGCCTAGTCACATGAGCCAGTTTGCGACACCGGTACCGATGCAAGCACCTACAGCTTCCAGATACCACCCATGCAGAATTAAAACAGGGCGGCCCAAGTTTAGTTTCGCATTGGTTGCAGATTGGAACTATTGATACGATGTAGCAGCAGAAGGGAGAAGCGCGTTGAGGGGATGCAACGCTGGGTGAGCTATGGGAGTTCCTCTCTTCCATCGAATGTCGAGTCCACATGTAGCCTTTGTACCAGTCGTCAGGTTGGCTGTGATTCTAGTATTACGGATGCCAAGGAAGCTCATCATCGATAAGAGATGAGGGAGTGTCAAATTTCGCTCTTCAGGATAGAGGTCTCGTGCCAAACACCAACATCCAAGAACAACTGCGCCGAGGGGAAACCCACCGACTGTGTTCATACTGTGACGGCTGAGTTGAACACCTCTTCGGCAGTGGTTCCAGGCACGAAGTTTAAATGACCTACGAACTCGATCATGGACATATTTGTGCTAGGCTGGCTGCCACTGGAAAATTCGCCGCCACTCCCCGTGGGTCGTAAGTGCTTCTTTGATCCAGCAGGGTGATCATGGGTTTCTAAGGGGCCTCTCACATGCCTCCCGACATTCTCCACCGTCGCGTACTTACCACAGAGGGTCAGGTTGTTGCAGAAAGTGATATTAGAACAACACTGCAACATCGAGTCTCCACCATCCGGCCATCCAGCTTGCGTCGCTGACGCAGGGTAATTCACACATTCACGCCTGCGATAATGAAGCGATATCGCGCCTAGACTCGCTGTTCAGCCATCAAAATGTTCGTTTTGGTGCAAACTCTGCCAGTCAAAAAGAGCATATTAAATAGTCAACCTAGCTGTTATGTACAGTTCATCAAGGACATTGCCCTTGCGTTCATGTTGCGTTCATGTTGAGACTACATAACATTGTATGGCCGTGGTATGATATGTCTGGCTTACCCGAGGTGCACGATGCGACACTCTGGTTGACACTCTGGTTAGCTATACAGTGTACTTCGTGGGGTGCTACGATAAGTTCCTTGCCTTGACCCAATCTGCATGGAATGCACCCGCCAAGATCAACCGGGATGCATGCCACATGCTCCCAATAAACTTTAATCATATGAGCACTGCGAAGATGTTGGCTGAATCAGACCACATCTCTTTCGTTCTCCATTAGATATCGTGTGAGTTATACCGTGCGAGGCTTCGTTGTTGCTGCCGCCGGACCAAGGAAGAAACGTTTCTGGTTTACCGTCCATTCTCATGGAGTCCAGTCGAGACTTTCAACTAATAAGCGACCCCTCAGGAGAGTCATGAATACTATATATTGCAGCCGCTAGCCCTCGTCTCATGTCGGGCACCAGTCTACATCGAAATCTCATTCTATAAACTCACATATACACTCTCTGTGGCCTAGCAGCATATCTGCAACAACCATGAAGCCCGCGGCTCTTTTGGTCACATATAGTGCCACTCTGGTACTCGCAGTACCTGCCCCGCAGAATGCAATGAACGCACCTTCGCAGAGACCGAAGAATGTACCCGACAAACAGACCAAACCAAATTCACTGAGACCGTGGCTCCAACCCGCGCCTTCAAAGGACGCCAACCCAGAGGAGTATGCCAGGCTCTGTCGGGGACCCAATCCCAAAGAGGCGCGACACTTTAGGAAGTCTGAGCAATGCGTCGGCACGAGAGAATGGTGTCGCAACGAATACTACTTGCACGTTCCGCCTCCGAACCAATGGTGGGATTGGTACTTGAGTCCTTACTTGTGCATCGAGAGCCGTGAGCCCGCGCCAAGAGCCTGACCGCCAGTCACGACGTTCCGCGGGCGGTTGTTCCAGCGAGCGGAGCGTCATCTCGTTGTCCGCCAATGCTGAAAACGTCACCCGACTTGCTGCGAGATTAAGTGCGGCGGGTGTGTAGTGTGCATGGAGATCAATGAACAGGGACAATGCGGGACCAGTACCGGGCCTAATGTATGAGCAGTGTTTTGCTAGGAGTAGAAGCTCAAAGTCTCAAGCCGCGATCAGTTCTTACCGCGTGCTAGAGTGTGCTGGAAAACTTCCCAGTTCAATGCGCGGATCAGAATGTGGACGCTCCCGTGGGCCTGATTTTTTATTGCCGACTTCATAGACACACGAGACTTTCTCAGCATGGGCCAGAAGCGCTTGTCCTATTTCTCACCCTGCTCCAACATGACTGCCATCCAGATCAAGGTCCCAAGCTCGTCGGCCCCTTCACACCACTCTGAAACCATGGCCATATCGAAGCACGAAGAGCCGTTTCCCTGGTGTTCAGGCCCCGTAACTGTCTCTTGTGAGGCTTTCAAAGCTCCAATGCACAAAGGATCACGACCTGACGTCGCTCGCCTGTATCGCGTCTTCCAGACCTGATCAGGCACAGGCTCCCATAAGTCTCTACTGCAGGGAAGCGGAACATAGAGGTAGCCATGGCATCTCTCAAGACCTTCTGAGAGCACGCCAAATAGCATATCAATGCCATAGAGTATACATACTGTCCTGCAAGGGGTGTCAGCTTCTAAGTACCGCCTACATGTGACGTGAATGGCAAGCCATAGAGATATACCTTCTGGCGCTTTCTATGAAGATCCAATCACGTCTGTTTGAGGCTCGAGCACTCGAGAGACTAGACGTGTAGTCGTGCAGATCATGCAGCTTTTGGCCAATGATCTTATCATTTGTTGTCAGAGAGGTCATTCTGAATGCACTGGACTGGTCGGCATACCCTGGTCGCTGTAACAATACCAAGCTGGCTGGCTGCACCGACCTGCTGGAGATATTTTGCGCACAACAAGATGTAAATCATGCAAGCCTGGAGCCCTTCCAGTAATTGGAAGCGGTCTGTAGATGACTGATCTCCGTTTGTCAGGTTTGGCTGATGACACAACGAAGAGCGCGACAAACCTCGCGCTGGAGTCTCTCTGCTTCTCTATAGACGGTCTTGCAGATGAACTCATGATTTGACGGTGTCATGGTTTCGAACATCGAAACCACGGCGCGGCAGTTGGCCAACGCTGTTGGCAGGCATTGATGGCCACGAGCTCCGGTGCAGGGTTCTCCCGGCACACAGGAGGGAAAGATGAACGGCGGCAGATAATTGCCGAGCATCATGCCCGGGTATGACAGAAGTTGAGAAACCAAGACCTTGGATGTTAAGGACGAGAGACTCATGTCCCTAGCGGAGTAGTTGCGGGACGAAAAGGAAATGCTGCGGTGATCATCAGGGGCAGTGTATGGCAGTCTCGCCGGTGGACCTCTGCCGAAGTTGCTGAGAAACGGTAAACTAAAAGACTTCTTCTCAATGGCCTGGATTGATGGCTGATAGCTTTGATCGTTTATCTGGCCAAGGTCATCGATATCGGGCCAAGACAGCCACTCAAAGATATTCTCGCTGGCCTCGGTGTCTGTGTCCAAGCCATTGCCGTCTGACGACCCGCTCGTCACTCCAGTTTGAGCGTATTCGGTATCAGCAGTCGTGCCGTGCCTGGAATGGATACTCCCCACGTCAAATAGAGCAGACGTTTCATTATTGTGTGTTAAGGCGGGTGCCAAGGCCGGTGCCTTGTGCCGATTAGTCCGCAACCTTGCGAACGGATCGCCGTAGTCGCAGGACAGATGTCGCATTTGACACCTATTGCAGGGGCTGGTTCGTGAACAGCGGGTCTTGGCGACCCGACAGGCCTCACAAGACTTTCTCCGGGGGAGAGGCATACGAGTATGCTCGTAGGCGCGGAGTTAAGGGCGATAAGGGAACTGAACTGCTGGGGAGTAGATCTGGCTGCCTGACGAGGTAGCCTGGATTCAATGGGCCATTCGGATGTATGACGCGATCGCGTGCAGCTCGTGATTCTGATTCTTGATGAACTCCGGAGCCTGGGCCTTGTATGAATCGACGGAGTCGAGGGAAAGGCAGAAACACCACCCCGTGGTTGTCGAGTCGCGGCAATTTGTCAGAAAACAGGTGGGATCTAACTCGAAACCACGTCTCTTTGTCAACGGCTGTGGCGCGGAGTTAAGATGGGTCCCGGAGTTCAGGTGGAGCCTTCGGTGTCCCGGAGCTCACGGCCAATGAAATCGCCAGGAGCCCCAATAGGTGTCGGAGGGACATGCGGTAAGAATGGTATCATCGGCCCGTGAGTTCAAGCCATCCCAAGGCATTTATTATATTATGTCGAGATAAATATAAAACCGAACGAGCTTCTTGGAACCGGACATTCAAAACCATCAACCCCATTGTCTACCATTCCAACTCTATCACAATATACTCCCTTCAACATGGCCCCAATCCGAGTCGGAATTATTGGCCTGTCCTCGTCCAAGCATACTGGCCATGCTGGAACCTGGGCTGCATCCACCCATCTCCCTGCTCTGCAGAACTTGCCCGAGTATGAGGTCGTCGCACTTGCGAACTCGACTGTGGAGTCGGCGAAGAAATCTATCGCTGCTCACAATCTCCCGGCCACTACTAAGGCTTACGGAACCCCCGAAGACATTGCCAACGATCCCGACGTGGATCTCGTTGTCGTGTCTGTGCAGGTCCAAAAGCACTACCAGCTGGCCAAGCCTGCCCTCCTGGCCAAAAAGAAGGTCTTCGTGGAATGGCCGCTGGCCGTGACCATCGACGAGGTCGAGGAGCTCGCGCAGCTTGCTAAAGATGGCAATCTGAAGACTGCTGTGGGATCACAGTCTCGAGCAGCCCCAGCTGTCCAAAAACTGAAGGAAATAGTTTCCAGTGGCCAGCTCGGAAGAATCATCAGCTCTACAGTTGTAGCTTCCTTGGGAAACATTCCCACGGAAGTCTGGCCCGAGGAATTGTCGTACTACCTTGAGGCGTCAAGCGGTGGCAACGAGTACACGATTGCCTTTGGGCATTGTAAGTTTTGACATTCCAAGGTCGTCGGTGCATTGCTAACTTCTCCAGTCTTCGACGCGTTCACCCACGTCTTGGGTGACCTCACCGACATGCAGGCAATCCTGAAGACTCAGTACAAGACCACACAACTAGTCAACCCCGATGGCCAACCTCTGAACAAAGAGTTCCGCAAGACGGCACCAGACCACATTTTCGTGCAAGGAATCACTGAAGGCGGGGCTGTTGCATCAATTGCCTTCCGGAAACCCAAGAGTCCCGTTGACGACACCGACTTTCGCTGGATCATAACCGGGACTCAAGGTGAAGCTTCAATTGTAGGAAATGGATGGTGGCAGATGATGGACAAGGAGATGAATCTCCAGGTCAAGATTGGCACTGAGCCCACGCAGACGATCGACTTTGACTCGTACAGGGCCCCAGCTGCAGAGAAGGTGTCGCCGATGGCCGCGAATGTCACCTCTCTGTATGACGCCTTTGCGAAGGGCGATACGACAAGATACGCCACATTCGAGTCTGCGGCGAAGACGCATCGCTTCTTGGAAAGCATCAAGAAAGCTGCCATCATACAGTAGGCGTGGCTCATGGCAAAACCACTGGGGTCTACAGTGTATGAGAACGACCAACGTATACGATGCGACAGTTCTAAATGACACCTTTATTGCTTATCAATTGCGAGCCAAGGCCTCGTAGCGGAAGCCTAGTGCCACGAATTGCCTTTCAGAAAGTCTTCCATACGAATTGACAGCTAGTTACGGGCTGCAAGTGATGTCGTTTCCTGAAGTGACCCACAAAATCACTAGCAAGCCGACTGGCGAACGAAGCGGAACTTGGCCTGCTGACCGCCGTCTCTCCAATGCCGCCGACACCGGTCTGGCCGTGCTGACTACCTCGGTAATTCCCCATGGAACCGCATCACGAATTAACACGCCATAGGAAACCGGAAATCGCCTCCAGGCCATCAACCGATCTGTGAAAACTCAGTTGCTGAATTGCACCGGATTTCTCTGGCTGAGAAGCGTCAGCCCACGCCCCTCTCCCCGCCGCGTAAGTGATGGCTCCCGGGCGGATGGGCCGGTCACAGGGGCCTGATAGCATGAACTTCACCTAAATGTTAAACATGATTATAGCTGTGGATCAAATGAACCCGAGAAGAGCTCCGAGCTGGCACTTCACACACATGTTTCGTGCACAAAGGGTCTTTGCTAGCAGGGTCGAAGGGCGCTTCAAACCACGCCCAACATGCCAGCTCCGCCATCTATGGACAACGGCGAACCGGCTATCAATGCCGGCAAAACTTCAAGGATCGTTCAAGACTAATGAAAGACCTATTAAAACAACTCTTACCGATTCGGCTACCTTCGAAGAAGACCAGCAAATTCACGGCTTGATCTCCTCTCTTCCTCTCGTTCGGTATCTCCGCTCAACCAGCCACTCGTCCACGATAGCTGCCGGGCAACCAAAATACACGGAATTCCACCTTCATAGCAAGATTCACCCGTCTGCCGTTTCTACGCATTTAGTCGGTGGCTCTCTCCTTGGTCAGAACAAACTGCCCATACGCCCGCAGCTTTTTGTGCGCGATGGTCCGACTGTTCGCATGATAGCAACATGCTACATAGGCTCTCAATTATGTGGCCACCCGGGTTACGTTCACGGCGGCTTGCCCTTCGTGTTGTTCGACGACCTGTTCGCGCGATGCGCATCGATGACGTTCAACAGTGGCGTGGGCATGACTGCCAACATGGACCTGCAATTCCGTAAGCCGTCGATTCCAGATCGCGTATACATTGTTCGTGCCGAGGCGATGAAGAGAGAAGGCCGCAAAGTATGGTTGAGCGGCTCGATGAGGTGCCTGGATTCATTTACAGCCGAGCAAATGGCTGCGAAGCCGGCTGCCACTGGGGACGGCCTATCAGTAGAAGAGGAACAGGGAAGCTTAGTTGTTGAGGCCAGCTCGCTGTTTGTGGAACCCAAATTCGCCTCCGTATGTTGCCTTCTACGCACAACGACTATCATGACAATTATATGCTGACGATGCACTCAGGCAATGGTACCACTCTTCCAAAACGAGTAGGTGTTCTATTCTGGCGCTGGATATGCTAGACAGATGTTGTTCTAGAGCTAAAGCACACTGGCCATCTCTATATTACACGTAGAAGAAAGTGTTTTCGGTATTAGGTGTAGCTTCTTGCCGGCGATCACTGAATACGGACCGCGTCATGCTGCCTGTTGAGCAGACCCAGATCCTCGTTTCTTGCTGCCCCTTTTCGCTCGCCTCTCCTTTGCCCTGCAAAGATGACAAGGACCCTTCATGTGTCTCCTTATGGGTGTTCTCCTTGCCGATCCTTCGGAGCAATTCCCAATGATAGGGTTGCTGGGGTTTCTCGCAATGGCCTCGCTACATGCCGCTGGTGTTTCCTGCTCGTACATCACGAACTGCCCACTGCGTCGTGGACAAACTTCGACGTGGACATATTTGTAACACATTCTGGTGGTACCAGTAGCCGAAATAAATGACACCAAGGTGGAAAAGGGTCCTATGGCTGGGTTATGGCCAAGCACTTCGTTTAAGCTCTCCAGTTGGGGAACAGCAAGCTTCGGGGAAGCAATCCCGTTGAAGTAGGAGCGAGTTGAACGGGCACGGAATCACAACTCTCCCAGCGTTTTCACTGAATCACTGGTGCTTGAGTCAATCCCAAGCGCATAAGTACTGGTTCGGGTAATTCAAGGGTTGGAAATAGATGAATGGCGCAAGTGAGTTACCCTTTCCCATAGCCATCTTTGTTTTCCAAGATATTCCCGTGAGCTCTATGAGCAGAAATGTTGATGCACTACGCCAGTCCTTAAGAATAACTGCACACTATTTGGGATGGGACCAACAATTTGATAGCAAACAGAGTCCCGCCAAACGCAGTCGTCCTGGCATTCCTAGTGTAAGTGACTCTGGGTGTCCCCGAATCTTTTGAGAGCCGCATTTCCTTTCACGTGGCTATGTGCAGTTTAAGTCTTAGTGGTCGTGCAGGGTGGCCCGTGGAGAGCGCCGCTCGCCGGCATCGTACCAGTCTCTAGCCATGACCAGACATATCACACCATTGGCATGGGTTGCGCGAGAGGAAGACGGGGCTCTCACGCTCAGGTGCGGGTGGAATGTGGCAGCACGTGGGAATGGGAACTAACCCCTGTAAACGAAGACGTCGCGGTAGTCTGCAGGCGCTGGCAAGGTCAACGATGCGTAAGCATTTGCGTAAAAAAGCTGTCGTATTCCGCCATCTGCTAGATATACTGCCGTCGAAACCGTCGGCTATCTCGTGACCCCAAAGTCTGTTCTTCTTCTACGAGGCAGGCAGCGGTAATGCGAGTGTGCGTCGAATGATACTAGATCAGCGCCCAAACACAACGGCGACATGGGAGATGCCTAGCACAGCGCATCACGCACACGGCACACCGGCTCTATGCGGATAAAGAAACAAAGAGGCCTGCGCCTCGGCTGCATTCGGGAGTCCACGGAGTACATGCCCACGTGCAGCACTCGACAGTCTCAAGCCCTCAAAGCTGTCTACACTTTCGGCTGATGAAGCTGGCGCCGCATGCGCGGACACTCGAATCTGGACACAACGCGACTTGGCAGCTGCGGCGCCATACAGGCATCGCAATTGAAGGCAGCGAAGAGGCTCTCTGAATGCCGCCCACGTGGGGGGTGCCGGGACTTTATTGGAGCGCGCTGGACATCTTGGCAGTTGGGAACTATCGCAGCCACCTTTGGCCCCACCCCTTGGCAGCGCAGAGGATCGCGACGACAGGACTTACACGAGCGTGTTGCCGTGCTGCAGTACTTCGGTTTCATTTTATGCGATTGAGTGTGACTAGAAACCGTGGGAACGAGTTTTGTAAGGTGAGAAGCGCGTCTCAATATAACTTAGTTCCTTCACCTGAATTGATGGCCAAGTCGTATAAGAACGTCGCTCCAACCACCATGGACTTAAGCAAACACAGGAGAGTATCACGAGCAGTGGGAGTGCAAACCAGGCTAAAACACGGCATACAACACCCATTCGGCCTTTCTCCCAGCAGATTGCAGCATCCAGTCAGTTTGAAGAAACAGGCAGACAGCGTCTTGGCCGTCCTTCGACGCAGTCTTGGCCGAGAGCCTCACGCTCAATCACAGCCTCCAGCCAGAGCATGACCACGGCTAGTCGCGTGTCCAAGACTTTCACCCCTGTATACCATGCAAAGAAGCGTAAAAGTAAGCTCATTGCCAAGCGTGGTGTGGCGTTTTCGCCCCGGCGCCATAATCGGAAACCGACACCGAGGACGCCCTGGACGGGTGTGGGTATGCCAGTGTGCAGAACCGTTGCGAGCCTGCTGGGCACGAGGAAGATTGACAGAAAAATGACTCCTTGTCAGGGATATAAGTGTAGCCGGCTGCGCGGCTGCGAAAGCACCCTGTGCAGCAAGGCTTTCAACGAACACCTCTTTCCCGAAAATTCGACCCTGAATCTTCGAAGATGGTTCTCCACCAGTTCGACTACATTTTTGCCATTGGCACCATCTTTGCGTTCCTCGACGCATGGAACATTGGTCCGACGCCACCCTCTTGAAGCTGTAATGTCGAAGGCTGACCCCTAACAGGTGCCAATGATGTCGCCAACTCGTGGACGACGTCCGTCTCGTCGCGGTCCATCTCCTACATCCAGGCTATGGTGCTCGGCTCCATCCTCGAGTTTGCCGGCGCAGTCGGTGTCGGCGCCCGCGTGGCAGATACTATCCGTACGAAGGTCGTTGATGTTGACCAGTTCGAGGAAAACCCAGCCCTGCTCATGGTCGGCATGATGTGCGCCATCCTGGGCTCGTCCCTGTGGCTCACGTTCTGCACCAAAGTCGGCCTCACCGTTTCGACGACACACTCCATCATGGGCGGTGTTATCGGCATGGGAGTCGCTCTGGTCGGTGTCAACGGCATCACCTGGGCCGACTTCAGCAAGGGCGACATCAGCTCCGGAGTCGTGTCTGTCTTCCTGGCCTGGATTATTGCGCCTGGTTTGTCCGCGGCGTTTGCCATCATCATCTTCCTCGTCACCAAGTATGCGGTCCTGCTGCGGAGCAAGCCTGTGCTGCGCGGCCTGATGCTCGTGCCCGTGTACTTTGGCATCACCGCCGCGCTCCTCGTCATGCTTATCGTCTGGAAGGGTGGCTCCATCAACGTCAACTGGATGACCAACGCGCAGATTGCTGGCATCGTGGTCGGCGCCGGCGCCGCTTGGGCAATCCTCGTTGCCATCTTCCTCGTCCCGTGGCTGTACCGCATCGTCGTCAAGGACGACTGGCAGCTCCGCTGGTACCACATTGCTCTCGGCCCGCTGCTGCTTCGCCGTCCTGAACCTCCGATCCAGCCTGAGGGCGCCAAGGGTGGCATCCGCGACTTCTACGAGGGCCACCTGACCAAGGAGCAGATGGAAGAGCTGCTCACAGCCGAGAGAGTCCGCGATGAGGAAAACACAGCCAACGAGGCCAAGACTGCTTCGGATGCCGTGTCGGACAATGTTCGTTCGGACAACGATCAGCCGGAGGGTGCCAATGCTCCCGCGGACAACTTCCCGCAGGAGAAGAAGATTGTCGGGCCTAAGCCCGAGGGCCCCTGGTACAACAGCGCGGTGCTCTTCTGGTACTTTAAGTGGCTCTTCCTGCGCGGCGTGGACCAGGACATTGTCAACCTGCAGCACAAGAGGACGTTCCTCTCTGGCGATTTGGCAGCCATTCACTCGCACGTGCCGCACTACGACAACAAGGCCGAGTATCTGTACACATTCGTCCAGATCATGACGGCGTGCACTGCTTCTTTCACTCACGGAGCTAATGATGTTGCGAACGCAATTGCCCCCTATGCGACGATTTACCAGATCTGGCAGTCCGGCGCCCTCAAGGGTAGCAAGTCTGAAGTGCCCATCTGGATCCTGTAAGTATCGCCTCTCGTGGTTTCCTTGAGGCCAAGGACTTACAAGATAAAGGTGCTTTGGCGGTGCCGGTATTGCTCTCGGCATCTGGACCTACGGCTACAACATCATGAAGGTGCTGGGCAACAGGCTCACGCTGCACTCTCCCTCTCGCGGTTTCGCCATGGAACTCGGCGCAGCCTGCACCATCATCCTGGCCACTCGCCTCAGTAAGTGCCGCGACTCTCCTGGCACCGTGGACCGCGGCTGACTCACGTATACAGAACTCCCCGTGTCGACTACGCAGTGCATTGCTGGCGCGACGGTCGGCGTGGGACTTTGCTCCGGCACGTGGAGGTCGATCAACTGGCGCGTCGTTACGTGGATCTACATGGGATGGATCGTGACTCTTCCCGTCGCTGCCCTCATCTCGGGCTGCATCTGCGGCATCATCATCAACGCGCCTCGTTGGGGGTACAAGGGCTACTAGTAGTACGAGACACATGGCACCGATGGTGTCTACGGACATCGAAAGGAGAGTTACTTGGGAACATTCATTGTCGCCAGGTTGTTATCATCATCATAGAGCGATTGCGCAGCTACGATGCTTGCCATTAGCACTCATTAGTTAGACACCGAACAAGATTGCCAGTCACTCAGCCATTGTCGCCGTTGCAAACAGATGCAGGGACAGGCATTTGTTTCCCGGCGCGACAGTGGAAAAATGAATGACCTTTGTTGGCGGTGCATGGGCGTGTTTCACGACAGCAATGTCAGTGTCACAATAGTAGACGTCAAAGTCAGTGGTAACGCGAATGTCGCGAGACAAATCTCTGCTCGTGTACTTCGTAACTCATCCAATCTGAACGCCAGTGATGCCCATCTAATTCTACCTTATGCAAGCGCTTTTACCAAAATCTCATCCGTCTGTATATCGCCGCCAACGTCAAAGTCGTGTTTCCCAACCTTTTTGAAGCCCAGCTTGGAGTACACCGCCTGTGCCTTGTGGTTCTCTTCCCAGACGCCCAGCCACATGTTGATGAATCCCATATCCCGAGCGATGCGCTCAGCCTCCTGCATCAGCACCTTCCCGACGCCCTTGCCGTGGAATGCCGAGTCGACGTACAGGCGCTGCAGCTCAATCACAGCCGGCAGGGCCTCGACGCAGGGTTCCGTCGACCCCTGCGTCAGTTGCGCAAAGCCAACCACCCGCGCGCTCTCCGTCGCGTCGCCTGGGGCCGTGGCGACGATGATGGTCTTGTTCGGATCGGCAAATTCGGCGGCGATGGCCGCTTGTGAGTATGCTTCATCCAGGTAATTTTGCAGCTGCTGCTCTGTGACGGAGTGGCCGAAGGTGGCGGAGAAGACGCGTGATCCGATGTCTGCGATGGCGGCGAGGTCGCCGGAGGCAGCCCGACGTATCTTGAACGCCGGCTTGGTGACCATTGCACTGCCTGGTGTCGGCGCGTCATGTAGTTGTGAGCCCATTGTGAGTTGAGGTGTTTGCTGATGCCAGTGTCCAGGGGTCTGGAATTGGCGACTTTTTAAGCAGCCTAATCAGTGATCACAGGCTATGGCGACGCGCTTTAGACTTCTCGAATTTTCGACCCAGATTCCCTGAAATGGCAAGGCGGGATCTGGGTTGTCAACAGGCGCGCCCTGTGGCTCGATCAGACCAGTGCTGGTGGGGAGAAGATTGACGCACGTTGCTTTCACCGATGCCGGAGCCGGATGGTGCCGACTTGGGGAGGAAAGGTTGCAAACCGCCTGGATTTAATTGGTTGCCCCTGGCTTTGGCGATGCGCAGTCAGTGAATTATTCTGGGTCAGCCTGTTTAGAAAGGGCGTCACTCTCAGTGTGTGAGACTATTAGCGGCTAATTGATTCACTTAGTGCGGGTGTGCAGTTGCGGAGGTTGACTCTGTTCGCCTCTCTTGACTCAACACCTCCATCATGATAAGATCGACATCTCGAGCGTCACACAGCTCGCTCGGTCTTTTGCTTTCATAAAATTGTTCCGAAAGAGTTCATAGACACCGCGCAGCAGGAATAGCCTCCAAGATGTATCTCCGCGGTGTCCACGCCGACGCAACCATCCCGATGCTGCGGCAGCTCATTCGGGACAACCCCCTCGGCATCCTCACCACCGCCATCCGCTCCAAGTCATACCCCACGATACAGTCCAGCCACATCCCCTTCATCCTGGACGTGAAGGACGACGCCGACGAGTCCGAGCTCGGCGTCCTGCGCGGCCACCTCGCCCGCCAAAACCCCCAAAGCAAGGCCATGATGGACGCCGCCGCACAGGAGCCGTCCGCGCAGAACGTCCTCGAGGACGAGGTCATGGTGCTCTTCAGCGCCGCCGCGCACCACTACGTCACGCCCAAGTTCTATACCGAGACGAAACCCAGCACGGGCAAGGTGGTGCCCACCTGGAACTATGCGGCCGCACAGGCGTACGGCAAGGCGAGGATTTTTTACGACTCAAAGGCCGACGAGACGGGCGCCTTCCTTTCCCAGCAAATACACGACCTGTCAAAGCACGCTGAGACCTCGGTCATGGGGTACACCGGCGCAGGGGACAGGCCGGGTCCGTGGAGCGTGTCTGACGCGCCCGAGCCCTACATCAAGCTGCTGCAGAAGAACATCATCGGCATCGAGATCACGATTGAGCGGCTCGAGGGCAAGTTCAAGATGAGCCAGGAGATGCAGCGGGGAGACCGTGACGGCGTGATCCAGGGCTTTGAGAATCTCGGCTCTGAGGTCGGGTCGCAGATGGCTGACCTTGTGCGCGAGCGTGCCGAACTCAAGGAGGCACGGAAAGGCTAGACGCGGCTTTCCATCACCCGCGCACCTCCGTGCGCGTCTGTAGTGCCACGTTGTCTAGCTGCAAAACTGTGTACCTGTTTCACGTCACAGCGCTTTGACGCCTCTCCCTTTGGGAAGGCGAGCACGTGAGGCGGCGTAGAGCCAGCCGGCGGCTTCTTCTGATGCTTGAAGGAATTGATCCCGTTTGACGTGGTTTTGAGTTGTGGGCGCTCATGCGCTCTACGTTGCCCGTGCACATCGCTCTCACGCCGCGATTGCTCGCTCATCTCCCGGAGGATCAAGTACGAGGGATTGTCTCGGGTGAAGAGCCTGTTAGCCAACGGCATCAAATCAAGGCCAACTTGCGTAGCCTTGGGTATTCTGCCTGCTGTGGTAGACTTGGGAATTCCTTTTCTCTCCTGAAAGAATCTCACTGTTGGTGCCCAGGTACATGTATTTTTATCGGTGCCATGCTGCATCTCTGACCTGCGATACCTGAATGACTAAAGAGAACTTTGGCCAGCACGTACATCGCAAAGTCTTAGTCACACAGAACCTAGAAATGTAGAGAGTGGTGAAGCTGTCAAAACATGAAGTGCCATTCCGTTTCAAGGCTCTTAAATGTGTCCCTCAACAGGTTATAAAAGGAACCGTTCATCCCAAGAGCCTTTCATCGCAGCTCGACCTCACCCTCGTACAGCCTTCAACACCACGTGGATCCCAAAATGCAGCCTCATCACTCTCTCATCATCGTTGGCCTTCTCAGCCTTGGCGCTGTGGCTCTCCCAAGCGATATCCTCGCACGCACTCCCATAACAAGCCCTCACTACATGCTGTACTGCAGCAACACGGCAGACACGCCCCAGTGCCAGCCACCCAACGCCTACTGCAGCGATGACGGCTGCTATACAGTGAGCAAAGCACTCGAGGCCGAATGGGGCCAGAAGTGCAGCTCAATGTGCTGGTGCATCCCGAAATAAACGAGGTGAGCCGTGTGCGTGTCCGGGGCGCGTTTAGCGACCCGCCGCTTGCGAAATAACGGCTAAAATGTCAAGAAGGGATTATCGAGAAAACCTTAGAGTCAAACCCGGAACTCGGCTATGGGATTCATGAAAGGAAGAGAATCCCGGACGTCCGGCGGTCCTCGTTTCTTCGGGTTGCTTGTCGCGGATGGGGCGTTACACCGGAAATGGGCAGTTGACGCGGGTATTTCAATTATTCGTTTGGCATATGAATGAGTGAGATATAGAAATGGGCGGTCGGATCATGGTAGGGAAAAGTATCTTTGTTTCAATATTGTCGGAGTAGGATTGTAAACAAAACTACTTTGCTTTATGCTGCTTTCTGTACAACATATCGCTGGCGGCCTTGAGTGATATGAACGAGTGCTGGACGGCGCGTTACACGAATCCGTCAAGCAAGATATTGTTTCGAGTGGTACTTATGTATGTACGAAGTACAGGAAAGCGCATCACATCTAGCACAACCCACTACCGCTGTTGCAGTTCTGGTCGCAGTCGTACTCGCCATCCAAGTCCCGGTCGGCGCCATACATGTCGTAGCCCTGGAACCAGCCATTGAGCGTCTCGTGGAGGTAGTTGAGATTCTGTGGCACGCCGTGCGCCTTTCCCTCGTCTGAACAAGGGTACCCCTCCGTCAGGCCCTTCCCACCGTTGAGCCCCGTCCCATCACTCGCCGTGAACCACCCGTTGTAGGAGCCCAACGCATGCACGGCGTTGCCCCCCGCACCATCCAATGCCTGCCGCAGCACGTGGGCGCCGCAGTCAGTATTATCCTCGATCGGGTACTGGCAGCTATCCTTGCCGTTCTGGCAGTTCCCCGGGTCGCACTGCATCAGGCCCGGCGTGGGGCCCCCCTCGTCGGCGTTGCACGACGATTCCTGCATGGCCAGGAACGCGAGGATGGCCGGGTCGATGTTGTACTTGGCGCCGGAGCCGCGGAAGTACTGGTCGTACTTTTGGCACGGCTTGCCCACGCCGTTGTAGTACTCGTCGAGGGATATGTGCGACAGCTTGTTGATGTCGAGGAAGGGCGGCTCCCAGCCGGAGCCCTTGAGGCCGGTGTTGAGCCACTGCTCGGAGCCGTTGGGCCCGCAGGCGCCAGTGCCGCCGCGGGTCGGCTCGCATGCACCCTGAGCGTCGGGGTTGACGTCGGCGGCACTCAGGCCTACCGCGAGCAGGATGTTGGTAGCGACTAAAGTAGGGCGGTGCATCGTGACTGGGAGCGTACAGTTGATCGTAGAGTCCTTCAACATACGAGACTGTGGGAGTACTCAATGCCCTTCAACCAAGCCATAATGCGCATCTTTATACGCTGGTCGCGAGAGACCGTTCAATTGCACCCATCCTTTGGTCGTGAACCTTCGTCATACCCGTCCGAACAATGCAACTCTCACAGCATCTAGCCGCTCATCTGATAGGAGGACTTATTCCCTCCAGCGTAGAAGCGCCGCCGAAGAAAGTCGGTCCGAATCCTTCCTGCCACGGAGCGTCACTTAGTGTCGTTTCATGGCCTCTCTTCACCCACGCCGCCGGCAAAGCCAGGCACAACCCGGAGTGCCGATCGCTTCCATAGCGCTAGATCCTACGGGACTTGACGCGCCACGCGGGTATTCCAACGGCTGCTTGTGTGCCCGAACGAGGAACAGCCCCGGGTCGGGGCGCCCGGGGTCCCCCGCAACGCAGTCGCTGAGCTACCTGGCATTTGGGTTTCAGATCGCAGCAGGTCGGTGATTGAAGGATGGATCACAATTTATGTTGCAACGCGCACGGCAAAGCCCGGCCCGGCGTAGACCTGCGAAGAAGGTCATAAATGGCATCGAGAGTGCGTGTCCAGACGACAACATGATCTCCATTTTGAGTGCTTACATCTACGCCATTGCCGAGACATCAGCTTGCGATAAACCGTTTTGCCCACAAATGCCCAGCATGATCGCCCGTATTTCCACAGTGTTAGCGCTCGGCGCTGTTGCCACAGCCTACGAGCTGCCCGCCAACCTCAAGGCCATATACGACCAGCACAAGGTGCGGCGCAAACGTTGACTCCACGGCGTCCTCTTGGCTTCCGCTAACCCGCAATCATGGCAGTCGGGCGGATGCTCCAACAGCTTGTCTGGCACGTTCAGCGGCGGCGCCGTCTACTGCGGCGACCTGGCCAACGCCGTGTTCCTCAAGGGCAACAACGAGTACGACAACCTCGACATCGACTGCGACGGCGCCAACAACTCCGCCGGTGACTGCGCCAACGACCCTTCCGGGCAAGGTCAGACGTCGTTCGTCGACACCGTCAAGAACTACGGCATTTCGGACTTGGATGCTAATCTCCATCCGTACGTCGTCTTCGGAAACGAGGGCGCCAGCCCGTCCTTCAACCCCCAGGACCATGGCATCAAGCCTCTAAGTGTGATGGCTGTCGTTTGCAATAACCAAGTTGTGAGTCCCTCGCCAATCCCGCAATCCACCAGACGTGTCTGGCTGTTCCTGAGCTAACGCATTGGGCCACATCATAGTTCTACGGTGTCTGGGGAGACACCAACGGATTCACCTCCACTGGCGAAGCGTCTCTTGCGCTGGGCAAGCTGTGCTTCCCCGACGGTGGGCTCACGGGCGACAACGGGCACGACGAGAAGGACGTTTTGTACATCGGCTTTAGCGGTGATCGCGCGGCGCCCGGCAAGGATGGCGCGGCATGGGCCGCCGGGAGCACGAACGAGTTTGAAGCTAGCATCAAGGGCTTGGGCGACGAGCTTGTGGCGAGCCTCGTCGCTTAACTCAATTTACAGGTCGCTTCGTTTCAAGACAGAAGTAACAGCCCAAACTCGTGACCTACTAACTGGTATAATCGTAAAGTATTCATTTGCCACGTTGTCCTAGCAGACAATTGAATGCAGACACCAACATCGCAGTACCCCAGTCCTAAAAAACGCACGGAAGCACCGACCGCTGATTCACCATTCTCTGCGACTAATCTCCGCAGTCGGTGTCATTATAAATAAAGTGCAGGTTCACAGCAAATGTGCGTCCGCTCGAGGACGAAGGGGGTGCAGTTTCCGCAGGATGGGATGCCGCATTTGGAGGTCAATTTGCGACGCGCCGACCGCGTCGCCGCAAAGCGGGCAACTGCTAGGCCCTTGATGCAGTGCAGAGTTGGCACAGTAGGGCTTAATCTATGTAATATTTTTTTAATGTAGTCAGTGTAGTAGGCGTAATATAGGAAGTAAGTAGAAAATTCCTACATGTAATGAGATATGTTAGCCGAAAATCCCTAGCCATGAGGGGTTCTCAGTGCCTTCACTATTAAAGACATAAGCATACCCAGTAATAGCGATAAGAACACTGGTAAGGAAGTCCACCATATGATCCCGAGCAAGATATGTTCTCGGCAAGCCAAAAATCCGCCCCAACCTCGTGTTGCTCAGCCAGCCGAGGGCTCCCCGTCTTGTTTCCCCGGCAGCCACAAAATGAGCTGGAAGGAAAGAAAATACAATCATAAGATCAACGATTTCAACGGCGTGGAAAACTCTTCCAGGGGTCTGGGAGGGCTGCCACCACCCCCACAAGAACACCTCGGAAAAGTAGAATAGAAGAACACTGTCAGTGTCGCCTTCACTGATCCGCCTCAGCTGGCCTGCGCCCAACCCGATAGCCCAGAGGTAGAAATGGAAGGTGATAAAAGAGGCCAGAGTGATGCTTGGGTGCTGGTCCATTTCATGCCCGATTGGCGGCGTGGCTCGTAGCAGTACATATACTCTAAAAGAAATATGCAGTGAGTGGCAGGCATCCACTACCATCACCCATAACGAAACCCTACAAGATGGAGGAACGGGAGCAGCTGAGGTCCGATCTTGGGAAATCGAAGTTCGATCTCGGGTTTCCGGGGTAGCTGATTCCAAACCTAAGGCAGCTATATTCGCATCGCCTGGTCCGTCAACAGCTGACTCTGCTGAAGAAGTAGGAAACGCTACTTGGCCGAAATTTTGGGTCGTCATCCTAAGGAGCGGCTCTTCGGTATCCATGGTCGGATGACTCGGATCCTGGGCCGCTATACTCGCACCGTCGCGTCTTCGAAAACTTGTCTCCGCCGCGATATTCAAGACCTCGCCAAAAATTAAAGCGGCAAGGAAAAGCAACGCCCAGGTCTGCGTCAGAGGGATACCGCGCATAGCCATGAGTTTGATAGTCTGGCACGGGATTCCACCAAGAAAGATCAGTATCCAACGGCCCACTGCTGATTTCTCAACATCCTTGCGCCTTTGGTTCCAATCTTCGTCTCGGAACCGGTAAGCAAGCTCCGCCTTGAAATGCCTCCAGGACAGCGCAGGTTCTAGTAGGTAGTCAATCATGACCCGTAATAGAAAACAGAGCATATCGCCGGCGCAAATGATGGGAGACGACCGAAGCCAGAATGCCAGCTCAGGCGGAGCGTCCAACACCCGCCCCACGGGCTGCGTCATGACCCCGAGGGCAAGGGGGACTAATGCGAAGAAGGCCACCTGCCATTTGACTTCGGCAGGGTCTGCTGGTGCTGAATCTGCTCTATGGTGTCAAAATCAGTATTATTAGCTAGGCGTCCCTATGCTGTGCACTCACCGGTATTGCTGCTGACCGAATCCATGCCAGAGGGCGTGGGAGAACGACGGACGACAGGTTCGTAGATTAGCGTGTTTCCGAAGCGGTGATGGCAGCGTATGACGTGGAGCACGCTTGGTGCCGAATGTCAACAAGTGGGTTGCCGGGGAGTTTCGAGGCGCGTCGCGCGAGCCATCCTATGCCCTGCACAGCTGCGGGAGGATTCTAGTCTGGGAAAAATATAGGCGAGCATCGACTCTTTAAAACGCACTGCGACAAAGGAGGCCTCCACCGTGTCAGCCTAGCTGAAAAAACGTGCACATCATCGCAGCCGCAGTTTGTCCAATCGGCTGCATGACTTTGAGACATCTCTCAACAGGCACTGCTCGTAGGCTGTTTTCATTCGTAGACACCTTCACAGGCAGCCTCGAGTTTTTGCGGCTGACAGTGCCCTTCTGGGATGACGGTTTGCGCGTTTGGTGACGCTGGCGTTTAGCATAGCGGCCGGCTGGGAAGGAGCAGTATAACTCCTTAGAGCTTGAAGAGCTTCGTCCAGTATCCTGTTCCGTTCGGGCCAGTGACGGCTACCGACGAGTCGAGAGCGTGGATTCTGTGCGCAGTCACTATTGGGTTGGACTCGCCTCGGCTTCATGTTAGGCACTAGTGCATCAGCGTGCGGTCTCGCCAACGAGTTACCCTTCGTCGCGCGGCCTTTCCTTGCGCGCCGTCGCGCCTGGGTCGGAGCTACTCGCGACGGATGCATCTTGGTCCGATGGAGCTGGAATGCCTCCTTCTTCGTCAGAAGAGGCTGTCCTTGGAGCCGAAATACCCTGGCTAACCACGACAGTTTGTGGAGGTTCGATTTGTAACAAGAACAATCGAAGTCGCGATTCAGGCTGCCCAATTGGATCTGTTGCCGCCTGCTTGGCGTCAAGATGGCTCCTAATTCGATATTGTTAACCCTTGTTATCAAGACAATCGCGGAGCCATTCTACGCTTCTTTCGAGGCTGTCACTAAGGTCAGAAAGTCCTGCAATAGCATCAAGAAGAACTAAATAATTAAGTAGCTGTAAAGTATTGTTATTAACGATGATACATATAGAAAATATCGTACTATATAAATTACTTGCTAGGCGCACCTCCTAACTATCGCGATCGTGGCGGCGCCTACAAGATAATATAAGGCGCGGGTGCCCGCGTTCCTATCACATCCCGGGGACGTACCCTCCCTTGTCGTCCTTGCCCTGTCGCTCCGCCCTGTTGACGCCCTCCTTGGAAGCCATGTCGCCGATCGGTTGCAGGAGGCCACCCTGTCCGACCTGTCCCGCGACGAGGTTGTTGACGCCGTCCTGCAGCTTGTCGACCTGCTCGACGCCGGTAACCTTGGACTTGTCGAGTGTGTCTGTTGCCCCTCAACGTCAGCCAACATACTTTTCACACGGGGCCGTTCTTCACTCCTCCAGGGGGATAAACGCACCTTTGGTGGCGTAGCTCGCTTTGTTATCCTTGGTGAACCACTTGAGGAAGTGGTCCTCGATCCACGGCATCCAGTTCTCGTACTGCTCGTTGTACTTTTCCCGCGCCCACTCCATGTACGTCTTCTTCTGGTCCTCCTCGGACATCTCGCCGAAGCCCAGGGGAGGCTTGAAGTCCTTGACCCACTCGGTCCAGGTCTGCGTCTTCTCCTGCTCCGACAGCTGGTCGAAGGGGGTCTTGGTCTGCGCCTGCTTGTTCTCGGCCATGGTTGCGAGTGTACGTGTTTTTGGGGGGCTTGTTTGGTGATGACGATTCTGTGCTATTGCTGTTAATTACCGACCGACTTATTGAGACCGCTGGACACTGCTGGGTTTCGAGCTGTCCTAGCTTTGACGGTAAGAACAGGTCAGAACTCACATGACGTAGCGGTGATGATTTCGTCAATTAGGCGTGGACGACTTTACCGTCGGTTTAAACAAATTCGACAGCCTCTTCCTTCTTATATCGCCTGCACACTTCCCGGTGAGCCATTGATGTCAACAAGTGTAGATTTCAGGTTTCGAGATGGTGGCGTTACGTCATGTGGGTGATCGCCACCGCCCATGATTGGCAGCTGTCGTCAACTGTCAAACAAGGAACCGTCCCACTCAGCCTCAATGATTGCCGCTAAAAGGGCGACCCTTTATTATCCGCAGACAATCCAGTCAAAAGACGCCATGGTCCACGTTGTGGCTCTGACGATGGGCGCCTTGTCTTGTTTGCCAGTGAAGACGTTCGTGGCCTCTCATTCGATCGGTTGTCGCGCCGCTGCCGATAGATCAGTGCTGCTAGCGTTGATCCGCATTATGTCACAACTGGTACAAGTCCATTGCAGTCGTCTCACTGCGCCAAGATAAGGTATCCAAGCTGATAAGTACCCACTACCTGCTGGGTATACTCGATGCTCGTACACGATGCTCGACGCGACGGAAACGTGCAGTTGACCAGAGCTGGAAAGCACCGGGCCCCTGATTGGCCAGTGTCCGCTCTCGCGTCCAGATCAGGCAACACAACCTGCTTAGCAACGTTGCGCAGAGTCAAAGACTGATCCTCAAGATGATAGGAAGGAGACGGCTGCGGCCTCACATCGCTGCCGCCGGAAGCGTTCTTTGCCGGACATATAGCCTGGGCGAGCCACCGAGATTCCACGGCTACGGCCACACCCTGGACAATAGAATGTAAGAAGCCTGCGCTGTGACCGAGTGGATGGCTATCAATGGGCGTGTACTAACGTCAATAAGCATAGGAATGTAGAGCGAATCGGTCTGGGATGATGATTATGATGTCGAAGTACTGTTCATAGAGTGGTCTTTACGGCGCCCTATGGCGCCGCGACAATGAAAAACACTCGGCCTTCAATTTCGAGCTCAATGTAAGTTGCCACGTATGAGGACAGTGTCTTCGCAAGCAGAGTAATCTCGATAGCTTTCAGCCCGCGGAGTAGTTTATCCGGACGCGTCCTCAGGAACAGAGTGGCGAGTGTCAGTGGACTGTGTTGGCACAACATGCACCACGGAACAATCCGCCAGCCGGCACTTGAAAAGCACTGTCGGAATCACAAGCAACTACACTTCAACTTAGAGCCAGCCCCTTCGTAACCGAGTATCGAGGATGTCAAGCAGAGCTTACCGGCGCTCCAACGTACTATGCCCGACTGCACACCCAGGAATCAGCCGCAACCCTGATGGTCCTGTGAAAGCTTTGGAGGCCCTCATGGGCCAAGCGGCGTTTCGTGAATGTACAACCGGTGTTGTTACGGGCTTAATATTTTCAGGGGCTCAGCTTCCGTCACAATTTGCATTACCACTGGCAGTGTGATGACCCGATCCCCAATCTCTCCAAAACAACAGCCAATAATAAGACATGTGGCGGCCAGGCACAGCAATATTTCGGACCTGGATCAGCGCTCTGCATGCTTTAAACTCTTCCTCGGGGCGGTGTCCCTGCATCATGGCCACCGAAAAGCTCCGATGGGATTCAAGGGAGATGAGATCTGGGCCTCAGCCCCTGCCATGATTTGGAAGCTTCACGTGCTGAGGTCCAGGGCAGTGAAGCGAGGTTTGACAACTGTCACAACTCATTGGCGACCTTGGAACCGCATCATAGGCTAGAGCCTTGTTATCTCCATGAAATTCCGTCAAGTAGAAGATTGTACCGGGTCTGATGCTCAGACGAGGGGCTGAAGTTTGCGGCCGACGGGCGACACTTGACGCCGAGATCTCCAAGGGTCGGCCGTCTACACCCGCGAACACTCCATGGGCAAATACGAGTACGAAGCCTGACCTGGTATTGCGCCGAATCACCAGATCTTGGCATGAACCCCGCAAAACAGCAGAGGGTTCACGACTGAGGTTACACCTACACAGAGAGCAGACGTCTCCGCACATCGTTCTGGACTCTCTGAGATGGTGGTCGCAGCACAGCCTCGGGAAGGTGAAGCGAGTAGGGCTGGTGAAGCTTGTGACTGTGAGGAGTCCATGCGTGCGGGGAGTCGGGGAGTTGAAATCCGCGAGCGAGTCACCGTCGATCCCGCGTCACCACCAGCCGACAACCACGGCGCTCAGGAACCGGCGGGATCAAGATGATGCGCCGGCCGGCCGCACATCGCGGTGATTGCCGAATGCCGCTCGATCGCCTGGGTTGTCGCTCACCCCGACTGAAATTCTTTCAATGATTGTTTCCGAGTAAGGCACGCGGACAGGCAATGAGCGGAGGGGTGACAGAGGGGCTGACCACAAAACTGGCTGTATGGGATTTGCTTTTGTCTTTTTGCCAGGGTCGAGGCCTCGCACGGCGGTAATCGTCCGTGATCGGATGATTCTGCGCCCTGAGATCCAGCTGTCGCCTTGGCCTCAGAGCTAAACCAGGGCAAGCTTGGGCGGGCTGGGGTGAACGTGCGGCAAGGGCATTGTCATAGCGCGCCGAGACTTGCGATCAGACATCACGGCCGAGGTTAAATCGCAGAGAGGCAACAGATTATCCACAGATGACGGTTCGTACCCGTATCGCTAGAGAGTTAGCGCTCCTGGACAGGAATGTGCCCTCGGCGAGACGGAGATGGCGAGATGCGGCGCAGGCGACCACGCAGCATCGGGCGCTGCTGGCGCGGGGTAAGGGCATCGGTCAGGCCCAGGCAAGATATTCATTCAGCCAGCCGGGAGCGAGAGGATTGAGACTCGTCAAGAATCGGCGCAGGCAGCGGAGGCGGGGAGCGAGTTGCGACCCAAAGTGCCGGGCTGTGCGGATGTTTGCCGTAGGTTGCGGGCTGCAGCCGAGCCAGGAAACATGTACAAAACGGGACAATGCTCCGTCCGGGGAGCCGCAAGCCTCGCATCGGCTGCCGCAGTCGACTAATGGGCCTGGGTGCTTAATCTGACTGTTCTCCGCGACGAGGACGGCGGGGTGGGTTCGGGTTCGGGTTTGGGGGCTGGCGCTTGGGGCTGGCCGGATCGCAACGGCGCAGTAGGAATCGCGGTGGCTGCCGATGCGTACAGCCTGCCCTACCCAGCGCACGTTATCCGCGCGGTCGGTAGCGACTAAGCGGCATCGAAATGAGAGGCAGAGTGCGATGGAAAAAAAGAGAGAGAGGTGATGGAGCGACTCCAGATGGGATGTGATTCGATGCCATGTCATCCGGCCGCTCTTTCCTCAGGCGACAGGCACTTGACAGCTGCGCCTCAGGCACACTCAGGCACAGGAACAGGCACCGCAAACTGAAGCCCATTCGTGTTTCCCCCACCACCACCATCATCACCATCACCATCACCATCCTTCGTCCACTGGTTTCTCTCCGTCGCCCACCAGCCCGCAAGCCGGCCGCCGTTGTCACAACGCAGGTCGGGTCACACGATGCGCCGTCGACCTCTTGCTTCAGTTCATGCCCTGCAACGTCCGGACGTCCGGCCACTCGCATCGCTCCAAGCCTCCGGATGAGCGCGCAATCGGCGCCCTCCTTCGGCCTCAACCGCAACCCTCGCAGTTGCAGGCAGCCGGATGCCTGCCACGCAGCACAGACGTGCCCGCCCATGCGAACGCGCGCCCATGCATGCATGCATGTCATCGTCATCGTCACCGCCTCTCCCACCACCCCCGGCCGCCCGCCTTGGACCCCTGCGACCCGCCCGATAGAGCCCCAAAAAGGCCCAGGCCAAGTGCCAAAGAGGGAAGGCTTTCGTCGCTCCACACCATCAGCCCTTACGAATACCGGCCTTGCAGTTCCCCCGCCTTGCCTCGCACCCATCAACCTCGGCTTCGACTTGCAGACGACACCGTCAAATCTTGCTCGCGCACCAGTTTTTGCGCTGCCAAGCCAGCCTTGACTATCATGTGTTATTCGTTCCATCTCCGTGGCTCGTCTCCAAGCACCGCTCTAGCCATGTACCCCGCAAACCACTCCGCCTCCTTCGCGGGGAACCGTGCCATACGGGTTTATGGTTTCCCATGCTAACAAGGGAAGCCTGCCTGTCCATGTTCGACGTCGACGCGGAGCCTGACGTCCAGTGAGACATGCCCGGCACTCTCTCGTCGGCCCGGAGACACTCACGGCGGCCACATACCGATCCCACGCGGCCAAGCATGATTCTCTAGCTCCGACTGCCCTCCGCCGGCGAGTCCGTACTAGCTGTCTTGGCCTTACCAAAGCCCATTATGGGTCACTCCCCATTCCGTTGCAGTCCCACTACTTCGTACAGACCGGCGATCCTCCATCCTACCGTGCACATGGCGGGGCGGGTTCCGATGGAGAATGGTGTGGGGTGTTCCTGGGCGTTACCGACCTAGACACCACGATGTCCTCAATGGGTTGCGACATGTCCATCCGGCCGGGCCAAAAAGATGGGGGCAGGGAACGTGCACATCCAAGATTTGCGGCCCGTCCTACTGGACTGTCCATTGACACCCCACACTCTGCCGGAACACCTGCCCGCGTCCAAGGTCGCTCTTTACTGTAATCTTATATATAGGCACGTTCCAACCCATTGGCACTCGCGATCTTGGCTCGCGTTTTGCGAACCAACGAGACCAAGATCAAGGGCCGTCCATCTCTACGCCTGGAGTGTTTGCTCTTAGCAACTTTTGCTCGGGCTTCTTCGTCTGGCTGTGTTGCTTCAGTCCTGCTGGTCTTGACCGACCTCTGCAAGCCAACAAGCGCAAGAACAAGGGTTGGCCAACCTCTTGAACAAAATGAAGTTGCTCGCCACCAGTTCCGCTTTGGCGGCCATGTTCCTCTCAAGAGCTCTGGCAGCCCCCGCCCCTGTGCCTGCGCCGGCTCCCGATGCCGCGCCGGAGCCCATCCCTGCCCCGGTAGCCGTCGAGCCTCACCTGGAGGAGCGCATTGCTACTGTTACCGTCGACATTCCCACTGGCGGCAAGGTCAAGGGCCGCTCGCTGCTCAATGTCGAGTCCTTCAATGCCATCCCATTTGCCGACCCTCCCGTTGGACAGCTGCGTCTTAGGCCTCCGAAGCGCCTGTCCACGAACCCTGGCACCATCGACGGCACCGGACTTGCCCCTGGATGTCCCCAGATGTTTGTCTCGTCTGGAGCCAGGGACGCACTGAGCACGATTCTCGGAACCCTGTTAGACATTCCGTTCCTGAAGCCTATCACTGGGCAGGAAGACTGCCTGACGGTCAATGTGCAACGACCTGCCGGCACCAAGGCCACCGACAAGCTGCCCGTCTTATTCTGGATCTACGGAGGCGGCTTCGAGCTCGGGAGCACAAACACCTACGACGCGACCAGCCTGCTCGCCAGCGCCGTCGGCCAGAAGCAGCCGTTCGTCTTCGTCGCCGTCAACTACCGCGTCGCGGGCTTCGGCTTTATGCCCGGCAAGGAGATTCTCAAGGACGGTAGCGCGAACCTGGGCCTGCTCGACCAGCGCATGGGCCTCGAATGGGTTGCCGACAACATCGCGGCCTTTGGTGGAGACCCGACCAAGGTTACAATCTGGGGAGAGTCTGCAGGGGCCATTTCCGTCTTCGACCAGATGCTTCTGTACGGCGGCAACGCTACCTACAAGGGACAGCCCCTGTTCCGAGGCGCCATCATGAACTCGGGCTCCGCCGTCCCGGCCGACCCGGTCGACTGCCCCAAGGGCCAGGCCGTCTACGATGCCGTCGTCAAGGAAGGCGGGTGCGCTGGCGCTAGTGACACGCTCAAGTGCCTGCGTGACCTCGACTACGAGACGTTCCTCAACGCAGCCAACTCGGTCCCCGGCCTCCTGTCGTACAACTCTGTCGCCCTCTCGTACCTGCCTCGGCCCGACGGAGTGGTCCTCCCCGACAGCCCGGACAAGCTCGGCGAGCAGGGCAGGTTCTACGCCGTGCCGTCCATCATCGGCGACCAGGAGGACGAAGGCACCATCTTCTCCATCTTCCAGAGCAACGTGACGAGCGTCGACGACATGACCAACTACCTCTCGCAGCTCTTCTTCCACAACGCCCCCAAGAGCAAGCTCAAGGAGCTCGTCAACATCTACGAGCCCGCCCTCCTGCAAGGCAGTCCCTTCCGCACGGGCATCTTCAACGAGCTGTACCCGGGCTTCAAGCGCATGGCCGCCATCCTCGGCGACCTGACCTTCACGCTCACGCGCCGCGTCGTCCTCAAGATCGCCACCAAGACCAAGCCCGACATGCCTATCTGGTCCTATCTCTCGTCGTACGACTACGGCACCCCCGTCGTGGGCACCTTCCACGCCTCGGACATCCTGCAGGTCTTTTACGGCGTCCTCCCCAACAACGCCATGCGCAGCTGCCGCACCTACTACTTCAACTTCCTCTACAACCTCGACCCCAACAAGGGCGTCGGCGGGTTCGCCCGCTGGCCCCAGTGGAAGGAGAAGCAGGAGCTCATGTGGTTCAAGTCCGCCGTCGCAAACGGCATCCTCAAGGACGACTTCCGCAGTGGCGCCGCCGCCTTCATTGAGGCCAACAAGGGTATTCTGCACATCTGAATAACCTCCGCGAAGGAGGCGCGTCAATGGCGCGAGGTTGGGCGGTTGGTGCGAGCGTCTTATGTCTTGTTGCGTCGCGAGCCCGTCGGCTGTTTATAATTTGCCTGTACATAGTAGCTGGTCTGTTGAGCGAGTCGCTTACGTTACTGATGACCCCGATCTGGCGGCTGGCCAGATGATATCCCCTCCCGGCGTCATGATAGCCGGCCAAGGAACGGCACACAATGGAGGAAAAATCCCAATGCTTAACTTGCTGCCTCGCCCTCTGTGCCTTCGTGTCCACTGCTCGTCACGCGCTCCTCTACACGCCCATGGCCCTACCAAAACTCAAGTCCGTCAGTCGTGGTGCCTTCATCACTGTCTTGGACGACATGGTAATGAAGATTGCGTGTCAATTTCCCGTATAAGTCTCTCTTTTTTAATCTTCGGCCATGTCGGCCACACTGTGATATCATGTCTTCATTCGACGCGCCAGCAACTCCCCACACCATCATACTCTCTACATTGTCTCGGCCACAGAAACCTCACAAGTACTTGTTGGCGCTGAGCCACTCCTTGAGGGCCGCTGAGTCCCGCTGCTTGTACGAGGCGCGACCGCGAATCTTGTCCTTGACGGTGCCAAGAGTGCGGTTGAAGCTGCTCGTGTCCTTGTCCTTGAAGAAGGCGTCGATCTCGTCAATGACGGCCGCATTGGTGAAGCCACCCAAGCTGACGCGGACAAAGCGGTCGACGACAATGGGGTTGCCAAGCTTGGACAGGCAGGCATCCCAGTCGTTCTTCATGTACTCCCACTGCACGGCACGACCAACGGGGTTGGCGGCGAGGTGGAGGCCAAGGACGTGCATATCGGCGGCGGGAACGGCATTTTCAGGGGGTGAGGTGTTGAAGTTGAAGGGGACAATGGCCTTGCGAAGAAGCTCCTCGTCTTCGGTAGCCGACAGAGCCTGAAGGCAGATGAGCTTGCCGTCAATGGACTTGGTCGTGAACCATTCCTTCTTGAGAATGTCGATGGCACGAGCCGAGTCCTTGCGGACGGCGTTGCGCCAAACAGGGACTCTGAGCGAAGGGTGGATCGGGTTGGTCTCGGGGTTCTGTGCCCAAGAGTTGAAGCGCTTGAGCGCCTCCTCAATGGTCCTGTATTATTGTTAGAACACGTAGCTTCGAATCAAAGATAGGGTGGACTGACTCGTCGTGGCCGTTGGCAGCAGCAACACCAATGAGCTGCTTGCGCAAGAGGCCCGCCAGGTAGCCCTCGCCTTCGGGGAATTCCCAGCCAATCTCCTTAACCTTGTTGGCAATCAGCTTCAAAGCAAAGTTCTCCAGGCCCTTCTTGATCTCCTTGTCTTCGGAGAAGACACCCTTGACACTGGAGATGGTGTCGAGCACCTGAGTCCAAACGAGCGGGTGCGTCTCATTGCTGAAGCCCTCGAGGAACGTCAGGAGTGAGGCAGTCGTGCCATCGCCAGAGAAGGCGAGGTCAGCGGTGGAGCCGATGATGGCGATCTTGTCCTCGGTGCTCAGCTTGTCGAGCTGAGTGCTGAGCTTGGCCAGACGTGCAGGCGGGTAGTTGACGCGATAAAAGCCGGTGGCGCCGCTGTTCAGCTTGTAGAAGTCGTCGTCAATCTCGCGAATGGTGTCGTCCTTTTGCGTCAACGAGAGGTCGGCGATGCCAGCCTGGCCCTTCTTGCCCTCAAGTCCGAGAGGCACCCACCAGGTGGTGGTGTCGTCCTCGGGCTTGACGTCGCCAGTCGACAGGAATCGGGACTGCTTGATGGAAATCTGCCCAGGCTCTTCGGCGACGGTCAAGACGGGATGACCAATCTTGGTGATCCAAGGACCCATGAGGGTGTTCACGTCCTTGCCCGAGGCCTCCGACAGGGCGTCCCAGAGAGCCTTGGTCTTGGCGTTGCCGTAAGCGTGAGCCTTGAGATAGTTGGAAACACCCTTGAGGAAGGTCTTGACGCCCAGGTGGTTTGCAAGCATGCGAATCGCCGAGCAGCCCTTGAGGTAGCTGATGGAGTCAAAGATCTGGTTCACGTCGAGCGCATCGCGAACAGGAACGTGAATCGGGTGGCTGGCACGGATGGCGTCGAGGTGGAAAGCCGCCTCCATGCCCTCGTTGACGAACTGAGCCCAGACCTCCCAGTCAGGGTGCAGGTGGTCAATGGCATACCACCCGACCCAGGTGGCAAAGCCCTCGTTGAGCCAGAGCTCATCCCACCAGTCCATAGTGACGAGGTTGCCGAACCACTGGTGAGCCAATTCGTGGGCGACGACGTAAGCAACGGCGTTCTTGAAGCGAGCATCGGACGTCTTCTCGTCGAAGAGAACCTGGGTAGTGCGGTAGGTGACGAGACCCCAGTTCTCCATGGCGCCGTGCGTAAATTCATGGACGGCAATCAGGTCGGACTTGGGGAGAGGGTAGTCAATGTCGAAGATCTCGGAGAAGAAGTCGATGATCTTATGGGCGTGCTCAAGAGCCCAGCGACCCTGCTCCTTAAGGCCACGGGTAGTGTAGACGCGGACCGGCAGCTGCTTGCCATTGTACCGTCGCTCAGTGTGGGCCTCGACGTACTCGAAGTCGCCAACGGCCCAAGCGAGCAAGTAGGTGCTCATGATGGGCGTCCGCTCGAACGAGACCATGTTCCAGCCCGACTTGGTGGGCTTGGTGTCCTTGACGGGCATGTTGCTGAGGGCAACCTGGTCGACGGGGACCTCAATCTCAAAGTCAAAGGTGGCCTTGAGGTTGGGCTCGTCGAAGCAGGGGAAGGCGCGGCGGGCGTCACACGACTCGAACTGAGTGCTGAACATGTAGTGCCACTCGTCGTCGCGAGGGACCGACTCGGAGGGCGTGGCGACGGGCTTGTACTTGCTGCGGTAGAAGCCGGCCATCTCGTTGTTCATGATACCCTCGAACTCGATGGTGACCGAGGCCTTCTTGGAGACGGGCAGCTCCTGGTCGAAGGTGACGGTGGCTCGCTGTGCCCGCTCATCGTAGCTAATGTTGGAGGACTCGAGGGCCTGGGAGGACTTGGTATGGTCGACGGTGACCTTGGCGTGCGACAGCTTGAGCTCGAGGGTGTTGAGAGTGATCTCCTTGGTGGGCTTGACAATCTCAGAGTCGATGCTGTACGACGTCAGTCAATTGGCACGCGACGGCGGTGAGGAGGCACACGCGGGGAGACTTACGTCACAGTGCCCTTGTAGGTCCAGGTCTTGAACTCGAGGTCCCGCAGCGAGACGCTGTAGTGGACAGGCTTGACATTGTCGGGGAGGATATCGCGATCGGCCATCTTGTCTAGATTCCTTGCTCGAGCGTGGGCTGAGCAGAACCGAGAGTGTGTTGGCGAGAGGGGGGAGCTGGCGGGGTTGAACGGATGGTCAGCGCGGGTCCCGGCCGGGTCTTTAAGACGGAGCGTTGCGGAGTGGCAGGCAGTGGCGTCGCACCCGAGCAACGACGTGTCCTCGAGCTGGAGCTAGCAACGGGGGGCTTGGGAACACGACAAAGGGGGTGGTGGCAGAGACGATGGGCGGCAAAAAGAACCTGAAAGACGGGAAGCAAAAGAGCCCTCGGTGTAGCAGCAGCAGCTCGGCAGGTCGGGTCATGAGCGGGGCAGGTGGTGGTGACAGCAGTGGGGGGAGGGGCAAGAGGGCAGGAGCTTTAGGTAATGGGGGGAGGGTCCTGACGAAACGGGGAACCTGAACCGCACGCACACACAGCCTTGGTTTGTGCTCGAAGCAATGGAATGGTTTCAAGGTTCCGTTATGGCGGACCGCCACCCGCCCGCGGGGGGGTGAGCTGAGCCTATTGCCATCCGCGATCGTTCGAGTCTTGGGTAAAGGTGGCGGTGGCATGGCGCAATTCGTGCTCATGGGGTGAAGATGTCATCTTGGTCACGTCGCTCACTCACCTCGACCACAGCCCGACGCAGCCCGGACGGGCCGTGTGGGCGCCTCGCAGCCCCGTTCCTTGAGCCCAGCTTGTCGGCCGACCATTGCTGCGGCAAGCCGCAGCGCTCGTAGCCGTCCTCGTCCTCGTCGTCGACATGTGTCGCCGCTGCAGCGACGACATCAACAACGGCCCACGGCTGCAGGCAATGGAACCCGGCGCCGCAGCAACGGCCTCGCGCGCCGCATTGCTTCGGGCCAGATGCAACGCTCGGCTCCACTGCGCCTCGCGCCAGCTGCCAGCCAGTTGCCGCATCAGGCATCTCGGAGTCGCCATTGCCGCCAGAGGACCCCGTCCGGCGCGGGCGGGCTCAGGGTGCCGTCTGTAGTCCCCGGCGGGCGTGTTCCAGGGGGTTCCCCGCTATCTGTCCTCTGTTGGAGCCGTAGTGTGGTTACGGTACCCGTGAGAAGTCTGGGTCGGTGCTTGTCGCGAGACCGAGCGAGAGAAAAAAACAGCTCGGGGCACTTTTGTCGCTGTGGGCTGTACGTAACGACGGGCGCCTAGGCGGAGCGGCAAGCGCGCGGAGAATAGGACAAATGATCGCAAAAAGTTATACAGTAATTGTACAAGGTCAAAGAGAGACTGAGTGGTCGCCGCGCTGGCAGCAGCGCGAGTGTTGTGCAAGATGGAGGCTCGTTGTGTCGGCTGCGCGCCCTGGATTGTCGTGAGCCGACATTAAGGACCGCGTGCGAATTGAAATGAGTCACTGTATTGAGCACTGTGCGCCCAACCACCATGAACCACCACGACAAAGGTGAGAGACCAGGGACGATCTTACTGATCCCCCTTGAATACAGGAGCGCTTGATAGATACTATCCATTGCGGTTTGTATGCTCCACTGGTCTCACTGCATAAACTACCTATCCCGCGATTGCAGCCATCCACCCCCGACGCGCCGCGAAGAAGTCATGGAGTTTGGAAGGCAGCTGCCGCAAAGCTAAACTATCCCATCTTGTCCGTTTCGGCTTGTATGCTTAGCCAGAAGCTGCAGCTAATAATTCCTCAAGACCTCTTCACTGCGTGTGGCCCATGACATCTCGATACGTACCGCAGACACCAAGATGACGTAGACTCCAGCCCTCGCCGCAACCACCACGGCTATCGCATCTTCACATTCGCCGCCTAGGCGCGCCCGAAATAGATCAGACCCTGAACGTGACAACCCCGGCGCGATCCCGGATCCGAAGTGTACCATGATGCGATGTCCCGGCCGAGAAAAAGACTCCATGACGCTCCGACCTGGCGCCGCGTGACGCCCGCCGACCATACACTTCCCGCCGCGCAACGCCTCTCACGCGTGGAAGGGCAACATGGCGCTCCAAGACCAAAGTCTTTTCCCCTTCATCGCAAGTATACTTCGAGCCAAGAATTTGGATTTCTTCACAACTTTCGTAGACGCGCGGGAAAGGATGGGATATTTAAAGCTCGCAAACTCGTCTCCTCTTCCTCTCGTGAAGGCAACAATGCCACTCCCCCCTTTTCACTCAATCACTTCTGGAAAAATCTTTGCATTGGTTCCATTTTGCGAAACCTCCAATATTTCACCTGATACGTCAAGACGTCCCTGCCGTCTCCTCTCGTCCCGCATCACCTCCCAATAACCCGCTTCATCCTTCCCGCCAGCAACTACAACCATGCGACCCATCCACACCCTCCTCGCCTTAGTCGGCACCGACGCCGTCACAGCCTGGGTCTTTCCCGCGGGCCTCGAAGACGGCGAGTACATCGTCTCGCTGGGCTCTGGCCCAGACCACGAACATGGCACCCAAGCTGCGCAACCGACGCTGCTCCGCCGCCACTCCTCCCCGTCCTCCTCGTTCTCGTCCGTCCCGGAACACCCGCAGCCGCAGTCGCAGCCGCGCCAAATACGACGCTGGCGGCCGAAGGGCAGAGGCAGGGGCAGGGTGATGCCGTTCCCGTTCACAAACACGACGACGACGGCGGGGGCAGGGCCGACAGCGCCGATGACAACGACAACTATAATGTCATCATCCACTCAGGTGACGGCGACGGAGACGATGACAACGTCGACAGGAGACACTTCCTCGCGGCACACCACGACAACAATAACTACGATGCCATCGCCATCGCCCTCTCACGAAACAACGTCGTCATTCTCCCAGACAACAACAATGACGAGAACGACGACTACTGTAACGACCACGGCAACAACCGGAGACATCTGGCTCAGCTCCCTCCCCAGCGCCACCGTCTCCCATCCCCCCCCTGTCTCTTATACACATCTAGATGTGTATAAGAGACAGCCCCCCCGGCCACCCCGACAACCACCACGACGAGGACCCCTACGACCCCTACGACGACGACGACCTCGTCATCCACCCCCACGAGGAGCCCACCTACTACCGAGACGTGCCCTACTTCGGCACCCCGCGCAACGCATCCAAGCGCCTCCACCTCGCGCAGGTCCCCGTCCGCGTCACCGACTTCTCCTGCGTGCGCACGCGCCTGCCCCTCCCCCACGACGAGGTCGAGGAGGGCTTCCTCTCCCTGCGCTGGTTCTGCGCCCGCTACCTCCTCAGCCCGCGCACCATGCACCTCTCCGTCTCGCGCAACGGCTCCACCGCCGCCTTCGTCTGCAACATGGCCTACCCCATGGGCACCAACCTCGACGCCGTCTGCCCCAAGGACAAGCGCCAGAGCTGCCGGTTCGACAAGGAGGGCCGCCCCGTCTCGTTCGACGTCACGCGCCCGAAGAGGAACCGCTGGCAGGACGAGCCCGAGGCGCCGCCGGGCGTCGTCTTCGGCGCCCAGATGTGCTCCGGCAAGGAGTTCCGCGACGTCCAGAAGCGCTGGCTTGACAAGTACTGCGGCCTGGACGTGCCCGGGCAGGTGTTCGTCAAGGGGAAGAACAAGTGGTACGGCCGGGCCTTCAGGGGCATGGAAATCTGCCCGGACCAAAAGGTAGATGTGTTTGATCGGATTCCGCGTTGGACGGGTTGGCCATATTGGTACGAGCCGCCTCCTGCATTGTTCAGGGAGATATGGGAGCCTTCTCCAGAGGCGGACGGCAACGAGCACGACCGCCGACCATCGGCCTAAGAACACATCGTTCCGCTCCAACGGAGACGGGCATCTAGTTAGCGGCAAGACAATTGCAACCGAAGCCAAGCCATGGTAGCGACAAAGCGTCTGAATGGCGAGTCTCATTAGTCGCCGCTGAAATACACGTCCCATCGTCTCATATACCCGAGGTAGTTCCTATTGCATAATGCAAATCAGGCCCAAGTAATCCCTTGTGCGTGTTCGCGTCCCATCCCGTCGTAGCAATGCACAAACCAAAAAACCCGTCCACCAAATGCATCGAGTCCGGTTCCGAGGTCCCAACGAAACGCCATGCGCCGAAATCATCATCGCTCTTCCCAGTCGTACCAACCAACCGAAGCAAGTCCCTCGCCATCTTTGCCCCCCTCCCATCATGACATGCTATGCAGAGTCAGACCCATGCGGATGTCCATCTACTTCAGTCTATGACTCCCTGTTTATCAGGACTGCGCCGCCGGCAAGTCCTCTTGCTGGATCTTCGTCGCGACGGCATCCCACCAGGGGCTGTGCGCCGCTCTGTCCACCGCGCCGACCTTGTCCAGCAGGTCGGAAATGTGCCGCACCCGCTCTACGAACTCCGAGAGCCCCAAGGCAGCCAGCTTCTCGCCGGCCGTGTTGGCGGCTTTGACCTTTTCGCTTGCAGAGCCCGGTGCCAGCCGCGCGAGTATGTTACCGCGCAGGCGCGTCAGGAGAAGACGCAAGACAGGCTCGCGCGGCTCCGTGCGATTGCGCGACATGTCCTGGCTCGCGCTCAGAACCTTTGTCACCAGCGCGCGAAGGTGCGTCTTCGTGGCGGCGGGCATGGAACGGCCTGCTTCGAGCGCGGCCATGGTGCCCTCGACTGTCGTCTCGAGCGATGCGTGGTTCGCTTCCAAAACCGACATGATGCGGGAGGCTTCCGTCTTCCATTGCGTCCGCACGTCACGCTTGAGCAGGTTCTTGCACTGGAGCAGCACGGCGCCTACCGTGATGATTCGCTGGACCGAGACGGAGACGTTGTTGATACGCGCCATGTCGAGGTGCAGCATCTCTGGCACCTGATCCGCCGAGATGGGTGTGGGCTGCGTAAAGACGTCCACCAGCATCTGCGCGTAGAACCGTGCCGCCGTCGGCCGCGATTTGGGGTGATTGATCCCTTCCGGGTCCCGCTTCAGAACCTCGGCCGTGACCTTAGCCGTCGCCGACTTCCAAGCTGCCTCGGCGACGTTCAGGCTCATCCCGCCGTCCACAATGTCCGACGTGAACCTCTTGGCTTCGTACTGGGCGGCCGATTCGATCAGCTGCGGCGCTGCGATCCTGAGCAGGTAGTTGATGTAATCGCAAAGCATCACGTCGATGAAGCTGTTCAGAGCCTCCACCCGGTCGATCAAGTTGCCGTCGCCGAGCTTGTTCTGGATCAAGTCCTTGACTTCGTCATCGCGAAATGGCGCGCAAAGCTTGGGCAGCAGTGATCCCATGGCAGTGAAGAACTTTTCGTACGAAAAGTTGCCAAGCGTAAACTGCCGCTCCGCCATCTCTGGGTCCAATATCTCGCCGATCAGGTTGTACATCGAGTTGCCTGGCTTTAGGAGGCGCTGCAGCTTGTCCTTGATGTTGCTGGCCATGAGGATGAAGAAACGAAAGTTGGCCTCGGTGTTGCCCTCGTCCATGGCAGCGCGCATCTGCATGTACAGAGGCCGCGCGAGAACGGCCTGCTGCTCAACGTATTCCTCGGCGGGTATCTGGTACTCTTTGTTGATGGCCAGCTCGTGAACCACAACGCGATTATCAGGAAGCAGGCCGTTGAGCCCTGTCTTGATGACCGTCGGCTTCGCCTCACTCTTGCTCGCCGGCGTCGCAGGGGGGGTCAGGGTCTGCGACTCCGCAGACACAAGGCTGCTCGCAGTCGCAGAGGCATCGCCGGGCGTAGTATCTGCGACGCGAGGCTTCGTGTCGCCGGTCTGTTTCTTGGCGCCGCGAGCCTTGCGCGCCTCGCTCACGGCCTTGAAGATCATCTTCTTGCCCTTCTCCGGCCCGGCCAGCTTCTTGATTCTCACAATGAGCATCAGCTGGCTGTCCTGGATGCTTTGGCGGTACAGCGCCGTGGCTGCGTCGTCAGTCGTGTCCTTGACCGTCTGGAAGATGGCATCCAACTCGACAAACTGCATGAGCATGACTTCTATGAGCGCGTTGGAATCGCGCGACTTCCACGCGATGAATGCATTGTAAAAGACCGCGTATGCTTCGGGAAGCGTCTTCTTCAGAGCCGGCGGCATCGTATACCGGTTCGAGGTCGTTAGGCGCACCAGGATGTTTTCGAAGTTTATGAGCAAATCTTTGGCCTTGCTGATGAGATCTTGGAGCTGAGGGTTGGCAAGGTCCGTCGACGGGAGGCGGTGCGCGGACAGCGGGCCGTCATCGTCGTCTTCATCGGCACCCGCCTCGTTCTTATTGATGAGTACCTGGTTAGGGTGGCCGAGAATTAGAAACGCGCTCAGAAAGGTGCGAACGGCAGCCATCTCCTCAACCGACCCGGGGGCTCCCTCGTGCAGGCCGCAGATCCGCAGCAATCGGGCTGTAACGAGCAGGACGTTTTCCTCCGAGAGCAGCTCCACGACGGTGTCGAACGAGGTGTCTCGAATGCCGTCGACCGACAGGCCAAGGCCGTAAAACTCCTGGAGGATGCGACCTCGCATCTTCAGGCGCCACCACCCTTGAATATGTGCAACGGCGGCGTCTTCCTTCATCTTCGGGCGGTCGCCCTCCTTGACTTGAGGCAGAACCTCGACGGTCTTCCTGACGCTCTGGCCGCGGCTTCGCGCCGTGTTGCTCTTGTTTCGGAGCTCCTCGCGGCGCCTCTCGGCCTCAGCCATGCGCTCCTCCATCTTGGCCTTCATCTTGGCCACCTCCTGCTCGCGCTTCTCCTTGGTCAGTTCGGCGACCTGCTTGGCCTTTCTAACCTCCTCAGCGCAGTTGGCGACGATCTCGGCGAGGTTGCGCTCCCTGGCCTGCTGGGCGGCAAGCGCGCGCTCCTCCGAGGCCGACTGCCCGCGCGGGGCCGCCTTGGCCAGGGCGGCACGGAGGCGCACCTTTTCCGCATGGGCGGCGCGGTCGGCCAAGCGCGCGCGGCGATCTTCGAGGAAGGAGGCGCGTCGCAGATGCTGTGCGACATACTTGCTCTGGTCGCTGTCGCTGTCACGGCCGTTCGTATGCGAGTGAGGGTGCTGCTGGATCGACGAGCAGCGCGAGTGCGCCGAAGAGATTGAGTTGCGCCGCGACGAGGCGGCCGAGTCTCTGCGACGGGCGTGCGACGGGCGGTAGAAGCGGGCGGCGACGCGGGGCGGCGGCGTGTAGATTCGGCTGTCGCTGTCGAGGACGTCCTCGTCGGCCGGAGGCATGGCCAAGTCCAGGTCCATCCCCATGGTGTCGTCCGAGGCCGGGGCGTTGGATTCTTCGAGGTTGCGCGCCGGGTCGGAGAGGTCTGCGGAAGGGCGGCGCATGGTGTCGGTGTGGGAGTCGCTTCGAGCGGGCGGGCTCATCGAGGGCAGGAGATTGCAGGCGCAGTGACTCGGGATCACGGGCCACAGAGGCGCGACGCGCTGCAGCAGTGGGAGCTGGTGGGCAGCGCGCGAGTAATGAGGCCGTTGCCGAGGCGAAGGCCGGGACCAGGACAAGGACCAGGACCAGGACCGTCGTCAGCACGGAGTCGTGGCCTGTTTCGCTCCCCGGGCTTCGAGTCTTGGGGCTCGACCGGTCAGTCCGCCAGACCCAGTCGCCGAACCGAAAATGCCCAGAGCTGGGTCAAGGGCACGCACGCGCAGGCCGTGTGTGCCGAAAGTCCCAAGGGGGAAGAAGAAACGAACCCCAAGGCGTAAAGGCGGAGTGCAAAAAAGCCGTCGTTCAAGAAACGGCGGTATCGGTCGGCTTCCCCCAGTCCCGGACAGGCAAAACAACGGCTTCACGTCGCGGCGGCATTCGCCGTTTTCCCCGAGAAAGCAGAAGCGACAGAGAGTGCGGGGGGCCGTGGGCGATCAGACCTCTGGAGGGGTCTCTCGACGGGAGGCTGCAGGCGACGGGCGAAGCAAAGGTTGAAGATTTGCAAGAGAAGGGTAAAACGGAAAAGACGAAGGGAAAGAGGGCCGCGGCGCAAGGAGCTGGCTGGCGGGCGCGCACGACTCAAGAGGGCGATGTGAATGGATGTTTGCGGAAAGTTGGGGAAACCTGCTTGCAATCGAATCGAGAGGCTGGAAAGTGTCGGGAGGTGCGGCGCCCGCCCATCCGCCCGCCGCTGTCTGGCGGTCGCAATTGGCAGCGAGGGGGGCTGCCCCTTGTCTTATCGCGGTAAAGCGCTGAGCCTGGGCCCCGGGGGCGTTGCAGCCCGCTGGACGATGGAGCCTAACCTTGCCCGGGTGCCCATACCTGGCGGCGAGCCAGAAGGCCCGTCAGCTGGAGCGGGCGCCTCGCCTTGCCTTGCCTCGCCGGTGCAGCTCTCCAAGGCTCCCGCCCGTGCATTGCGCAAGCGCACTGGCCAAGCTCGCCTTGCTGCCGGCCGCTCCCTCATCAGAGACACTGCGGGGGGCCCCAATGCTGGTGGAAGGTTCCAGGTTCGCTGTCAGCAACGAGATCCCTGCACTGAAAGTGTGGGGAGCGACAACCTAACCCAAGCCGTGCTGCAGATGCTCTCGGTAACGTCTGGTACCACCGCTCTTGCTCGGTGGAGGACACCAACGCCATGCAGCCAAATGGCCTGCATCCCGTTTGTTCAACGGCCACCGAGGCGGCCAAACCGAGCTCTTACTTCACCTCTTACTTCAACCTCGCAGCGCTTGCATCTCGTCCAGAGCCGCCACCTAAATGCCCAGTGCCCTACTCTGCACTTCGTAGCAATTACCTCCCGTGTGTTCCGTCTTTTCTCCGCCTCTCGTACAATCACCCATAAACTTCTCGTCCGCGCTCCCCGGCGGTCTACCATATCCAAGTACCAAGCAACCTAATACCTAGATAATGCTTTGTCGTCATCCGTGGAGCGCCACCCCCTCCCTCCTTCCCCGTCCTCGTCCTCCTCCCCCGTGCTACCTACCTCTAGGTACGTACCTACGAGTACGCATCCACGATTCTACTTGTCCACTAATAAACTCGCTCCCCCGCCGCCGCTCCGGATACCACCTCGGTGAACGCACGCTCGCTCCCGGCAGCAACACCACCACTACCACCACTACCACCACCACTCTATCCCTCCATCTAATCTACCCGCCCGTTCCGCCGACGCCGCAGCAGCCGCGTGGCAAGCTGGCCAGGCCTCTCTATCTACGTACCCTATCCATCTGCCATATTACTTGCATGCCCGCGCACGCCCCCGTGTGCAGCATGAATTTAGTCCCGCCCGCATCTCACATCTCGCAATCGACTACCTTACCTTTCCTTGGCATACCGTACTGCTGTACAGTACCGATCACACCACCCCAAGGCTTACACGGGCCACGTACAGCACATACATTGTAGAGCCTCTCGGCCCCATCGCAGTGACCGGGCAACCTGAGTAGGTACTTCGTAGCGTCGGAAGTACATCAATGCGCCGTGATGCGCATCATCCACCGGCGAGTACGTGGCACAGAGCAGACACCGCCCCGGTCCATCGCTGCTCTGCGTCTGCGTCACGAGCTCCCGCCCCGTCACGGGACCATACTCTATCCATCCATCCCTCAGTCTTGGCCATTGCACGACGCGACACGACATTCATTGCGCTCCGTACTAGCATCGCACACGCATCGTCAGATGGATAGTAGATAAGTCATCATCATTGGCTCATAGTTCCACACACGCAGACAACCCGTATGCCACGGGCCCCCTCAGAAGTTCGGCCAAAAGACCACACCGCCTCTAGGGGGGGACATGTCGCTGCGTCTCGTCGTGTCGCGTATGTTATACGAAGGATATTACACGCTGGCCCGTGGCAGGCTCTCCCCGTGTCCCATGTCGCGTCCCCGTCTAGTTCCGCCAGACCGAGACACGATGCCCTTTGCCATTGCCCCGGGTCGCTCCTTTCTACAATGCTTTTTTGCGGCTTCCCATATGTATGACAAGGTAGCGGCCGCCATGCTCCCAAATGTTGCTTTGCAAAATCAAGCCCTCAACGCCGCGCCTTGCTGTAACCTGCCCTGTACATGTGCCGTGCCGTATTACCCGTGTCTGTGCCTGTTCCGTGCTCATGAGGTCGCCATAATGTGATGGCATGCTCCCTTTCGTTTGGGCATCCATGGATGCCTGCGCATTGCTCCCCGATCCGGCAAATCAACTCGTGCCTCACGGCCGCGCGTCCACCAATGCCGGAGCCCCTCACCTCACCGCGAGCTCCGCGTCTGCTGCAGGCTGCCGCTGCGCAACCGCCCGGTGATGGTGTTGGCGGCCCGGTCGTTCATCCGGCAGGCCCATTCGAGCACCGTCTCGTAGCACAGCACGTACTGTCGCAGGCTCTGAACCATGCTCAGCCTCTGCTGCCGGAAGTCCTCGACCGTCTTCTGGATCAGATCCACGGTGCCATCCTGGATCCAAGAGGTATCCATCTCCGGGGACATGGATTTCTTGTCGCCGGCGGCAGTATTGGAAACAACGTCCTGTTGGCTCGGCTTGAAGTCGAAGAATCCCTGAGTACCAGCGTCTTGGCCAGCGTGCGGCGGCGCCGACTCCGTTGGATCTACCATTTCAACGTCCGCCTGGGCAGCGTTCGCCTTCGAGGCCGCCAGTTTAGCCTGCCGTTGGCGCTTGAGCATGTCTATCACGCTGTCGACGGTGCAAAAGGTTCCCGTCCGCCCGCAGCCAGCCGAGCAGTGCACCAGCATTGGCCTGGAATGCGAGTCCTTCTCCGGCTCGTCGTACCATGATATGGGGATCGTTTCGATCGACGTCATCCTGGAGCCGACGATGGAGGGTGTTTCGACCGGCAGCGCCGCACGCTGCATGACATTGGCCAGCTCCACCAGGGCCAGCAAGTGAGCCGGCTGTGCAGGGACGCCAAAGTCGGGCCACGTGGGAAAGTGAAGGTGCGTAATCTCGCGAATTGGCGCGAAGGGGTGAGCCTGGTGAGACAGGGCGAACTTTCGTATCACCACGTACGGGCTGTCTGTCTGTGTCTGCGTGCCCGGGGTGGGCGTCGACTCGACATTTGTCATCGTGTTCGCTCGTCTCCTACCAAGGTCGGCTGCCGAATGAGCCGCTGTCGGAGAGTGCGAGTCGGATCGGTGCTTGTCGAGATCTAGAGATGCCTTCTTCTCGGACAGGGGTCGGAGCCGGATGGGCCCGAATTCCTTGGCCTTCCAGTATGGATGGCACTTGAGCTGCCCTCCCTCGGACTCGGCCGTCAGCATGACGATGACGCGAACATCCTGCTCCCAAATCATGGACCAAAAGTCCTGCAATGGAGTTAGCAAGATTCGAGAAGGAAGGTGGACATGGGTTGGCATCATACCTCATACGTGGCCGGCAGGGGTCCCTGGGAGGCAATGTATCGCTTGTTGCTCCTCGAGGCCGAAATGTGGCTAGCATTGACGTAGTCGCAAGAGCCTTCGTCACTCTTATGCTTGAGCCTAACTCGAGCATGCTCAAATGGGAGAATGTCCTTGTACCGGTTCTTGCCGCCTTTTTCGACTCCAGACAGCTGGAACCTGCCTGCCTGCTGGACGTTTGGATTAAAAGCAGCGTAAGCACTTTTCATGCGGGCTTGCTCTTCCAGCTCCACGTGAAGGAACCTGTCGGACACCTTCTTGCCGTGGTCCTGCTTCGAGGCGGCGTCTCGCAGCCATGGGGGCAACATAGGGGACTCGAGATCGTCTGGACGCGAAATATCGAGCTGGCCGACTCCGTCCGCGAGGTCCATGTTCTGGCGAATGTTGGAGAAGAAGGGGTTCACGTCGTTGCCGAATTGGGGGAGGCTGACTCCGCCAATGACTGGGGCAAGGCCGCTGCCGCCGTTGCCGTTGCAGTTTGGCGGTGAAGTAGCTTGGGCGTCGACTGGACCATGTTCAACAAGCTTCGGGTGCGAGGTCTGGAACATGGAAAACCCGCCTCGCAAGATGGCTGTGTGGCCGGCAAATCCCTCGTTGGTGAACTTTTTAATCATGTTCTGCGCCGCCACGGCGTCCCGCTTATCTGAGGCGTGTGAATCGTACACGACGATCCAGTCCATGCCTTTCCACTCTGAGAATTTGGCCGAGGCGAGGCCGCCATGGAATGTCTGCTGCAGCTTCTGGATGTTAAAGGTCGGTCGCTTAAGAAGCGTGGTCGGTATGCAAATGTTCAGGGCGCCCTTGATGCGCGACTGGGCGTGGTTCTGGGATGATCGAATGTCGAGCAGTAGCACGTGGTCACAGTCGACTTTGCCCAGCAACTCCTCCAGCTCGTCGCCAGATATCATCAAGGGCGTCCCTGGCTCCAGCTTTGGGGGAAGAGTGGCGGCTCGGCTGATCTCGGCCATTCGCGGAGACACGGGCTCGGCTTTGGAGTCCATCATGGACAACCGCGAGTCCCTTTCCTCATTTCTTGTCGGCGGATGACGCAGCTGGTGTGAATGATCGATGGGTCGGGGAGATTCGAATTGCGGAAGGCCCGTCAGCTGCATTGGCAGGATAGACGACTCAGAATTGCGCTTCGAATCCGACGAGACGTACGCCGAGTCGTGGAGACTATCCTGGTCGATATCCATCTTACTTAGCGGGCGCTCGCGGTGGAAGGCGCCAACGGGTCGGGAGAATGAGGCGTCAGAGCCTGTATCGCTGGCATGGGTATGCCATCTCGACGGCCGTGGGCGGGCCGGGGCTGGGTTCGACGTAGGTTGGACATAATGCGACGTCGGCAGCGAGAACGACTTGCCCCGATTGAGGTCGGCCTGCCTCTTAAAGGCTTCGAAGTCGTGGTTGTGTTCGAGGGAAACGGGCTTGGGAAGCGCCGCGCCAAAAGACTTTACTGATGACGTTGCAGGGCTCCAGTTGTTGTTGCCCAGACCCGATGACTCGCGAGGATCGTTGGATGACTCGACGACGAGGCCGAAATAGTTGGGACTCGGCGCGCGCTGGCCCTGCTGCAGACTGGGCGAGAGCCTCGGCGGGTGGTTCTGGCCGACGGAAAAGGCACCTCTCGGGGATGCCACGGGAGTTGTCGTGGATTTGTTCGATTTGGAGGATCGCGAAACGGCGGCGTGCGTCGTCGTCGTCGTGTGAGAAAACGACATTCCCGCCGAGGGGGAATGCCGCGGATGTGTCTTCATGGTGTAATGGACCTGCGCCCTGTCGCCAGATCTACAATCGTGCATCAAGTGTACGGCCTGGCGGCGAGAGGCGGTGGTACGAGTGGAGGATTGAGGCGCGATGCAGCGCACGACGAATCGAACCGAGCTCGGTCAGAGAAGCTAGGAGGAAGCCATGGTGCGTTCGATGGGAGGAGAGGAAGTGGGATCGTGAAATGTCGTGCGTGTTTTGTCTGTCGTCGCAGGTGCGCGGTTCTGCTGCGTATCGTATTGCAAGGCGCGTGACGATGGCAAAGTTGAGGTGAGGTGTGCGGATACCCGTGGCCAGTATCTGCGGGCGGCGGGCCAATACGTCAGGGTGGCGGCAGGTGAGAATTGGTAATACTATGGAGGACCCTGGGCTGAGGGCGGTGGCAGAGTCAAAATCCCGAGCTGCGGTGGTGGCAACAGGGAGGGACCCGGCTCCACGGGTCGCTGGGCGGCGGGTGGCGTGATGGATCGAGCAGGCAGGCACAGCCAGCGCTCTCGTAATAGAGCTGGAGCCAGTCGACGACGGGCGGGAACGGGATGCAGGCTGGGATCGCTGCCTCGAAGGTTCTTTCGAAGGGAGGAAGGGGGAAAGAAACGCACGGCGGAAGCTGCTGACTGACAAGAAGCCCGCGCTGTGAAGGGAAGCAGAAAGAGCGGTATGGAAAAAGGTAGGGGGAAGAAAGTGAGGAAGCAGACGTCGACAAATGTGCGGCCGTTGGCAACAGCGGTGACGGGTCAGGCTGGGCTGTACGGCTGTATTTGGGGGAGGGGGGGGTGTCGGTCTGGGTCCTGCGTCCCTTTTAGGAGCCACGAGGCGAGTGAGGGATGGGCGAGCGAGTGAGCGAGCGAGGGGGGAGGGGGAGCCAGAGGAAAGATGGTGGACGGGACTGGGGGGGTGTGGGCGTGTGTGTTTGGTGGTGATGGGTGGGATGGCGGCTCCGCGTCCACCTCAAGCCCGATGGCCGGTTCAGGTATCACTATGAGGGACGAAGAGCAGTAACTTCAGCGTTGGGTAGGGGCACGGCTGGTTTAATGTGGCTACAGTATCCGCAGCGCCGTGCTTCGTTCGTACTATAGTTTGTGAAGCTCGAGCTCCCGAGCGATTTGGAGCCGGTGGCCCGCACCCGATGCGGCGTGCACTGGGGGAGGGAACAAGCGCGGGCGCGCGATAAACCCCAAGGGCGGAAGCGTAGCGTCGTACCTAGAGGAGATTCCCCCCCCCCCCGGAGATGGAGGGATGATAGGTACTGTATGTATCGCCAAACGGAGCCGTCCTTGGCAGGGCGCGATGAGGCAGCGCAAATAGTTTTGAAAGGCGACGACGGGGGGCAGGCGGGTCCTTTGATGCGCTTCGGAGATGGGGAATAAAGCCGTTCATCAACGAGGCGTGCGACGGGCGTCGACGAGATGGAGGTTTTGGCTGCCACAAACCAGCCCCAGTGAGGGCAGAGCACGGAGTTGGGGAGGGGGGTTGGTCGCGTGTGGTAGGGATCGTCGGCGGCGGCCTGGCGGCATTCAGGCGTGGGGATGAGACCCCTTCCAGGTTTGTTTGGCCTGGGTGCCTCTTCGTACCAGCTGCCACGGGCACCCAAGTTCCAGCAGGCTCATCCCGTGAGGCATCGTCGGGTGTCTGTCTATCTCTTAGGGCTGAGCTGGGTGAGGTGCTCTTGCACAAGGCCAAACGTCAGGTTCGCGTCAGCGTCGCAATCATCACAGCCCTGTCCTGCGATCAACACGCCTCGAACAGCCTAGAATTGAACGGCCCAGGACAGCAACCACATGCACTGAAGCTGACAGACGGCCGGGCGGGCTGCGGCTTACACAGGGGAGGGCAGCCGCCGTACCGCGTCCTGTACCTGTACCGGCGCCGGGACCAGTGGGCCCCACGGCCGTCGTCATTGAGGCGTCAGGGGTCCCCCGCCGCGACGTCTCCACTGCCCAGCAGGGCCTGCCCGCCGCCCGCCGGCCAACCAGCGCCCGGGCCTGGTCCCCAGCGAGACGTCACAGCAGCCCTCAGCAGCCTTGGCGGCTCGAGTCCAGAACGCCCGCTTGTACCGGTACCGCGGCCGCGGCTCGGGTTACTTCCAGGTTCAGGTCCATCCATGGAGCTGCTTGTTGCACACTTTCGAGGTTTGCTCCCCCCCCGTTCGGTGCTGCGTGTCTCTCCCCAGGTTTCTCGGTCTTCAGGCCCGCTAGGTACTGCAGCTGGTACTGCTGCTGCTGCTGGCTGGGTGCCAGCCAGCCAGCCCTGAGCGAAGCCAGCCTCACTTCCAGGCTCAAAAACCTGTGCAACAGTCGGGTGCTCCATCTGAAACTCGGCTGCGTTGCACTCGGAAGCACGGTCAAACATAGGTGGAGGGCGCGCCCGCCTGGATGCCCTCCCGGTCAATGCTTGCGCCGCGCCGGCGCTGCTGCCAGAGGCTGTCTGTCGCTCCTCGGCCGCCACGTGCTACAGTGCCTTGCCTGGCGGTACCTTGTATTCAGTCCCCAGTGCTGCGCTGGCTGGCTCCCGGCCTCCGTGGAACTGCTTCTTCCAGTGGAGGTTGTCGACGGGGCACCACGAACCCGCCCGCCAGCCAGCCGCGGGTGCTAAAGGGGCCCTAAAAGGCGCCAAATTCATGATGCAATGGGCCGCCATGCCCGCTCTGCAACGGCGCCGGGCCATGGTGCATCGGGGCGCGCTTTGGTCGTCGTCCCGCCACGCACCATTCGCTCCGAACCGAATACACTACGTATCATACAGTAGAAAACGATGCAATGTCTCCCGAGTCTGCAGTGTCACAGATTCGGTCTCGTTGTCGCCGCTGTCTCAGCGCGTCGCGCACTGGCATCGAGCAAACCCGGCACACGACGTGCTCATCCACGGCATGACGTCAGACCAGCCCAAGCCCTGCCCCAAGCGCCACGGGGGAAGGAGAGGGAAAAAAACACAATGCCATGGGCGGCGGATGGCCCAAAAAAAAAAGCCCGACTGTCATACAGGACCCGGGTCACCAGCGAGTCATTGGGGCATTCTTCGGCGGCGTTCTAGACTCTGCAATGACGCCTGCGCTCGATCTGCCAGGCGCGTCGTGTGCTGACACGGATTTACCTTACTTGTCGCGCCTGCGCTGGGCTGTGCGGTGCGGTGCAATACGAGCGAGTCCCGTCGCCAACAACGGCGACGATGATGTCGTCGATGCACGGCGCAACCCTCACTACGAACAAACACGGGCAGGTCTCCCAACGTTCCACGGAGTTACTGCTCCTGACGGTGACGGCGCCGTCTTGGAGCTGTCTCTGCAGGTCGCCGTCTAGAACGGTCTAGCTCATGCATCCATCTCCATTCTCCACCGCTTTCTGGCTCTGGCTGCTCTGGCTCTGCTGTGCCGCCCGGCCGGCCTCGCTTGCCAACTCAATTCGCTCGCCAACTTTTGCAGTTGCTTACTCGTGCCTGGCTTGCAAGCGTGTCTGGCATGTGTCGTGTTGAACCCGTCCCTGTCTCGCTTGTTGCCTACCGCAGGAAAGCTGCCGTAGCCGTAAGGCAGGGAGCCAGCCCACCGAGTCCAAATCCAGACGCGCCGCGATGCGCCGGATCTCAAGCCCGCCCTGTCGCCCTGCAGGGCATCCGATGCCTTGTCGAGCCTTGCTCGTGTAATGCTGGAACAGCCAGTCGTGTCAGCGCGCCAATGGATCAGGGCCCACGGCGATCTGAATTTCCATTCCCAAGACCTGGCTGCACCGCCCCCCTTCTCGACCAAGATGCCCGTCGAACGCCGCAGAAAGCGATAGGAGAGCCCACAGCCGTGCCGCTGTTGGACGTCAGCCGGTTCCCCATCCACCGCAGACACCGCACGCCGGGCCATTTTGCGATCGTCATTCATGCGTCCCGTCGACTCGTCTGGACCCTGGGTGCGTCAACGCCGGGGGTGAAGGGGGCCTTTTCCCGCAATCGTACGCCCTGCGTCGACTGATGCGCCCTTTTGGAACGGTCGAAATGATGGCATTGCATCGCATGATGGGAATGTGGGCGCATGGGTGATTTCGACGTCACTCCCTCCGTGAGCCGCCCTCGCTTGCTCCGAGTATCCCAACCCTGCGCCTGAGCAGCCCGAGCTTGCCCATGGCATGACCAAGATAACTGGGTCGTTCGTCGACACTGCGATGGTCCAGGAGAGCTTGAAGCCGAACTGCTGCAAATACAGTAGGTGCAGCACCTGCTGAGCATTCTTGCCTACGAGACACCAAAAGTCGCCTGCTCCGGACAGCATTTCCGTTGGGACATGCACTGGAACTCCGTGCACGCGGCAGCGGCGTCCAGTTCGGCCCGTCATTCGCGCCCGCGCCGCCGATCCGAGGAACTGTTGAATGTGCCCCCCTCTGGCCTATTCCGTCGTTGTTGGCTGCGGGGAAGCGCTCGCCTTTCTCCGTCATCTTGCATCCCGCCCTGACGGGCTGCTGATCCCCATCACCGTAGTACAGGAAGGAGGCCATCGATAAGGGCAGGCAGGGCGGCATCCGCGTCCCTCGTGCAGACTGTCCAGGCACCTGACCGCAGCTCATCCCGGGCAGTCAGGCTCGGCTCGAGCTGTCACTCGCCCAGCCATGCCATCGCATGCCAGGGCTTTGCAACCACCACTGCCTCTCTGTGGGAGGTGGCCCCCTTTCGGTGAGCGCAGTGCTTATCCCGACCCTTTGTATGGAGTACCCTCCACGGGAGGTCGCCAGTCCGGGCGCGCGTGCTTGGCTGCGCGGGTTGATTTGCAGGCACGTCAGCCGCCGGACCGCAGATCTGGCAATCAAAGCTTCCAGACCGGCCCTGCGAGGCCCATGTGTGCCATCCTGCAGGTGATTGACGTGACTCTTTCTCCCCGCCAGCGAGGTGTCAAAGGGGGAGACTCTGTGCAACGTGAGTTGAGACGTCGATACAGAATAGGGTCGAGGGGACCGCCCTCGCTGTCTTGAGCATCCCGGCTCGAATGGGACAAGCGAAGAACTCCCAATGCCCGGCAATAGCCGTTGGAAGTTCTCCCGTCCTTCCTTGGCCGCTCGTCGCCCGCATTGACCGACCGGGCCCGCCTTCTGTAGACGTCGGGGACCCTCTCCGACGATAGCTCTCCCGTTACCGGGCCTCACTCATACAGGGGGCTCGCAGTGAGATGCACCGCGCATTCGAAAACGCCACATCTCAGGCAGAAGAAGCAGAGCGAACCATGAAAATGTCTAGATATGAAGGACAACAAAGCCGCTTTGCATCAATCAGACGGAGTCTGATATAGCGATGCGAATATTTCCCCGTGGCGATGCCGCTTCTCGAAGCCGCAGTCTCTATAGGGTAGCCCGCGGCACCGCGCTCTCCCGCATCGCGACCCCGGGGCTCCACCATCTTGAGCCCCGCAATCCCGGGGGAGGCATGGAGCTTAAACGCCGGACTCGGCGCGCGGGCACTGACCAATGCCAACCCGACCTCAGCTGGAGCCCTCGCAGACCCTCGTGCCATGAAAAAGACAACGCCCTGCCTCTCTCGCGAGCCTCCCTCCCCGAGAGCCACTGCTTGCATTACATCTCTCGTGTGGTGGTGATACGCAGACTCAAAACCAGCGTTGCGTATAAGACGGATTCGCAGACACGGGTCTGACTGTCTGCGCCCTGCACTCCCGCTCATCCGGCACAGCCGAGCATCATACGTGAAGCCCTGCGAATAGCTTCATCCAGCGCACCGTCGTCCGTCATGTCGGATCCGCAGATTCAAGAGCGCCTCAAGGCCCGGGAGAACCTCCCCGCGCCCGTGCCGGCGTACCTCTCCAAGGAGGGCTCGCCGCTCACCGTCGACAGCAACTCGTACAACGCCATCCAGAACGCACCGCGCGAGCTGATCCAGGAGTTCACCCTGCCCATCCGCTCCGGCAAGGCGTGGGAGGTGCCCGTCGGCTGCATCGTGCGCATCAGCACGCCCGAAGGCGCCCAAGTCGGTCAGTATTCAACTCTACCCACAGGCAGCTTCAGTCAACACACTCATACCCCTCTCATCCTCAATCTCTCGAGACGGCGTCTCACATCACCGTTCATGAAATCGCCAAGTCTAACATGTGTGTACTACAGGCGACCTCAACATCTGGAACCGGCACAACCCCCGCGAGCGCTTCTGGGCCTCGCGCACCCGCCAGCTGCACGCCTCGCACCTCACGACGCACGACCGCCTGTGGTCCACGCTCCCCTACATGCGACCCCTCGCCACCATCATCCACGACTCGCTCGCCTGGTACGGCGAGGACCAGAACGGCGGCCGCGTCCACGACCTGCTCGGCACCCGCTGCGACCCCTACATCAACGCCGTCCTCTCCCCCGGCGACACCTACGACTTCCACTGCCACTCCAACCTCGTCCGCGCCGTCGCCCCCTTCGGTCTCGACGAGCGCGACGTTCACGACGTCATCAACATCTTCCAGGTCACGGGCCTCGACCACGCGGGACGGTACTTTATGAGCCCGTGTCCCGCGCGGGAGGGCGACAGCATCGAGTTTCTGGCTGAGCAGGACCTCCTCATGGCGTTGAGTACGTTTGCCTCACCTGATACCCTTCTAAACGATATGATACGCAGACCGGCCCTACGTCGGCTTTCTCTCACTCGTACGAGTATGTACTGACAGCAGCAGGCACATGTCCTGGAGGAGACCTCTCCGCCTGGGGCTTCGGCGCGGACAGCGAGCAGGAGATGATCAAGTGCTGCCGCCCGCTGCACGTGCAGGTCTTCCGCCTGCAGGACCCGCGGCTGTTTGACGAGCTGGAGTGGAAGCCGGCCGAGGTGTCCCCTTACAAGGGCATGCACGGTGTCATCTCTCCGCTCGGCGAGGCGGACGCACCCAAGGCTCGCTCATGATTGGAATTCTTCGTGGCGTTGGATAGCCTGAGCACAAGTGAATTCAAGTTTGTAGCTTTGCACGTTGCCGCTGCCTGGTATACAACGACCGCACAATGCCGTGACGTTTTCACCTCTGCACGAATGAAATCACTTCACGCATGAAAGCTATTCGCTGTTGTACAGTTTCAATTCGCACCACATCGCTGGCCCTTGGACCATGCGCTGCTGCAGTCCCTCCTACCGCGACAACTAGTCGCACGACTACTTCCATAGCTTGCCCAGCGACACCTCCTTGTCGTCGTGCTTGTTGAGAATCTTGGCCGTTGCCAGCTCAAAGTCCTCCTGCGTCACATGCACTCTCCGCTCGCGCAGCGCGTACATGCCGGCCTCTGTGCACACACCCTTGAGCTCGGCACCCGAGCACCCATTCATCTTCTCGGCAATCTTGGTCAGGTTGATGCCTCGCGTCAGGTTCATCTTCCGGCTGTGGATGCGAAGAATATCGGCTCGCGCCTCGACGCTTGGCGGCGGGAACTCGATCTTTCGGTCGATGCGGCCTGGCCGCAGCAGCGCGGGGTCGAGAATGTCCAGTCGGTTCGTGGCCATGATGACCTTGATGTTCTTGGTGGGCTCGAAGCCGTCGAGCTGGTTGAGAAGCTCCAGCATCGTCCGTTGGACCTCGGAGTCGCCACCAGACGACCCCTCCACGCGCGACGAGCCGATGCTGTCGATTTCGTCCATGAAAATGATGGACGGCGCATGCTCTCGCGCCATGATGAAGAGCTCTCGGACCATTCGGCTACCCTCGCCAATGTACTTTTGCACCAGCTCGGAGCCGGACACCCTGATGAACTTGCAGGCCGTATGGTGGGCGACGGCTCGCGCCAGCAGCGTCTTTCCGGTACCGGGAGGGCCGTACAGCAGGACACCCTTGGGCTGGGCGATACCCAGTGACTCAAAGAGCTCGGGGTGTTTGAGACCCAGCTCAATGACCTCCTTGATTTCCTTGATCTGCTGGTCCAGGCCACCAATCATGTCGTATGTGCTGTCGGGAACCTTTTCCACCATCATGAGGGACACGAGCGGATCGACGGACGAGGGCAAGAGCTTCTCAAGCTTGTAGCTGTCGGACAGGAGGGTGACGCGCTTTCCGGGGGTAAGTTTGGCGACGTCGACATTGTCGGACACATCGACAACTACCAGGCATATCAGTAAACAGAGGAGGGCGAGGGCTCGAGTGACGACGGACCATATTTGCCCTCAGGGTGTACCTTGACGAGAATCTTCTTGGTGCTCATGACCTTGACCACCTCGCCAACGTACGACCCTGGTTGTTGCAGCAGGCCCAGCTCTTCCCGTAGTAACCGGACGCGAGAGTTGTAGTCGTTTCGCTGAGCTTCGAGGCGGCGCAAAGCTGCTTGACCCTTGAGGATCTCCAGCTTCATCGCCTCGATCTTGTTGTGATAGTACTGGTCGAGCGCCATGGTGCCGGTGCTCGGAGGGCGTCAAGGGGAGAGCACGGCGGAATCGATGGGCGCTGGCGGCGAGGATTCACCCTTGATGAGCGTTGCGAATGGGCAGGCTGTAGGGAGGCCGATGGATGACGAGACGTAGAGACCGCGATGGTTGGAGGGACGTTGTTCCGGAGCTCGACAAGGCTGCAGGCGGTCTCGTAAGCTCGTGGCCACGGCAGCAGCGTCAGGGCGGCGAAGGTGGGTAGCGCGGATTATGCGTTTTGCCGAACTCCGATGCGCTTGGTACCTAGGTCCATTTGGGGACGCTGGATGTGGTGGAGCGGCCGCTGGGCGCACTGGGCGGGTCTGCTGGATTTAGGAGGGGGCTGGTGGCTTCACGTTGCACAGCATGTGCCATGCAGCCTCTGATTACTTGTGCAAGTACGCCGTGCGCCATCGCCGTGTAAAAAAAACGACATCTTTTATGCAGGCGCTGGTTGCTCAGTCGCTACCGTCACATATTGGATTCCATTGCGTGAGCTGATGCGGCACGGTCAAGGGAGCATGGCAGGCACGGCGAATACCTGCAGTCGATGCAGGGCGGGTTTGTCGACAACCTGACCGCCAGCGGCCACGACCCGGTAATCCGTCCAACAGTGAGACTGTGTGCAGCGACAGCGCCCGCTGAGCCATGAGGTGGCTGGCTCGCACTGCAATCATAGCGGCGGGGGCGAGCGCCGGTGCAGTGCTTGGCCACGCGCGGCGGCTGCAACCCTCGGCCGGCTGCAAGATCACAAGATGCGTGAGAGCGAGTCTTGTGGCCAAGCCTCTTCCGGATGGCCACCTCCTTTCGGCAGGGAGTTTCATCGCGCCGGAGCATCGCATCGCATGGCACGGCATGGCACAGCATGGCATGGCATGGCATTGCCTCCCTTGGATCCGCCCTGCCGGTGTGCGCGCGCGCGTGCAGATAGAAGGGATTATGGTCGTGCTTCAGATTGGCATGTACTTGTACAGATTGCAGTCGCCCGCCCCTCTGGCTTCGTACAGTGGGAGGGTCTGCTTTCTTTATCTTCTGTGCGAGTAATAAGTCTGCCCGACGTTTAAGAAGGTCGGGCACTGGTTCTTGCATCTTCATGGGCCCCACCACCCAGCGCAATCACCCGCCCACTGAACCTTACCTTGGCACCCGTCACACCCACAGACCAGTGCTGGAGCCCGCCTGCACGTTGTCCATCCACCCCTTCCCGCTTCCCGCCGATAATCCTCCAGAGCCCACAGGCGGCAGATCCACACGAGCTCCCCAGCTCGCGCACCTCACCCCAACTCAACCTCACTGTCATAGCAACGACCTGCCGGGCACTGGCCAGCTGCCTCGCTCGTACGACACGCCTGGGCAGCACGCCGCCCGACCGACGGCATCAGTCGTCCATTCACGACGCCGGCCGCGAGCACGTCAGCCAGCCAAGAGGCCTGTCGGTGCTCGTCATCTGCACCTTTGCGCGCCAGGCGCCACCTGCCGGAGCCGCCAGTGCTGCACCACAGGTGCACCGCCCGGGGCCTCCACTGAGGCACCTCGACGGCACCCGCACGGCACCCTCCCAGGTCGCAAGGTTACCGCAACCCACACGCGCACCTCAAGGCCAGGCCACCTGAAGTCACACTGGGCTGGGCCGACACCAATCGCCAGCCAGCCGGCAGCGCCGTGCCGCCGCGCCGATCACCCCAAAGCTTCCCGTCGTCTTGGCCCCGGCCTTGCCGTATCGCGTGCATTCATTTGAGCCGGCCGCCTCCCTCTCCACTTGCCCACCACCTCAGCTCACCTCATCGCCGCCGGGTCCTTGATCTTTTTGCTCTGCCGTCTCCACAGAGCAACGACTTCAACCCGCGACTTCCAGCCCGGCAAGGGCAGCCGTGCACCACGAAGCGCACTTGAGTCCTGTCGCGCCTTGATAAGGAGCTTCGGCCCCAGAACCTCAGGTGCTGACCGCGCTGCTTCCGTCGCCGACTGACCACGAACGCCTGACCGCTCCTCCAACGCGTACCGTCACGAAACTGGCGCCCCATCGAGTCTACACTCTCCCGTCCTTGGGCGTCGACCTCGCCGCCCGGCCCGGAGATCATGGACCCCTCGCAAAACGAGGGCGCGCCTGATGGCCAACGCCCCAGCGAGGCCTCGGATGCCACGTCGCCTACGGATACCCGCTTCCCGAACCCGCAGTCTGAGCCCTCGGCTCGCCGCGATCCCGAAGGCCTCTCCGAGAGCTACCAGTCCACCGACACGGTGCGACGGCGGCCCGAGGCTACCGGCTATGGTGAGCACCCTTCTTGGGTCGCTGCCCTCTTCGCCACGCCCAGTCGCATAACTGACTCCTTCATTGCCTCTCCAGGATCCATACAGTCGTCGGCCACGGCCAGCGCAACGCGAAGTCCTGCCGACTCGTCACAGCAACGAACGTTTGCATCACCGCAAGTCCGTCCCGGCGCGCCCTCGTCGGGCGATCGCGTCAAATCCTTGACGCGACTGCGAAAGCCGCAGCTGAATCGACGCACCTCGTCCAACACGCCGCACCGCGGCGAAGTTTTCTCCGCCGACGACGATACGCACGAAGTACAGGCCGATGCCGCGGTAAATCGTTCTAGGCGCCGGCCGCCGCCGCCTCCAAGCAGCTTGCCCCGCCTGCAGTCGTATCGCGGCGATAATGAAGAGGACGAAGCCGAACCACGAGGCGTCCCGGCCGCGACTGCCGAAGAAGACGAGGAAGACGAGCCCCGAGACCACGATGAAGAGCTCCCCCTAGAGGAGCACGTTGACTGCGACTCGGATGGCGACATTAGCGAGGCCGAGAGCTTCACGCTAAAAGACAGACAGCAGGCAATTAACCAGACGCACCCTTTCGGTATCCGAGTCTGGAAGCCCGCCCTGTACAAGAAGGATCGATCGATTCAAAAATTCGCGCAGGCAGATATCCACTCGACGCCTGGCGGCCACGTCAGCAGTTGGTTGCTTCTGTTCAACCTGCTTTGGACGTTATGCTTTGGCTGGTGGATGGCCTGTCTTGCGGCGTTTGGCGCCATCTTCTGCCTTTTGTTTGCGGCCGCTCCGAGCGGCAGGGAGTATGGCAGGGTTCTATGGGGATTGGCTGGCTACCTCTTCTATCCCTTTGGCAAGTTTGTTCGGCTCGAGAAGGACGAAGCCTACATCGACGAAGATGGCGATGAGGGTCGCAGCATTTCCGAGTACGAGCAGTGGCAAAGCGGCGACCTCGAAGTCGGACGGCTCTTTTTTGGGCCCCCAGACCGCAACCGATCAATCGTTGGTCGCTCCAGACGCAGCATCGATTCAGACCCCAGCGAGACCGACAGCCTCTTGGGGCGCGGACGACGCGGCGAGTCTGGCGACGGCCATCCCAGGATGAAGCGAAGACTGTTCGGCCGTGGCGAGTGGAACATCGGCCGAGTCATCTTCTTCACCTTTTTCTACTGCCTCATTTCGCCGTTGCTGATCGCCATCTCGGCCATCTGCTGGTTCCTGGTATTCACCATTCCCATGGGAAAGGTTACAATTCTCTTGTTCGATCACCTCCGGCGGCATCCGCTGGCGCTATCCTTCGAGTCTCACGTCAAATACACGCGCGACAATGACGCCCCGGACTCATCGATCTTGCTCTGCACTTATCGTGCGGTGGGCTCCAAGTACTGGAAGTACACCATCGACGGCACGAACATCTTCCTCATTAACCTCATGGCCGTGGTCATGTTCGTCATCTTCGACTGGCTCGTGCTGGACCGGGTGCTTCACCTGGACAACCTGATAACCTCTCCGGCGTTTCTCTTCACAGCCGGACTGCTGTCCATCATTCCCCTGGCATACTTCATTGGCCAGGCAGTGGCGTCCATCTCGGCTCAGTCTTCTATGGGTCTCGGCGCCGCCATCAATGCCTTCTTCGCCACCGTGGTCGAGGTCTTCCTCTACTGCGTCGCTCTCAGCCAAGGAAAGGGTCAGCTCGTCGAGGGCAGCATTGTCGGCAGCATCTTTGCCGGTATCCTATTCCTGCCCGGCATCTCGATGTGTTTCGGTGCCATTAAGAGGAAGACGCAGCGCTTTAACGCTAGATCGGCAGGTGTGACGTCCACGATGCTCCTCTTTGCCACGGTTGGCGCATTTGGCCCGACCTTGTTCTACCAAATCTACGGCACCCACGAGCTCAACTGCCTCGACTGCGAAGACGGCCCCGGCGGATCCAATAGCCACGGAGACGCACGTGACTGCCGCCGCTGCTACTTTTCCCAGACGCCGGCTCTCGATGACCGCTTCTACCTCGAAGCAGTCCGGCCCTATTGCTACCTCGCCGCCTTCATGCTGTTCTTCGCGTACCTCATCGGTCTCTGGTTCACCCTCAGAACGCATGCCGCCGTCATCTGGAACGCTGAGATTGAGGAGAAGAAGCACGAGGAGCAGCTACACGCGTCGCTGCTGAGAGCCTCGCAACCATCGGCCGCAGAGACGACGGGCACGGATATCCGCGATTCTCACCTATACAAACGCATCTTGGGCCAGTCCCTGAAGCAGGTTGGACTGCAGCCAAACAATGACGACGCCTCACGGCAAGGGTCGATTGCGAACCAGGACGCCGCCCCGAATGGCATGTCCTCGACTCCGCATGTCGTCCCCCCCAAGTCAAGCGAATCGGTGCGTCCGGGCATCCATGTGCCCGGCTTGAGCCATGCCGACAACACTGTACTCGCACGAGAAGTGGCAGAAATTGCCGCCGCTGCAGCCACCATTGCCTCGCGAGACCGATTGACGGCGGTGCGCAAGATATCGGCCGTTGCTGGCTCGGCTGGTGGCACTACCAGGCAGGCGCCTCGTGCGGCGGCGTTCCCGGATGGAGGTGACCCGGCCGTCATCGCCGCAGAGACGGCAACGGCTCACGCTGGCGGCCACGGCCATGATGCGCCAAATTGGGGCCGAACCAAGAGCGCCGTCATCCTCCTCGGGGCGACTATTCTGTACGCTGTGATTGCCGAAATATTGGTCGACACTGTCGACGTTGTTTTGGAGAGCTTTGCAATTGACCAAAAGTTTCTCGGTATTACGTTGTTTGCTCTGGTCCCCAACACGACCGAGTTCCTGGTGAGTCCTGGCCGCGCGAACGTGTGAGACTTGGCTGCAGCTAACATTGTGTAGAACGCCATTTCGTTTGCCATGAACGGCAACATTGCCCTTTCCATGGAAATTGGTTCCGCCTACGCGCTGCAAGTGTGCCTGCTTCAGATTCCCTGTCTGGTGCTCTTCTCGGCCATCTACCCAAATATCCCCGAAGGCGGCGAGCCGGGCATGTACACTTTCTCGCTGCTGTTTCCCCAGTGGGACATGGTGACGGTGATACTGTGCGTGTTCCTGCTCAGCTACGTGTACGGAGAAGGCAAGAGCAACTACTTCAAGGGCAGCATCCTGATGCTTACGTACCTGGTCGTGGTGATTGGGTACTTTTTCAGCGGCTACACGTCTGACGTGATGGGCCTGGAGAGGTTTGACGTGATGGGCAAGGACGGCAACTACCAGACCTACAAGACGATTGGACGATCGACGCGCGGGCAGGCATTCCAAGCCTGATTGAGGTGATGACCGGTGACAAAGAGGGCGTTGGCCGGCGATGGCAGGCGCGCCCGCCGAGATTAGGTATACGCGGGCGTGAAGGGACAGGACATTGCATGAGGGCGCTGGAGGTATTTCCTTGCTGTATTTCATTGGCAGACCATGCCTACAGGGTGACTGAGTAGCATTTGTAGCACGTTAAAGGTGGATTCTCCCTGGGAATTGTGCGTGACGACGTTGCGCTCTGTGACGTTTGGCTTTGTGTCGGATGGTGGTGGCCGGTGGTGGCCTGGGCAGTTTCCAACGTGCTCCGTGCAGGCGGGAGTGAGCAGAAAACCAACGGATGTGCAGAAATGGAGCCCATTTCCGAATCTGGCGGTACGGCCGCAGGTGATTGGCGAGCTGCGCGATGGCCGGGGTGCGACAGCGGGGTGTGGGCCTTGGGCGCGTGCCTCCACACTCCCCACCGGCGGCAGCAGTTGACCTAGGTGGACGGGACTTACACGGGCTACGGGACGAGGGACACCGGCGGCACTGGCGACCGCCATCCATGAGCGATGCGTGCGCGACATGGCCAATTGTGGAAACGGCCGATCATTTTGAGTAAGATGTGAGTTTGGGGGTATTGCGGTCTATTTTTATCTGCTGCATCTGCAAAGCTGTACTGTTGATGGACCGTCAGTGACATCATGCTTCGGGCACTCGTGATGGGACGGGATCTTACCGTTTCATATCCAAGAATCGTGCTGTTACCCAATCAAAATAATGTTCCGTCCCACAAAAAGCGAAAAACATATGGTAACCTTAACCTTATGGCACAAGATGCTCCATGGCGCCGGGGTATATCGTCCGAAGATATGACACCGCCCAGGATGTTGTGTCGGTGACTGCCTCTATGCTCTCAAGTGCTGCCGTTCTGCGTCTGGAATGCGGCGTCAACGGCGGTGATTATGGCTTGAGCGCGGGTCACTGCCTCGGCGGCAGTTGGGGTGGGGGAGGAGAAGCCTGGAGGAGGACGGAGCGAGGGGTCGGGGTGGGTGGCCGGCAGGTTGGTCCCAGGGTCGGCGTAGCGTTGGATGCTGTAGTTGAGATGTTCAGGGACGGGCTGGGGAAGTTCTGGGCGGAGCTGAGGCTGCTGTTGAGACCTGGGCAGTGAACGATCAGTCATGAATGGACCAGAGAAGTAGGTATCAGCGAGATGTGGGAGACTGGAGTGTGAGACCACGATGAAGCCGGACCGATTGGTCCAGGTACGGTTCATGAGATGAGGTCACGGCGGCATCGGGAGGTGATATGGGGCAAACGGCCATGGGATATAGAATGCAGTATGTGACGAAGCAACTATGTGAGATTGGAGAGAAATGACATACTGGTTGCTGCCTACGGCAACGTGAGACGAGTTGTCGGCCATGGCTGACAACTTAGTAGCGAGTGCGACTCAAGAGACACCCAAGCTGTGTTGGACAAGCTATATGCCGCGTCCTCGAGGGGCGATGAAGGACGGAGGAGTTCGAGTTGTGGGACGCACGTGAGGCAATGTGCTTTTTTTGGCGGTGGTGACGGAGGCGCCGAGGACAGCTGTGAACCGCAGCACCTGGCCTTTTTTACCGAAAGGCTCTTTGGGCGTCTTCGTTGCTGGCTGCGGGACAAGACAGAAGCGGGAAGTCTCATGGGCGGAGAGGGGGGAGAGGGAGGGCTTGGTCTTATACTTGGGTGTATGGCTGGCGACGACTCTGGTCGGCTGCCATTGCCCAACGTGCGCCATAAGAAAGACGGAGTTGAGGAGAGTCGATGAGGATAATACCCACCGTCCGACTGATTTGCACAAAAGCTGCGTCGGCCGGGGCCCCGACAATCCCGCCGGGAACTCCAATCCTCGCTCAACACAAGGACGGCAATTGGGCGATCCCCCGATCCACCATGTTTGCCAGGGCAGACCCACAGGGCATGCTTCCATGCATGGGGAGGGGTGGCACAGAGATGCTCGCCAGCCCGAGTACGTATCGAGATGACATTTAAAGCTGCCTCGCGTCGCGAGGTACGGAAAAACACGAGGCGGGGACGAGTACTCGAATGTACACGATGGACCCTGGCCGACGGCCACGGAGCCTTCCCACTACGCCATGGGGCCTTGCAGGGGGTGTGTGCAGAATGCTGCCTTTTTTCTCAGCACGGAGAAGACAGAGTGCGTCAATAGAACAGCTACGTACTTGCAAGGCGGCTGGCGAACTGCAGGGGCGTGGGTGTGTGGGAACCTGGAATCCCCGTCTGGTGCGCCCCGGATCTCGCGCTGGGTCCCCCGCCTGGCTCGCCCGAGGCGGGCCCTGGGATTTCCCGTGTCGTCTGCCTGCCACGGGAGGCAAAACCGCCCAGCGGCGCACGAGGCTGCCCGTTGTCAGCTTGACGCTTTCAGACGGGATGGAGCGGGGTGTGCGACAAGGCGCTGGACGACGGGCTACAGCTCCCCCCGGTAAGACGTACGCTGCTTGCCAAGGTACATACGTGCTCGAGGCTTGTCGGCCGTTAAGGAAGCTAACTACGCGTTTCTGGAAATTCCGGCTTGCAGTGGCTCTTACATTGCGTATTGCATTGTTTCTTGCACGCATTCGTGCACTGGTTCTTAACACACTTCTTTACGTATGTACACCGGGCCTTACACAGTTCTGAACACGGTTCTTTACACACTTCTTTAACACGGTTCTCTGCACGGTTCATTGCACGGCTCTTTGCACGGTCCTGTACACGGGTCGCACCGTTCTTCCGCAACCCAGATTGCACTACGGATTGCGCGACCGACTGCCCGTGCGGCATTTGCGCCCGCGACTGCGCTAGGACTGCATTGGTGATGGCGAAAAGCAGCTTGGGAATAGCTACACTCGTCTCGAAATTGAAATTGACCAACGGCGGTGGGGGGTTGAAGACTGTGCCTCCATCTCCCTAATCGGGCGCAGCTGCGCAAGTATCGCTACGGGAGTCAACTGGCCAGCGCGTGCAGCTGGGTCAACGGATGCCCGTTCTCGCGCATGGGGGGTTCACATCCCCGACTCCGACCGCGCCACGCCCTGATACCAGGCTTGAGCTTGCCTGTCAACATGCTGTCAACCATCCTGGCAAGTTATATCTACATACTTCGTTTGGTAGCGTACCCACCTGTACACGGCAGCGGATCTCAAGATTGGTGGTGGCTGCATGTTTCAATCCGGCGATGCGACCTGCTCATGGCTGGAGCGCTCCACACCAGCTCCAGCGGCCGGACATGGCGAGGCTGCCTTCGTGGTGGAGGGTCCCCGCGCCCCGTGTGTGAGGCGGACCACGGGCCACCGCTACCGAATCGTCGGCAGCGGGGGTGGCCCCTGGTCCTCCAGCATGCTCGCGGGCCACTTCCATCGTCTCATCCCGGTGATCTGGTCCCATCTTGGGCGCTCCCGTCCACGCCCCCGGATAGAACTAACCTGTCCCATTTTACATTGCGGAGTACACGGATGAGGTTTCTGAGGTGTCGGCCAGCCGTCGTCATGTTACCTTGAACTAGCACTGACCACGCGAGGCATGGCTGCCCGGGAATCCTCCCCGCCGTCGCTTCAACCTTCCGGGGCTGTTTTTGTGGCCTCGCTGGCAGTCAGCCAGTCGCCTGGCCTGGAGGTGGCTACCTACCTACGTAGGCAGGCTCACCGGGCCCAATCAAGTCCGGTGCTTACCGCTCCGTCCCAGGCACTTCCTCTCACTGCACCAGAACCGGGAGAGGGAGAGGCAGGGCAGCGATGCCAGCATCGTGCTATGCATGCACGATACCACGCAATCTCCCGCCCAAATTCGCCAGGTGATAACAACGCTAGCATCTGGCTGAGATGTAGCAACCCGTAGTGAGGCTTTGGTGCAGGCAACCAAGGCAAGCTGTACGGAGTAACTAGGTGGGCGATGGTCTGCAGCCATGGGGAGTAGGGTCCTGAGTAGAATGCGGCTGGAAGACGGGACCTGACTGGAGGGTGCGTCGCCCTGAGACCTGGCTGCCTCAGGACCCTAGCAGTCAACCTTACCAGGGCCGCCCAACCTTATCCAGGCAGCCACCCCGTGTCTCGCTCTGCGTGCACTGTCCACTGCCTGCCGCCACCACAACAAGCGGTCTTGCTGCTTCATTGCTCACGCACACGGACTGACTCCCTACCACTCGGTGGGATCCTTATTTTCCCTTCTCAACCACATTTAATTCCTCCTGCTTTTACTTCCGTCATCTCTCGCATCCGCAGCCGCCATTCTGTTCCGTTCGAGCAACACATAGCAGTGCCGCCGTCTCGCTCGTCGGCACCCGCCATGTGCCCGCTGGCTGGTGCCCGATAAACATCTCTTGGGCAGGTGAACCCAACCAAACCAACAAACCTGGTTCCTGCCTCAAGTACCTCCTCGCCGACACCTTACAACGTCTCTCTGCTAATGCTTGTGCCGTAGACGATCTTGAAAAGGTCCAAATCCTCGCGGCGCCATCCAAATCTCGCGTTTCGTCACCGCAAATGGTGCGCGACCCCCAGCTTCGCCATGCCGACCGCCACGTTCAATGTCCCTCCTCAGTACCGTAGATTTACCCTCTTCTCGAACTTGCCGCCAGAGATTCGCCTCAGAGTGTGGGAGGAGTACCTAGAAAGCCCTGGCGTCAGCTTCGTCAAAGTCGAGCCCTCCGAGACGACATGGCGCGCTCGTTTCCTCCCGCCCCTTTCCTTTGTGGATGACGACGACGATCAAGACCACCGGCAGCTGCATCTCGATGAAGTGTCGCTCGCCATCAAGAGGGAGTCTCTCACCAAGCCACCTCTCCCGGCACGTCTGGTCGCCTGCTACCCCGTTCGCGTTGCCGATATCAGCAACTACAACACCCTTCATGCCGATCTCATCACCATGAGCCGCACATGCAGCGAGTCTTCGAGTCTCGCTAGGCAGCTGGCCTCGCGCGAGGGAGCGCTGCGACTCGATAACGGCGTGCTCGTTGCGCTCGAGGGGTCCCAGGATCTCATCACCCTCGACTACCTGCCCCCCGACTTGCACCAGACTGACCGTGCCCTGGAAGTCGATTTTTCTTGCCCCGGCCTCGAAAAGATCCGACGGGCCGCCGTACGTGTCTCGCCTATGTGGAAGCCAGCCAAAACATATCCTGCCAAGTGCAAGACGTGCCAAGAGGTGCACGAGGTACGCGACGGTGGAAACTGTCCAACACACCTGTACCAGTTCCTTGCAAGACACCTGCCGAACCTCGAGGAGTTCTACCTGATGGACTATTTCGTCGTCGAAAAGTCCGATTCGGAGAAGGCCACCTGGGATATCATTTACGGGGACGGACGCGGCGAGAACAAGAATCCTTGCCCAGGACCGCAGCGCCAACGCACGTTCCGCGCCAAGGATCGCGTCTTCCACGAGATTGTCGGCGACGGATCAAGCGACCGCGCCTGGAAGACGGACTCCAAGACTGGCAGGATTCGAGACTGGCTTCGGGACAGCTTCGTCCGTTACTGCAACAACAGTCCTCTCGCGCGCCACCAGTCTCCCAACAAGGTTCGCTTCGGCATTCTCGCATGCCAGTTCAACATTTTGCCCCCGTCGCCATCCAAGGCCAAGACATACCCGTCTTCGGGAAAGCTCCGACCCGTTCGTGAACGGCCGACCAGAGCCAAGGCCAGCCAAGCGGGCAAGCTCTTCGGCAGTTCTTCGAGATCGGCTGCTTCGCTGTTTGGCGAACTTGGAACAGGCCATGGCAGGCTTTTCGGTGACGACGTGTCGGCCGCATGGATAACCCGACTGCAGAACGAGATGGCTAGTCGACCAGCGCCGATACCAGTAAACGCTCCTCCGCAGCCGCCACGTGAGACTGACCAGGCACAATCGTGGGGGGGCCTTTTCTTTGCGTTTGGGGGTGTCAGTCGGATTTCCTTTCGCTTCACGTTTTCGCTGTTCCACGACTCGATCAGGCGATGGACTGGCCTTTGAAGATTGGAAATACCCAGGAAAGCTAGGTTTCTGATGACATGGGACGGCCTGGCTTGGGACTGAGTCTCTGGCCCATTGATGTGGCGTACCGGACAGTGTATTTTGTACGAGCTCACGAACCTAGAACACAGACTGGCAACATGGAACTGCCACATGATATTGGCATGCACTAGCACAAGTCTGTATTTAACAACGGCCGGATGTCTAGAGAAAGTCCTTGATGGCGCCCCAGAAGGCGTCTGGTTCTTCACACATGGGCAGGTGCCCAGCGTTTGGCACAATCTTCAGCTCCGCACCCTCGGCCCCGAGTGACCCCTTGAACCCGTCCATGGCCTTGACGAGTGCCCCCTTGGCGTCCCCCTCGCCCACCACGAGCAGACTCGGCACGCTGCAGCTCGGCATCTGGGGCTTCATATCGTAGTCCCAGAGCGCGGTGCAGCTGTGCTTGAAGCCGTCGACGTCATTCTCCGCTACCATGTCTGTCATCCACTTGACCAGGTCCGCGTTGTGCATGCTCTCCGGATGGAACCACCGCGCTACCGTCTGCTCAGCGAGAACCTTGATGCCGCTTCCGCCATCGCTCTCCGCGACGGCGACGCGGTCCTTCCACGCCTGGGTGTTGGCCGGGCTGGACACGGCGTTGAAGTCGCAGGCGACGAGGCGGTCGAGGCGGCGCGGGTGGGTCAGCGCAAAGTTCAGGGCCGTGGCGCCGCCCATGGAGACGCCGACGAGGGCGTGCAGCGTGGGGACGCGCAGCGCGTCGAGGAGGTGCGCGAGGTCCGAGGAGAGGGCCTCGAGGGTGGCGGGCGTGGGGGGCTGCGGGACGGCGTGTCGCCCGCGGGTGTCGTAGCGGAGGATGCGCAGGTCGGGGCGCGAGCGCTTGAGGATGGCGACGAGGGGATCCCACATGTGTAGGGACGTGAGGAGGGAGTTGCAGAAGGCGACGGTCTGGGCGCGGGGGGAGGGGTTGCCTTCGAGACGGTAGGGGAGGGTGAGCCCGTCGGGGGTTGCGATGTAGGAGTTGAGGACCGGGTCTGAGCCTGGGACGGTGGACGTGTTGCCGTCGGGATCTGTGAATGCCGCCTCGTCGGGGAGCGAGGAGAGCGACTCGAGTTCGCGCGGCGCGGGGCCAAAGATGTAAAAGAGCGACCACGTATGCCGGCCCTTGGACGCGACGTACTTGTCAAACACCTCGGTCCGCCAAGGCGTATCCATCGCTGCCCTATGCTCCTCTCCCCCCAGACCATTCTCCTTCGCGTAGTCATGCAGCGCAAAGTACACGGCCCCTCCTGCATCTTCCCCGTCCTCGAGCGCCGACGTCTTGAAGAGCCGCGAGCGCAGCCACCCCGGCACCTTGGACAGCAGCCCGGCATGCTCCTCGACGAACCACTTCGCATACGCGTCGCCCGCTTCAGCACACCCCTCCCCCTTCCCCTCGCCCTCCCCCCGCAGCCGGACCTCCACCGCGACGGTGACGATGCCGTCGGCCTCCTCGTCGGTGAGGCTCTCGAGGGGCGCGAAAAGCGGCGAGGCCCGCGTGTGCAGCAGGTCGAAGAAGCGCCGCCGGACGTCGACCTGCGCGATGGTTTGGGCCTCGCGCGGGGAGCGGTTGGCGCGGAGGGAGGTGTATGTCGGGGTGGCGAGGAGGGCCATGTCGGTGACGTCGTAGACGGCCATGAAGCCGGGCTGGCCATCATCGCCGCTGCTTGAGGCAGAGGCAGAGGAGGAGCGGTAGCGCAGGCCGTTGGTGAAGATCTGGGGGATGCGCAGGCGCGTGGGGCCGTGCTCGTTGTTGTACCACTCGTGGAACTGGGCGGGCGGCAGGCCGGGCTGCGGCTGCATCGTCACGTAGAGGATTCCGGGGGGCGACGACATGGCGACGGTTGTTGGCCGGATGGGTATCGTATGTGGCAGGCTGGCTAGATGTCTGGCTGGTTGCGGGCTCACGCTGAGATCGCGGGGTTGCGGGCGGGGTGGTCACTGATTCTGCAAAATCAGCTCAATCGAGATTCCTTGAACGAGACGGCGCCCTCCTCGAGGACAAGAGCGAAAGGACTCTCTGTGAGGTGAGGTGAGGTGAGCATGGGCATGGCGATGGCTGCCGTTATGTATGGTGGTGGTGGAGTTGGGCGACGGGCGTGCTGGCTAGCCGAGTCGGCAAATGGGGTCGGGTTTACCCAGCGCGGGAGCCGTGGTAAATGTTTAGCCCCGCGATGCCATCAGACCCCACGGCCCGCGGGAACGCGAATTGGAACCCCGCACTCACCGAGGGCTCACCGAGGGTCGGGGTCGCGCCGAGGAATTGTGTTGGACTGGTCTGTCTCACCTAAACTACCTAGGCACCGGACAAGCGACAGTCCAGAGCTTCATACGTACTCCTCCTCGTACGATATCAACGGCTGGGCTTTGCAGGTGGCAGTGGCTGTTTCGCTTTCCGACTCCCGGCTGTGTCTTGGCGCGCGCCATATCAATGAGAAAAGGGCAGGACGTGGCATTAACGAGCTGGGATCAAGGGGCGGGATAGAGGCCAAAGATAGTCTCGCATTGAATGGTCTGTACCAATCTTCAGAGCGTCATTCACTGGAAATCGTCTCTCGTCATGATGCGATGACATGCGCTCGACCCACCATGAGGTTCTGCAGACCGGCAGTGCCCGTGGAACCTTGCCGTGCCCGATGCCCCAGAGTGGCCAAGCGCCAGGGGACCTATGGCTGGGAACACTAGGTAGTGGGGTCGGGCTGCAGGGTCCAGCCGCTGGCTTGGCTGTAGGCTGGCCCGAGCTCCTGTTCAGAGCTCCATGAAGACCTCCAGGCCCGTCACTCGCAGGGGCCCAAGCTCCCCGCTGGCGAGACCTGGAGGTCCCGAACAGGCGGAAATGAATGACCTGACGCAGACGGCACTCCTGGTCTGCCACAGAAGCCCATGGAAGCTGACCTTCGCCGTTCGCCCACAAAGCCTCCGACCACTCCTCCGAACAGCTGCATCCCGTCGGCTTTCCCCCAACCCAATGCAGCCTGCGTCGCCTCCGGCACCCTCCACTGGCATCTTGCGGCTCATCCTTGACGGCAGGCTGCATATTCCTCGGGTGTGACAAGCCCATTACTTCCCGTCTTTCTTGTGGCCCGATTTCCGCTTCCCCGCCCCATCTGATGGCTACTGCTCGACAGGCTGCTCCTTCTCCTCCATCGTAGCTGCCGTTCCATCGTTTGTCACAACCAAGCGGCCGCGATTACCATGGAGGTCTTCCTGCGAAACGTCAACATCACCCTCACCGAGGAGTCGCTCAAGAAGGAGCTCGCGCCCTTCATCAACGTCCTTGGCATCGCCGACTGGACCGTGGACAAGCCGAAGCGGAAGCCGTTTGCGTCCCTGTCGTTTCTCAACGCCCGCGATGGCGAACGCTTCCTGGAACGGCACGGCAAGGTTCCAGCCCCGAAATCAAAGCTGGACGAGGGAGCCCAGCCCCATCCAAACGGACACACCCGCGATATCCCAAGGCTGTACATTCTCACCACGCCAATCTTTGCCGAGAAAAGCAATCGCACCATCAATAAGTTGACCTTGAGTCATCTCCGCCATGAACGCGACGAGCGGCAGCGCGCCCCAAACGATGGGCATCGGGCACCTGCCATCGTCTGTGCCGTGGGAGAAATCGCCTGCGGCAAGATGGTCTTTGCCGATTCCACGGCCAACCTGACGTTTGCGCGGCAGACGTCCTTACGCCAGCCCGGTTTTGCCAAGTTTGGCCGTCAGTGTTTGATGGTCACTCTGGAGAACAACACGCGCGTCGACGTACCATACGAGATTATCCAAGATCTCATCGCAGACAACCGGCGGCAGACAATCACGCTCGTCCTCGAAGAACCCCCCAGGTTCTACCAAAAGATCCAAGGCGTGACGCTGAACCCCATCCAATTGTGGGAGCGTCAGACAACTGGGTCCTGGCAGGATCATTCCAAATACGTCGCTCACTGCTTGGTCTACGAGCTTACGCTCACAAGCGAGTACTGGCCAACGGTCATGAGCCTCAAAGCACAAGACATCTTGCCAGTGAGCCAGCAAGGCATCATGGTCGAGATGTCGCCAAAGCCAGTGGTCCATGACTATGTCACTGCCATGTCGTCGTTTGAGGGCAGAATGCAGAGCCTCGGATCCGCGAGAGACGTCAATCTGCCATTCCCATTGCTATTTCTGGTGCAACAGCTCGTTTGGAACAATTACCTCCATCCATTCCACGGACTTGGCGTGCTAGACATCATCGAGCGCACGGCAAAGGATGCCAAGTGGAAGGGTAAGCTTCCATTCACCACTGAAGCAATGAAGCCGCTGTTTCAAAAGATACCATACCCAGTTCCTGGCACTGAGCCGTCAGATATTGATCCTGCGCGATTGATGGCCGGTGTCATCGACACAGAGCTTGAACTTCGCAGCCAAGACCCTTTGCGATCTGGCGTCTACGGTTCACGCTTGCCGCGACACCAGACCTGGGTGTTCAAGGCCATGGTGACACCGACTCGCATTTTGCTTTCGGGCCCCGATGCAGAGAGCAAGAACCGGGTGCTGCGCATGTTTCCCAACCACGGAGACCATTTCCTACGAGTATGCTTCTGCGACGAAAACGGCCAGGATCTCTCGTTCAACCCCAAAATTCCAACGAAAAGATCTTCCAGCGGTACCACGACATTCTACGAGACGGGATCCGTATCGCTGGCAGGCATTTCTCATTCCTTGGCTTCTCCCACTCGTCGCTCCGATCGCACTCGACGTGGTTCCTCGCCCCATTCGTCGACGCCGATTGGCAGCGCCAGGACCACGACACGATACTCAAGACGCTGGGTGACTTCAGCAACATTCGAGTCGCTGCGAAATGCGCAGCTCGAATTGGCCAAGCCTTCTCGGAAACTCCATATGCAGTGAACTTGTTCAAGTCCGACATCAACATCCGCTACATTCCAGACGTCAAGTCGGCGGATGGTACACGGGTCTTCAGCGACGGCGTTGGAACAATCTCGTGGGAGGCGATGGAGGAGGTCTGGGATTCCCTTCCGATGCGATCCGCCGCGCCTACCTGCTTCCAAATCCGCTTTGGCGGCTACAAGGGCATGCTCGCGCTCGACTCAAGGCTGCGTGGCAGGGTAATCTGCCTGCGCAAGGAGTCGATGATGAAGTTTCCCAGCCGCGACATGACGGAGCTGGGCATTTGCGATGTGGCCTCGAGGCCATTACGCCTGGTCCTCAACCGCCAAGTCATCAAGATCCTCGAGGATATGGGTACAAGCGACGACTGGTTCATGACGCTGCAGAACAAGGCGCTTAACATGCTTCGTGCCGTCACAGCCAGTGCGACCAATACGGCCACCTTTTTGCGATATCAGGATGTTGGGAGCGCGGTGGGCCTGCCATCCTTTATCAAGCAACTGGACAAGATGAGCATCGACTATCGCCGGGACCGATTTCTCAAGTCCGTCGTTGAGCATGTGGTTCTTCGAGAGCTGCGGCTGTTGAAGCACAAGGCCCGCATCCCTGTCGACAAAGGGGTGACCCTCTTCGGCATCATGGACGAGACGGGGTTTCTTGGAGAGAATGAGGTCTACGTCACTTATGACAAGACGTATACCAGGAGCGGCGCCCGCATGGATCAGACACTGGAAGACGGCCCTGTCATTGTCACTCGTTGCCCAGCATTGCATCCCGGTGACGTGCAGTGCGTCACGATGGTGACACCTCCAGAATCGCATCCTTTGCGGAGCTTGCAAAACTGCGTCGTCTTCAGCCAGAGAGGCTCGCGCGATCTCCCGAGCCAGCTCAGTGGCGGAGACCTCGATGGAGACCTATACAACGTTATTTGGGACGCGAGGGCAGAGCCCAAGCGAACCTTTCCGCCGGCAGACTATCCGAGGGTGACTCCCCCAGAGTTGGATAGACAAGTCACGCGCGGCGACATCGCCGAATTCTTCATCAACTTTATGAAGTCGGATATTCTCGGGCTGATCGCCAATCGGCATCAGATCCTGGCAGACGTCGAGGACAAAGGCACCAACGACCTCAGCTGCATCAAGCTGGCAGAGATGCACTCGACCGCAGTTGATTATTCCAAGACTGGCATTGCCGTATCCCTCTTCGATATGCCCAAGGCACCCAGATCGCGGCCTGATTTGTAAGTGTCTATGTCGAGCAACCCGACGCGATCAATCGCTGACTTATGTTGTGTACAGTCTCGCGCCTGCGCCACCCGTCAAAGTATATGACCTTGGTGAGATTAGCCACATACTGGATAACGTGGACGGTGACGACGACGGCGAAGACGGCATGGGCCGAGTCCGGCACCGGTTCCACCGATCTGAGAAGATACTCGGACGGCTGTACCGCGAAGTCGATGAAAAGAAGATATGGAACGAGCATATTCACAGGAAGATTGCCATGGATGGCCCATCCGTCTGGGACCAGCTGATGGGACGAGTGCAAGCTGAATTATACTCGCGCGGGATTAAAACGGCGTACCTTCAGTACTCGCACCAAGCTTGGAAGATCCGCAATCTGTAGGGCTTCTGCTGTGTAGACGAGTTGACGCCTCACTAACAGGACACAGATACGAGGATGCCATGTCGGAAAACATGTGGCACTTTTCGGACAATCCACGAACATGCATTTCGGAAGCAGAAGTCTTTTGTGGCTCGGTTCTGAACAAGTCGGGGACGCAGACGCGGCAACAGCGAGAAGCATCCATTCGACTCAAGGACGAGACAGATCGGGTGATGACGTGGATTGCCAAGTTGATTCGCGACCCCAGCCGTGGCAAGGGCGCAGAAACGGCGAGCGACGACACGGTCGATGACAGCGACGAAGATGATGGGTACGAGGCGATTCAGCTGTCTTGGGCATGCCTGGTCGTTGGCTGCATCAAAGACGCCAGCGAGGCTCCCTCGTCTTACCGCGGTACTGGGGAGCTCGAGAGCTTTCGCGTCGTCGCGGCGACTTGCCTGCTCAAGGAACTGAATTCTCTCAGTGCGGCAGGTGGCCTGGCCAGAGGGGCTATAGCGATGTCGGACCGGCAGGCAATCTCCCGAGCCTTTGCCACAGAGGCTCTGACCGAGCCGTCGGCTGAGGACAAAGTTGCTATTGACTTCTTGTTACAACAGCTCGGAGGGATGGGTATTGACTAGGCACGGAAAGCTTTGATGTTTCGAGCAATGCAGAAAGATGCTCCTTTCAGGTTGACTTTGGGCTATTGTTGTGTAGCCTGATATGAGGCTGGTTTGGCGTACTAGCTTGAGGACAATTTGGGTGGCGCGGCGTATGTATGGTAGCACAGGCTTTGACGACATCAGTCACCCGCTCATTTGTCTTTGAAAGATTCAAGTGAAGAGTAGAGTTTGATCCTTGAAGAACTTGTTTACGATTTGTGTGGCAGTATTGGCAACCGCGGCAACGCGCATAGCCGATATATAAAGGACTGTCAGGGCACCCAGCTGGAGAGTATGTTGTCGCTCAGCCGTATCCGACTGTCATCTGCCTCACCTCGCTCTCGAAGAGTTTCTTTGCAGCCGTGACCTTGGTATCGGATCCTTCCTTTCAACGCAGAGCAAACACTGCTACGAATACTGCCGCGAAGCTGCGGTAACAACTTTTACGTTCTAAATAGGACACGCCTGTGAACTTGGTATTTCTCTTCGAATTCAGAGCAGCCACTGCCAGGAACACTGGCGCGAAGCTGCGCCAGCAACTTGTACGCTGTAAAAGAGAGGCAATACGACTTCCCAATGGACAAGATGAACCGGATCTTACAGGTTGCGGGCGAGGCTGTCAGGGGTTTGCGCCGCCCCTCGCCCGCCGCAACGACCAACAAGAGCCGAGGGTCCGTCGAGATGGAGACGGGCTGCGTACAGGCGCCCAGTTCGGGCGAAAGTCGCCCGTCCGGGAGCGTCGGTAGCCTCTTGTCATTACTGACCTTGTCGAGGGCCGAGCCCAGGTCGCCGCCGCCGCCGACGTTCGTCGAGCTGCTGGGCCGCCTGCCGCCCGAGCTCTGGCACGAGATCCTCGGCTACATGACGCTCGGCGACATGATACGACTCAGGCGCACCTGCAGGGCTCTACACCACAGCATCCCCAACGAGCTCTTGAGCTTTATCATGGGGCCGGACCTCCTCGGGATCGCATGCCGGACCTGCCGCACATGCCTAAGGACAAGAGACTCTTCCTGGCAGCTGCTCTCGCCATGGTACCCACTTCTATTCCCTCCACACTTGCTCCTCTCGGAGTGCATCCCCTGCAAGTCCCAGCGCGGGGCCATCGCACCGGACAGGGAGTGGTTCTACCAGGGCCGGAGGATGACCATGTGCGCGTTTTGCGCGTGGCCGACAACCTCCCCGCCCTATATACGGAGGGGCTCGCACCTGCATCCTCTCTGTGTAACCAGGTATGCCAACTTGAGGGCCGCGTCCTGCGCAGTGGCCCTCGTACCGCTGCTACCGGCTGTGGGCTTGATCATCTTTATTGCGTTGACCAGCGAGGTGGACTGGACTACTAAGGGTTTGCTCGCGGTGAGTCGACCACCCCCCCCCCTTCCACCGCCCCATTTTTGGGAACTTCAAGGACAGCAGCTGATGTTCAAGGTGGGGAGCGCAGACGGAGTGCGCCTTGCTGGTGTTGTCGTTTATACTGCACAGGGTCCGTCTCAGGGCGCTGAGGCTGCATCACTACCAGGCACTGCTGAGCTTGGCGGCCGTGGTGCTCTCGGCAGTGGTCTTTGCCAGGAGTTGCCCTGTTGTCCATGCAGTTGGCAGCATGGTGTTTCTGTGGGCGGCGTTTCTCATCATCGTGTAAGAGAAAACCCCCCCTTCACCCCTTTCTTTGCACGCAACGGTTCTGTGTTTACAGCTTCACTTTTCGACCCGGTGGCTAACCCTCTGCTTCCCTTCCACCAAACAGGCCGATCAAGCTCGTCCATCTCGTGGGCAGCGCCATGCTCACGTTCGAATACAAGCACTGGCGCAACACGCGGCCCAAGTCGGGGTGGCGGCGGCGCCAGCTCGCCGAGGCGATGAAGCTGTTCGCACTGCTCGCCAGCCCGCGCTTCCCGGAACAGACGTACCCGGGGCGGTACTTGCCAGTGTGGGTCACCAACTTGCTGTTTGACAGGGACCGCTCCGGTCCGCCCCGGGGCCGCAGCAGAACGAGGAGAGATGAACCGCCTGTCTAACGAGGGTTCAGGGCCTGCATGACACGACGCGCTCGCCGCCGACTGCCACCAACGCCGGATCCGCCACCACCGTTCGCACCATCCATTAGCGTTTATGAATGGGTGTTTGCCGACCTCATTGCGCTGGCGTCGGCTGGTTGACCGATGTTGCTGCGCTCCCCGTCCGGGACAAGCGGAGCTTTCCCCGCGCGCGTTGAGGTTGCGTCCCGAGCCCTCGGAACCGGGGCCGGGGGTGGGCGGGGGGGAGAGGGAGAAAGCGGCACGGGTGTCAAACGGGAGATGCTTTTCCACCACTCTGAGCGGTTTCCCCGCGCCGCAAGGAGGGAGGCTGTTAAAGATGAAAAGGAAACCTGGGGGGCTTGCAAGATGACAAACGTCGATTTACCCGTGGCAGAAAAGAACCTGACATTGATCAATTGGAAAAAGGTTGAGGGTTGGCATTGTCATCCACGCCGCACGCGGGGGAGGAAATCGAACCAGGGGCCGTTGGAGCTTGATTGGTGGGATATCTCTAGGACTGAACTGGTCATCATCAACTAAATCAACTCCAACTTGAACCCCAAGCGCGCGCGGGGGACGGCGGATGTCAGCGACAGTCGGGACAACTTATAAGCCATGGACCATCTCCGCCGTCAACCCCGTCTGGTCTTTGGGATGGGCACAGGTCGAAGCTGATCCGCGAGAGACGCACTTGAACCACGATGCATCTCCCTTTCTTCGCCTTGCTGCCTCTCACGGCGGTGGCAGCTGCCAGCGCCATCGAGGGCCGCGGCGGCGGCGGCTCGCACGTCCCCAACACGGTCGTCATCGACGGCAAGCGCCTCGCCGACGCCAAGCAGCGGCTGTCCTCGCGGCACCCGGACGCGGAGCTGCGCGCGGCGCTCGGCCACCTCACGGCGCAGGCCGACACGTGGCTGTCGCAGGGCCCCTGGACGGTGACGACGAAGAAGACGGCGCCGCCCAACGGCACGGTCCACGACTACGCCTCGCAGGCGCCGTACTGGTGGCCCAACCCCAACACGGCCGACGGCTGCCCGTACGTCCAGCGCGACGGCGTGCGCAACCCCGAGGTGGACCAGTACCAGGACCGGCTCGCCGTCGGCCGCATGTTCAACTCGACGTACGTGCTCTCCCTGGCGTGGTTCTACACGGGCCGCGACGCGTACGCGCGCCACGCCGCCGACATCCTGCGGACGTGGTTCCTCGACCCGGCCACGGCCATGAACCCCAACCTCGACCACGCCCAGATCATCCCCTGCGCCAACACGGGCCGCGCCATCGGCATCATCGACTTCAGCCAGGAGTACACCAACGTGCTCGACGCCGTCGCCGTGCTCGAGTCGGGCCGCGGCGGCTCCCACGGAGACTTTGCGCCGGGCTGGTCGCGCGCCGACTCAAAGGCCTTTCAGGCGTGGAACAAGCGCTTCCTGACGTGGCTGACCGACTCGCCGTTCGGCAAGGACGAGGCCTCGCAGAGCAACAACCACGGCACCTTTGCCAACATGCAAATCTCGGCGCTCGCCCTCTTCGTCGGCGACAAGGCCCTCGCGCGCACGACCTCGCTCCTCGCGCGGGGCTTCGTCGACGCGCAAATCACGTCCAACGGCTCGCAGCCGCAGGAGCTCGCCCGCACGCGCAGCTGGCACTACTCCAACTTCAACCTGGGCGCGCACCTGCGCTGGGCGCTCGTCGCGCGCAAGGTCGGCGTCGACGTCTTCGGCTACAAGGGCCCGCAGGGGCAGTCGGTGCTCAAGGCGGCCGGCTTCGAGGTGCCCGCGGCGGTGGGCGGCGCGGCCGCCTGGCCGTACGACGACATTGAGTTTGCGCGCTTCGCGGCGACGGACAACGTGCGGGCGGCGGCCGACGCGGGGCTGTGCGCGGCGCGCGAGGCCGTGAAGGGGAAGAAGCTGCAGGCGCCGCCGGGGGGTGACATTTTTGTGCTGAGGCCGGCGCCGCAGCAGCTCGACAGCATCGTGACGCTGTAGATGGGGAGGGAGGGGCGGGTAGTGAGTGAGTGTGTGTATGTGTGTGTGTGTGTGAGTGTGGTTGCAATGTGTGTGAGAGTCTGTGAGCGTCTGTTGTGAACGGATCTTGACCGAGTCTAGAGTACAAAGTATATGGTCAATGGCATCGCAAATGACGAAAAGGAAACTCGAATGCTGTTTCCTTGCCGATCTGGCTGGTGTTTTGCCGTCCATGTAATTATGTGTCTGATCCATCCATCTGCCGCGCCCACCCACTTACCCTCGATGCCATGTAAGTTGTCAAATGATCAACAAGGGTGGGATGCATCTCCTTGAAGAAACGCAACTGCCGTGCCCAGTGTGCTGCAGATCTCTGGCGACGGCACCCTACCATCAACCAACCAACCAATCGCTTCAGCAGACGACATGCCCTTCCTCCCTGCTCCGTCGTCGCCCCGTTCGAGGATCGGACGTACCATCGAGGTTCGTTCATGATGGATGATGGAGGCAGCCCCCGTCGTTCAACATGAAGTACATAACTTGGTTGGCCGACGGGAGGTGGGTCCCTCCCGCCCGGGGGACGCGGGGAGGGAACTGCGTCCGTCTACTTCCATTGGCCGACCCCGGACTCTCTGCCACAGGGCAAACTCTAATTCTCCACGGCGTGCGGGGGGGAACTTTGACCCCGGACGACCGGCAGAAAGGGGTCTCGTCATTACACTCTCTTTCTTCTGCAACAAGATCAAATACGTTTCTCTGCCCAGCATAGTAGTCGAGTTGAAGAACATTTCCGTGTGTTTATAGACTGAATCTCTATTTTTTGAGATTTGTTGCTATCAGTCCCGTTGTTGAGATGTCGGGTATTACCTGCCGACATCGAACGACTCCAGCCTGCCGCCCAGCCTCTCGGTCGAAGGGAATCGACAACACCACGCCATGGACGCCGGTCCCAGGTAGCCCTTCCCCGGCACGCGAGCTACACGCCAGCCCGCTCGCTCGCTCGGACGCACGGACGCAATTCTACCCACGCCATGTGCCAGGCCTCTTTGGAAATTGACATTGGCATCGGCGTCGGCAATGCTAGCTTGCTCCTATATGCCCACACCGCTGGTGGCATGACATGGGCATGGCATGGCCCCAGCATTTCATGACCACGACCCCTCGGGACAGAGGATCGCGGCTGAACCCGCTCTCGCCACGCGCCTGATCGGGCTCCATCGGCGCAGCGGCGCTAATAGCTCCAGTTCGCTTGTCCTGCCCGGCCGCTCATCCGCCCGCCCGCCCGGCAGACCGTCTATCTGCCGGTGTGTACGATTCACCGTATGTTCGTTCGCACTCGTAGCTACGATACGATATGTACTATTACCCCATTTGATCGTCGGATAGGGAACCGGACCGTGGCTGGCGCGCGCTATCGCGGCGTGGCTCAATATTCAGGGCATTTTATCACAACGCATCAAAGCTTGGACAGGTGGGATGAACCGCACGTGGGAGAGCCCGAGTGTGAGTGACGGCTGGACGAACGGACCCCTTGTGCTCAAGGCAGCCAAGGATCTGCCTTGGCTCAGGAGCCCTATCATCGGCCGTCTTCCCACGCTGGATGCCGTCGTCATGACCCAAGATCCCGGGAATGCCCACCGGAAAAGGGGGGCGGGCGGCGTCGTAGCATGGCGGCGGGCGCAGATATCAAGAGTCAGAGCACCCATGCCTTTTGTATCGCCTCGTTTCGTTTCGCATACATAACCATCGTCCTATGCCTCCTTGACCCGTTCCCTCCTTCGATCCCATCTATCCCTGACCCGTCCGCCCTGTACACTCCTCACTCTGCTAGTTCCGGCATCGTGGTAGAAACCTACGTGAACTTACCTACATTCAACAAGCATCATCAGTTGCCGGCCATCCCTCGTATCTCAGCTGTCGAACCACGACGTCCCGCACCGATAACCACCTCTCCTCACGCTCTAGACCCGCCATGTCCTCCGACGACGGCCGCGTCGAGAAGCGCGGAGGCGGCCCCGGCAACGACGACCACAACGAGGGCCACGCCGAGGCCCTGCACCGCTTCCGCTCCGCCGCCAGCATCGCCATGAGCCCCGAGCTCTTCGAGAAGCTCTACCTCTCCCCCGAGAACAGGGTCCACGGCGACCTGCGCCGCACCTTTGGCAACCCCACGCCCATGTGCGTCCTCAGCCGCTGTGGAAACCTGCATGCTCTCCTGAAGAGGCTTGCTTGGGCGCGCTCGTTCCCCTGCTTGACCAGAGACCAACTGACACTCGCCTGTGAACAGTGGCCTCGCCGGCTTCCTCCTCTGCCTCACGCCCCTATCCATGGACCTCATGGGCTGGCGCGGCGCCGGCGGCAACGGCGCCGCGAGCATGTAAGGCTGCCTCCTTTCCTTCACTCTCCCTCTCTGTCTCTCATCGTTCAGACATCGCTAATCGCGGGCAACTTTTCTTACCCTCCAGAGGCGTCTACTTCTTCCAGGGCGGCATCCTCATGACCCTCTGCGGCCTCCTCGAGTGGATCCTCGGCACCACCTTCTCCGCCGTCGTCTTCTCCGTCTTCGGCACCTTCTGGCTCGCCTGGGCCGCCACCCTCTCGCCCTCCTTCGCCGCCTTCTCCTCGTACGCGGGGCCCGGCGCCGAGTCGCCCGCCGAGGGGCTCGCCACGCGGGGCTTCAACGCGAGTCTCGGTGAGTGCCGTCTCCCTCCTCCTCCTCCTTCCTCAACCCCTTTTCCCGCCCCCTTTTCTCTTGAGCACAAGGGAACGGAAAAGTCGAGACGAGAAAAAGCTTTCTATGGGTATGTGGTAAGCTGAGACTGTTTCAATAGCGTATTGGTTCCTCTTCATGGGCGTCATCTGCCTCGTCTTCCTCATCTGCTCCCTCCGGACCAACATCTGCTTCGTCATCATATTCCTCAGCCTCGTCGTCGGCTTCGGCCTCCTCACGGGCGCGTTCCTCGCCAACGCCGACAACTTCGCCGGCAACGCCTCCCTCGCCAAGAAGCTCGTCGTGGTAAGTCCCTAGCCCTTTGTAACCACCAGCCCCTCCCCCACTCCCCACCAACCTAGGCATTTGTGAAAAGCGCAACTTTTTGTTTGAGAGGCATCATCGTGGCTGACATGTGGGCCGGGTTCGCGGCCAACGCGACGACACAGGGCGCCGGCGCTTCCACCTTTGTCACCTGCTGGGCGGGCTGGTACATCTTCCTCGCCATGCTGCTCGCCGCCGTCGACTTCCCCATCCAGATCCCTGTCGGCGACCTGAGCACCGTCATCAGGGGCAAGTCGGAGAAGGAGAAGCGGGCGTAGGGTGTGGCGTATAGCCAGACGGGCGTGGTCGTCTCGGTCATTGTGCTGCAGAGCTTGGACGTGTATCAGAGCAATATGTACATTCATGCAGAAACGTGTAACTGGTCTCTCGAGCTCTGCTAGCCATCTCCATAAGCAGACGGCCGTCAAAGGGCGTGGGCATAATACTACAACCTACTGGCCGAGACTTGATAGTGCCGTCATATCTCGTCAACGTCGCGTGTTCACAACCCGCGCCAAGTCGAACCCGTCCGCCTTGCAGGACGGCAGAGGCATCTAGGCTGCCATCGCAAGTCCAACGCGGCATGTCTAGCAGGCATCCCATGGCTGGAGTCCGAGTGCGACTCAGAGTTGACAGCTTTCGGGCGCCTCAAACAACGGACTCCGAATAGAAACAAGGACTGGCCGCAAGGGGAGTTATCACAATGGGCTCTGCCATGTGCCTGCGAGCGCACGTATGCAGCCCGGCCCGTGCACATGAATCACTTACACGGGTTGCCGACGTCCACCAAGCCCGTGCTCATGTCGACAACGCCTCGTGGCAAGGATCCTGTCTGAGCGCTGTTGGACGGAGATGTCCTCCCGGCCTGGTCCATCCAGCATCTGGAGTCGGCGCCACCCGCTGTTTCGACTCATCATAAGAGGCGTCCCCCTGCTGTACGCTCGATATCGCCGAGACTCACTTCCCCGCTGCGGCCATCACAAATGACGCCTTCAAGACAACGCCATCGGACAAAGCGTCATGCAAGCACTCACTCTCATCTCACATCTTCCCCGCCGTCTAGATCGGCTTGCCTGCACTTCACTAAGACGTCTCAAATCTCCACAGAAACCTTGCCATCGGTGCCAGAACAGCCGCCGCCGTGTCTCAGCCTGCCGCAAGCCCCGCATTGCAGCCCGCATGCTCGCTTGTGTCGCCAGTCCTTTCAGCCGTTCATGGGACCAGTCACAGCTTCCTCGCTTGTCTGAGAGAACGCCGCGGCCGGGACGGCAGCCTTGTGGCTCTGCGCTGCGACACGGGGAAACCGATCTGCGAACGCAGTGTGCCGCTGTGGGATCTGACTTGCAAACTGAGCATTTCATGACAAATTAGCCGTTTGGAGGCAGGCTGAACGGAGTGGCAGTAGTATTGTGTCGTTGGCAATGTCGACACCGGCAGCGCTGGTCATTTCCCGACACAGCCTCCGGACAAAGAGCTCTCAAGACGTGGAAGGCCCAATGCCCTGCTAACCCACAGCGCTCTAGGCTTAGATGCGACATAGCTTGGGCCTGGTAGCACGAAGTCATTGCCAGTATCTCGTGGAACGGACATTCGGCTGCGGCGCTGATGTCGACACCTTGAGCGTGCCCGTCCAGAAAAAATGAGGCTCTCCCAGAGGAACCGGTATGCCGGTTCCAACGCTCTGCTGTAGCTTCGCGTAACTGGCTCGCCCGGCTAGGCGGTATGTCCTTAGTTCTGCCAGCACATCCTTCATTCCAGCCAAAACGTCCCGCCCCGGGGGGCTCAACTGTCGCGGCATCACCGCGGCACACCAGGCTACGTGAAAGACAAAGGAACCTTCCGGTGCGCCGGCGAGTATCTGTCCTGGGGTGGCTGGCCCGACCCCGTCGCGAAGGCCGTCGCCCATGACGAGGCGTCTGTACTCGTCGAGAACTTCGTTGGCGCCTCGAGTTGGACCAACCCAGACTGGCAGAGAGAAAACTTCTCCATTCCACTCCCCGTCATATTTTATAAAGTTTCGGGTGTCCTGTTCGGCCCCAGAGGGGTGGGTTCCTGCGGGCACGGCTTCGGAATGCACCCCATCGGCGACGGGGGGCCCAACGGCGGTACTTGTGCGACGTCGTTCCCCCGTTGGCGTTTCATTGAAGAAGCTGAAGCCTGTGTCGCCAGCGTCCATCAATTCCTCGGCATCCAAATCCTCCGTCGCGGAGAACCCGTCATCCATCGTGTCGGGTTCAAACTCCAGAGCAAGGTGTCTCAGACCCTGCAGCAGGCCGGGCCCACGCCACGGCGACGCGATAGCAGACGCGTCCTGGATGGCGCGTTCCTGTCTGGACAGCAGTTCGAGAAAGCGGATTAGTCTCTGTACAAGAGGGCCAGATGAGCGGCGAGGGATGCCAGTCAATGTCAGAGACGTCAGCCTTGGGTTCATGTCTGGCACGAACACCTGGGGATACGCCTGGTCCACTCGCTCGAGAATGGCCGCTTCGGCCAAGTAGTCACGCGCAATCGCCGAAAAGCCGTCAATCTCCAACGCAGGCACATTCGTGACAAGAGAATGGTGCATCTTCAAGCTTCGAAGACTGCACGAATACGCGGGCCGGAATAGATGCGCCGAACCAAGTATGCCGTGTAGCATCGCGGACTTGGGCCAGAATTTGGAAACGGGAGCAGCAATGGGCAACAGCGGCATAAAGGAGCAAGCCAACTCCTCCAGATGTCCTGAGGAGACGCGCAGCAGCTTTTGAATGCCAAACGACGATACCCTCGTATTAGAGAGTGAAATGTGAGTGAGGCCGCGAGTTTGGCAATAGTCATCCACCTCCCAGTCGGCTTCATTTTTAGAGAGGATTCGCGCAGAAGCTTCGGCCGAGTCGCTGCGTACGTGCACGACTCCGTCAGGCCTTGCGGGTCTGAGCTGTTCCTGCCCAACGTCTGCAACGTACACGGGTGCATCGACAAAGTACCTTTCTGGGTGGGAGAATGAGGCACTCCACTGGGATTCGTCGATGGTAACAAACTGGCCGTATCCAGGAGTGCCATGTGCAAGTGCGCGCAGGCTGCCTTGGACCCGAAATGGGCCATCTGACTGAAGCGCCCCGCGCGGGAGAGACCAAGAGGCCAGCATTTCGATGGTTGCGTCCGTGAGTTTGTTTCCAGCCAGATCCAGACTCCAAAGTCTAAGCCGGAACTTTGCTAGAAGAGCTTCGAGCGTTGCATCATCAATCTCGCGACTCCGAAGCTTCAAGACGCGCAAGTTGGGCAGCACTTCAGCCTGAAGTAGCGGTTGAACCGAGCCCGGAACCTCGGATACATCAAGGTAAACCAGCTTCTGGATGCATGATGACGTGAAGAAAGATGCCGGCAGGTGCTTCGGACAACCGGCTACACTAAGCAGACGTGGTCTGTGTTGTGGCGAGGCGCTCAGAGAGTGCACAAGAAAGGCAGCATCCAAATCGGCATGACCATCCAGGAGGATTGAGTTGGCGTTGGGGAGGAGCTCCAACGCGCGAGCGAAGCTTTCGCCCAGCGAACCAGCGCCGCCGTCGGATGCGAAGTGATATGCGTCCTTGGCAAAGTCTCTCGCGTCAAGGACACGAACGAGCGAGCGCGTCGCGGGAGCCACGCGATCGAGCTTGTTGAAGACAAAATCGAACCACCACGCCAAGTCTAGCAGCCAAGGAGCGTCAGTCACCACGAGAACAAGACGCTCAGGGCCATTTTTCGGAACGGCGAAGTCAAGCTGGACTCACCATCACCCGGGTCCAAGCCGGCGCGACGAACTGCTCTAAGGAGGTCCGCCCATAGACAAGGAGCAAATATGCGCCAGGACCGGCGATTCACTAGGCAAAGCGAGCGATAGTCGTCGAACCGGACGTAGGGAGCCACCAGACGGAGCCAATCTGGCTTGGCCGTCGCCTCCTTGTAGGACGGCAGAGGGACCATGGCTTCGAAGTCGTCGCCTGACGGAGCTTGGCCGATCCGTACCGGAAGCAAAGCCGCGTGGTGGAGGCGTCCGGGGCACGGCAGGCGGCCGGCGTTCGGCCGAGTCGGACAAGAAGGCGGAGCCGCAAGGGCCGAAGCCAAAAGGGGCTTCCTAAATGAGACGGGAGGAAACAGGCTACGCGGTAAAACGGAAGACGACAGTGTGGCACGCGTGTGTTGCGATCATGCCGTTCTGGCGTAGTTGCGTAGGTACCGTTGGCCCTGTGCGGCCTTTCAGCTCGGGGTTGACAGTCGGCCCCACAGACGGCAGGGGAGGATAGACGTGGCGAAGCAAACAAAAAGCACAAGTCACGGCGAACCCCCCAGGGGGAGGGGGGTGAGGGTGGCGCGCAGGCTGGCAAGCTAGCTAGGGGGCGGTGTCTTTGGTGAGATCGGAGGCGTCTGTGATTGCTTCTTCCAGATGCGCCATCGCCGAAGCCGTAACGGATTTGGTGGGACAAGTGACGACCCGGCCGAGTCGCGCCCAGACTGAGGACTAGACTCGCATGCAGGTGCGTTAAGCCCAGCCCCGACAGTTCGGGCCCAGCAAGTTGGATAGGTATGACTCCGCAGAGGCCGCTTCAACCGCTTCGGCGCTGGGGCAACCCTCGAGCTCCGGTGGATTATGACAGCTCGCTCTAAGGGAGGTCGCATTAGACGTCATGCGGGCTGCCGCCGAGAGGGCTGAAGACGAGCAGCGAGGCGAAGGCGTGCGCTGCCAAGGGAGGTGTTATTGGAGGTCGAGCGAGGCAATTCGTGCGACTCGACGTGGGCGAGGGTACGAGGCGGTGGCGGGCGGGCGGGCGAATGGCATGCGCCCGCGCGGGGGGTGAGAGTGATGAGCAGGGACGTCGTCGCAATACGCCGCGGAGACGTGCCGGTCGTGTAAAGCAGCGGGCGCTCGTCGATGAGGGGGTTCGTCACAGCAGCCCGGCAGGGAGGGAAAGCAGTCGAGATGCTGAGGCTGGCCGAGATTGGCGAATTCGGCCGGTCAAGGAGGGGGAGGGGTGATCAACGCCGCCCGGCAGGCATGGAAAGGCGAGAGGGTGAAGCTGGCCGAGATTGGCGAACGCGGCGGGCGGGGGGTCGAGTCTGGAGTAGATGAAAGAGGGACGAGATGGCGAAGGCGGTCGAGATGGCGAACGGGATGAGGCTGGAGTGGGGGAAGAATGGCGGGATGGCGAAGCTGGCCGAGATGGCGAATGTGGCGGGCGGTGGGGCGTCGAGAGGCAGAGTAGTTGGAGGAAAGAGAGATGTGACAAGCGGCTGCCACTATTGGGCGACTGCCGCACAGCACGTCACTCACCAGTTGTCACCACCACCTTCACTTGACTTCACTCTCCATCATCAAACCCCCCCGCCCTCACAGCTCACCATCCTGATTCCTCATCGCGGAGTTATCCCTTGGCCTCACCGCACTCGCAGGTCAGCCTCGGGGCAGAAGACGCACCCGGCCGCCGACCCTGCATACCGTGGGCGTCGACAACCCAAGGAGGGAGCTATTGCTTGGTTCTCTCGGCGGGATGCCTATCGCTCGGGCGGCCACAACCAATATAATAATATCCTGACCGCCTCAAGAGACATGCCCTTGAGTCCTTACTGGCCCAGCAACCTTCACCAGTGGCCGCCACCGGAGTCCCTTATTGGTGAAGCATTCCCATCCCGTGCGATAGGCGCCCGAGGCGAATTTTATCAGATCGAGCCCGTCCTCGCGTGGATAATTTCGACGGTTGGCGTCTGCGCAAATTAGCCGCCGCCTCCCTTCGCGGCTACGCGTGACCCTGGGTGCAGAGAGCCATATGGGATAGCGGTAAGTAGTATGAACCCGCCCTGCTATGCGCGCGCGCGCCCAGCCCAAGAAGAGGTCGGCCGGGATAGGGCAAGTGTGCGAGGTGACAGGACCCTGCAGCAGCAGCAGCAGCAGCAGCAGGGCAACCGTCCGTCTTCCCCGCGTGTTGACAGACAGCCAGCCACGCCAGCCGAGGGTCTAGGCCCTGGGATGCTGGGTCGCCGGCCCAGGCACGCAGGTTGCGAGGAGGGACGCCGGGCCCTTGGCCGGCCCGACGGAGCATGGACGGTGACCCCGTCCCGGGTCCGATTAGCGAGCCGGACGGGGCCGGCGATCAAGGGCCGTGCGTGTCTCGCCCCAGAGCCCGGGTCACGCCGGGCGACTGCTAACCCTATTCGCGCGTCTGTGTCGGGTTCTCATATTATGTAGCTGCTGAATGGCATACCGTGAGGGAACTCGTCCATAGCGCCTGGCTATTGCCGCCCATGTCCACCTCGGGAGCACGGGGGTGGGGATGGCCTCAATGGGCAATGGGCTTCGGGATTCGGGTAGGAATTTCTTCTGGCAGCCCGGCCAGGCTGTTGCCGGATGTCTTCGCAAGTTTGTGCTTTTCGGGAAGTTGGGGGGTGGCGTGCCGGCCCCCGGGTCTGCTGAATCCATTCGTCTACGTGTACATGTCGCTTTGCACCTGACGAAGGGTACCTGGAACGACCTGGTGACGCTCCTGGGTTGCCACAAGTCACGATCCGGCTGATGCCCCGGCCGCCTGCAATCCCTCGACTCCATCTAGGTTGCCGTCAGGGAGCCGGGAGGGGCCAGGGGCCGCCGCCACAATTGCCGGCGCGGCGCAGATCCAGGTCTACTGATCCGCTGCCTTGGCTTGCGATCCAGTGGCATGCCTGGCTGGCCCTTCTTCGGCACGCCGTCCAATGTCATGCGACGGAGCTACCTCCAGCCGCTCCTGTAGGCTGATATTAATATTTACACATCTTGCACCCGAAGCCCAATCTACTGGGAGCCTACCCCGGAACGCCACCGCCACCTGGCAACCTGGAAGCAACTCCCAGGCGGTCCCGGGCTTGCCGTGCCTTATCTGGTAACGGGCCTCTCCAGGTCTCCAGGGCTCTGTTCCCCTGTCGGCACCCCCTCTTGCCCCTCCAGCAGGGGTAGCGCTGGCACGATTCGATGCTAGCGCGCGTGCGCGCTCCTGGCAGTTCAAACAACCAGGTATGAGGTGTGCTTCATGGCTACTGCTAGGTAGGTAGGGCTAGGTAGGTACTAAGGTAACTTGGTAAGGTAAGGTTGCTAGGTAGTACGTATGTAGTTTGGAGAGAATCAGCCATCGCCCGGCGAGCAACCTAGGCGGCGCTATGCCTTAGTTACCAAGCCCAAGGCACCGACTCGAAGGCACCGACCGCACGTACCTGGAGCTCCATACCTACCTAGTGCAGCTGAGCACACCATCTCGTCCCATCTCATCTCACTTGCTCGTGCGCGCAGAAGTGCCGGGATGCCTGGCTGGATCGCCGCCGCTGTCTCATCGGCCTCCACAATTGCCATCGGCGCTCAGTCACCACACGCACACACATGCACATGCACATGGCCAGATTGCACACTCACTGCTGCGCTCATGGGGTGCTTTCCCCCATTCGCCCACCCCCAGAGCATCTGGAGAGGACGGGCTCGCTCGCTGCTCCGTGCGTCGCTGACCCGATGCGGCTCCCGGCCCAACTCTCGCGTCGCGGCTCTGCGGGCAGATTTCCTACTGTGCGGTCGGTTGGCACAAAGTACCAACTTGGGGCGCAAAGTTACGTAGCACGAGCAATCCCGGGGCCCCATCACCCCAGGCATGATCTGAGACCTGGGCCGAGCGTCATGGACGATGATGCGTTGGGGAGCTTCCCCCCTGGCTGGCTCCTCCGCATCGCGGGCCGACTGTGTTGCGTCAAAGCAATTGCCTGCATTTGTTACGTACGTTTGGATACTACTGGATCTTGTTTTTGGTTTTTTTTTCCTACTTTATTTTTGTTCCCCCCTCTTTCTCTATTTTGTTTTCTTTTGGCTGTCTCTCTTGTATCGCCGTCCATCGGCCTCTTCTATCCACCCACTCACACGCCCGCTCGCCTTGCCCACACGGCACGTCCCACTTTGGCGATTGGGACCTGCGGCCGCTCCAAAACATGCTTGATCTAATACCTGTTCGGCGTTCGTTCCGCACTCGCTGTCTCGCCGCCGGGCACCAAATCTCCGCTTCGAAACATGAATCGCCCCCCTCCGTTGCACAGAACGGTTCGTTTCGCGTCCCGGAGAGCAGCAGGCCCCAAGGGAAAGCAAATATGGGCCAGGAATGGCAGTGTGCCTGGGCAAGCCAGCTAGCTGGTAGCTTGGTGCTTTGTAGGACGTCGGCGAACCTTGTCAGTCCGTCAGTCAAAGTAAGTCAGTAAGCAGGCGGCAGGCAAGCACGCACGCACGCACGCACGCACGAACGAACGCACGCCTGAAGTGAAGCAAGCAAGCAAGCAAGGCAAGTAATCGGTGCAGCCAACGAAAGGCAACCCCCCCGACACGCGGGCGGCCGTTCGTGCAACGTGACGCCGCGATCCCAGGTCCGTAAACGACGCCCCCGAGACGTCATCGGCGACACTGTGACTTAGTCCCGTTTTCTGCGCCGACGCTGACCCCATCCATCATCGTTGCCGTTGTTGTCGTCGTCTTGTCCCCTCGTCGCACAAACAATGCCGTGCAACATGGCCGCCCCCAAGGCGGCCCGCGCGGGAACCAACATCGTGGGACCGCAGAAATAGCATCTTGCCCAAAGCAGGCCTGCACGTCCACTCCATGCGCATGTATGTGTGTAGGTATTCCTGTCGACGCCCAGTCCAGCCCCTGCGCCGCTCCAACACCCAACCCTCCCGATCGTGCCACCCCAGCTTCCCACACGTGCTGGCCCGGCGGTGCGCTCCCGTCGTCTTGACGCACGCGCGACCAACAACCTGCGCATCGTGGCCCAAAGAACCCCCCTCGACTAACAAAGCAGGAACGCACGCGCTCACGCACGATCGCACGATGCGGGTTACACAGATGCTGCGGCACAGCCTGCACCTCTCACCCGCCTTTCCGCAACCAGAAGGCGATCTTGGACAAGAATAGGTATATGCAGTTATGTTGGCGCGTGCGTACTTTTTTTGCGTGTTGGTTCGCCGTCGTCATCGTCGAGGCAAACCCCCCCTCTTGGGGGCTTCTCTCTTCCCCGCGTATCCGCGACCGGGCAGCAACAACCGCCACCAACACACCCACACTCTGCAGAACACCAGAAGAAACAAAAATAAAACAGCCCGATCGAAGACGAAAAGGAAAACAAAGAACACAGAAAACGAAAAGGCCCAACACACACTACCAGCGACCTGATCGTCTTCACCCCCCTTGCCCCTGAGATCGCGCACGCGGACGCCTTCTACCAGTACCAACAGCAGGGAATAAGGAGGGGGCGTGGTGGCCATCAGAAAACGGCCGCATGCGTCTGCGTTTGCCTCTGCGTCTGCAAACTGCGACTCCATCTACGTACATACGCACGTCTGCTGCTGCAGTCGAGGGGCACAGTTCTTCTTGTCTCTCAGAACTCTGCAACTCACATTGATTACACTTTGCGCGTTGCATCCTGCACTGCCGCACTTTGACGCGGCCCCTCTTCCCTCGTCCCGCGGCCCGCTACCCGGAGGGTAACCTCCTTGACTTTTTTTGTGGAGAGAGAGACAGAGAGACGCATCTGCTTGCGACTTACGTATTGGGTGGATGTTCGGTGGAGGCATCCGTGGATGTATGTACGTGAGGCGCGCGTGCGACCATCCAGGGACCGGTCGTCGCCCCCCTTCTCGACCCTTCGTGCGTGGGTGCGTCCGGACCTGCAACGCTGCAACGCCCAACGTAAATCATGACAAGACGATGGATGGGCCTTCCCACATCCGTTTCTTTGCACTCAGTTGGGGGTGTGTTTTTTGTTTCTTTCTCGCCCCATAACGCACACGACGGGCTAGTTACTACCGTGCTACAGTTGGTAACTTAGTACGTTTGGTAGTCCGAGGAGCCAACTCCCAGCCCAGCCGCCTCGCGCCTCGCACCGGGCCACCCTAATCGGATAAGCGCCGTCACCCATTCCGCCGCGGCTGTTGTTCTTTTTTCTTCTTCGTCGTCCCTCTCTTCTCGTTTTGTGCATCCTCTCCGGCCGTTTCCTGTGCCGGCAGGGTGGTAGTGCAACGAGGCGTGATGGCGTCACTGGACATCACGAGGGCGTGGAACAAGTAGGTATGTACAAAAATTGGAGAGCCAAACAACGTTTCCCAGCTGCCCATCTGGCAGATGTCGGGTGGCCGGGGGGGACCGGGGGGAAGGGGGGGCTCAAGAGCGCGACTGGAATTGATAAGCTGCGGGATGTCGCGCAGACAGGCGCGCCGTGGATAGAGGAAAGGGCTTGGGTAGAGCACTTCTCATCAGCAGATAAAAAGGAACCAGACGCAGAAGCGCCTGCAAGCCCTGGAGATCCGCCGCCTCGAGGGCGTTGTCCGCCCGCCGTTCGTCCGCCTCCAAGCAGCGCCGGCAGCTGCCTAGTACCTCGAGCAAACTACCGTGACATACGTGACATAACACCACCTGCTGCATGTCCCAAAAAGAAACGCTGCACGGACCGACCTAGAATGACACCACCAGTCCCGCAGTGTGGCCTTGGTTGGCCCCGGTATCACACTTTCACAGCTCGCTCTCACCCCCAGCCACCCTCCTGGGCCTGTCGCCATTCCCCGTTTGGCAGACAGATCTAAGACAGCAGCAGCCGGGGTTGGGATCAGAGCCCCGTCCATCGTGGGGCCATGAGACAAACAAGAAAATGACAAGGGCTAGCTCAAGTGACACAGCTGGCCCGATCTCACTTGCAGTGGGTGGGGCTGCGTAGAGTCCGTGCCGTGCTACTGCTGCTGCTGCCGCCGTCGTTGCTCTGCGAGTTGCCTCAGCCGCCGTCCGTGGCATGCACACGAATCTGGCCTCGACTGGTCTCTGCCATTGTCGCCAACGCTTGTCTGATTTGACTCTCCTCTCAATACTAGATTACAGTGGTTTTTGCATAATACAGTACAGTTCGGTGATAAGGTACTCCCGCAAAATACACCTCAGCGCGCCGTATCCCAGTGTCCCCTCCCCAATGCATTACCATACTCGACGGGTCCCGGTTGTCAATCACGATCAACCCCCGTCAGCATCATGTCGTTTCCTCCGTTAAATATGCTTTTCGTCGTGTGAGCCTTGGCTGATCCATGGCCACCGGATAAAAAAAAAGACAAAAGATATGGTGCTGTAGAAGTCCTCCTCGCCCTCCTTGGGATATCACAATGTGGCCCCGCAGCCTTCCCCAGCAAGACCAGAACAGCCAGTGTACGCCGGAACATGGTGGTAGAAAGCAAAACGGGTAATAAGAATGGACCAGAAAAGGAAAAATCGAAGCGGCGCTTTCCTGTTGCGGCTGAGAGCCCCAAACGAAGGCATGCCGGCGTCCTGCTGTGGGTGTAGGAAGGGCCAGTTCTGTCGCGGCGCTGTGGCAAACGCGGCCAGTCCAGGGAACCCGCTTCTGCGGCGTTTTGCACCTCTCCTGCGCAGCTGGTGTGGTCGAGGACGGCGTGTGTGTGTGTGTGCGTGTGTATGGGACTGATCGTGTTCGTGTGGCGTGTCTGCGTGGTCCGTGTGTGCGGTTGCAGTAGTGGTTGCGCATGGCCTCTCTCCAGACGCCGAGCGTCGTGTGTCTCGGCACTGACCCCACAGACGATGCCAAACTAGGCTTCGCATCATCTCTCACCAGGTACGCAAAAGCAACGGCAGACATTTCCCTCAGAAATCATCGCCCCGCTTCTCAGCTGTCTTGGACTTTGGTGGAGCGCGTCGCTTCCGGCTGCGTTCTTCCTGCTCAATGACCGGCACGGCTGCCGGGATGAATTCGACCCCACGGTTCCTGCTGTTCGGCCTGGCATGCAGCTTGCGGTGGTTGTTGAGGTTGTCCTGGCGGTTGAACTGATCCTTACCACAGAACTCGCAGGAGAAGCGGTTGGGTCCTTCGCCATGGAAGCTGGGGTAGGCTGTTAGGGCATGATTCAACGCAGGAGGATGTGTGGGACTAACGTCTGCTTGTGGCGCTTGAGATGCTCGTTGCGGCGAAACGCCTTGTGACACCCGGGGTAGTCACACTTGCACATGGCCCGTCGTACCACGTCGACGGGAGCACTGTCGCTCTGGCTCGAGACTTTCCTTGTTGCCCGGATCTGAGCCCTCTGCAGCTCTGTTGTCTTGCGTTGAATCTCATGAACCATCATCTTACGATGGGCCCGTAGGCGCCCAGGTGATGGCGGCCCCTGAAGGTGATACCTCTCAAGAGGGGACTGGGAATGCCGCTCCATATCCAGAGCCTCCATGTCGTTTGAGCCCAAGCTCTTGTGCGGAAAGAAGGAGATGGGGCTGTCATTGGCACACGACCACGAGGAGGAGGATTCAGCCACCTCGGACCCAGAGAGGCTGTGCGTCGGAGTCATCATAAAGGACGTCGGGCCCATGGCCGTCTGAGGGGAGATGGTGTACATGGGATAGGGTCCGGAAGGAGTGACGGAGCCCATTGAGTGTTGTGATGCCATGTTCATCTCGAGCATGTGGTCGTAGTCGGGAGTAGCCATGCCGTCCATCTTCTTGATAGGGGTGGTGGGCATCCCATTGGAGAAGGAGATGTGCTCCGGCTCGCTCTTGACGGGACCGAACATATACTTAGACATGCTGTGCGAGGGCGATGTGAGCTCTGCAGGATGGGAGCTGGCAAATGCAGTGCCATCAAAGTCGAGAGTGAGCTCGTTGGGTGTTGATCGTCGAGAGGTCGGGGTGAAGGCTTCGTAGGCCGACGAGGCCGACGAGAAGCTGGTGCCCGTCGACGGGCACGACATGGCCTGGCTGCACATGCTGAAGCCGTCGTCCATGTCGAACCGAAAGTCGGATTCGAACTGCATCTTGGTGTTTGAAGACGGTGGAGGCTCTGTGCTGTCAAAGCTCTCTGCGTGCTGCTCTGTGACACGTTTGACTTTGACCGACCAAAATGAGATCTTGCAATGTCATGTAAGTGAGGCGTGAAGGAAGAGCGGTTGTCGGGAATGCTTTTTCATTCACGAGGGACGCCCCTGAAGATATAGCAGCGAGGAGGAATGGGCTGTGGAGGAAGATGCCGACTGGACTGAGACACGTCTGGTGCGGATCAACCCCAGCCGATCGCGAGACCTGGTGGTGCTGAGCAGGAGAGACGCCGAGAGACAAGTGGTGTGGTCCCAAGGCCGGAAAGGAATGGACAAAGATATAGAGGACAGGTACAGGTAGATCTCGATATTGGGGGGAGGGGCGCCAGAGATACGAGCAGTCGATCCAAGGAGGCCAGGGCCGCTCCACCTGAACTATCGGTGGTATAGACTGATGTTTTGGATATCCGGCAGTGTTTCTGAGCACCCTCGACGCTTGCCAGCTCATGAAAGGGAGCAGGCTGGCTAGTTATAGGAAGCCAGTGTGGATGGATGGCAAGGCCCTCCATCGGCCGTGGCGGCCGACAGCCATGGGCGGCGGAGGCATGCCGACCTGGCCCCATCAGCCAAACGCAAGGCCGAGGATGGTAGCCGTCATGTCAGGTCAGGTCAGGTCCTGGCTCCATCCGGCCAGACGAGGCAAGATGCGCTAGAGCCAACCGAGCTTCTTTTTCCTTTGCTCCTCTGAAAAGGAACAAACAGACATGCCGGTGTTTAGTCGAGGCGTCCGCATGTGCGTGCTGAGGTGTGGATGGCAGCGATGGGGGGGGCCCGGCGGCGGCGGGCAGGCAGAGCGGACGGAGGAGGAGGAGGAGTGGGAGTGAGGTGAGGGATGGAGCAGAGTGGGGTGGTGAGTGCAAGAGGGAGGGAGTGTGTCAAAGCACCCGCCGGTGGTTGAGTGAGTGAGGTGCCTGAGGTGTGGTGAGGTGGTCGTGTGGAACGGCGAGCTGGGGTGGCGGATCGTCTTGGCAGCCCGCACTGGAGAATTGGAGGTCCAGGTGCCTGAGGCGTGTGCGGGCCGGG